CTCCACCTTTAGTAAAAATAATTTATTTTTGATTGTGATATATTTAATTATAAAAACTAATTTAAAACAAAAAAGTTCTTTAACTAATTAACTAATTTGATTTATTTTTCTTTCATTTTTTCCATTTTTTTTAATTAACTAATTAATCATATATTTTATCTTTAATATTAAAAAAAGTTTTAATTAAATTGGTGCAATTGGTACGTCAGATTTAAGTTGTGCTTTAGTAAAGTGCATTAATCTCTCAAATTTAACACTTTAGCTTGGGTAAAAGAGTTTATTTGTTTTGAATTGTGATATTTTTAATTATAAAAACAAATTTAAAACAATAAAGCTCTGAAAATTTATTTGATTTATTTTACTTTTTATTGTTTTTGCTTTTTTTTCTTCTTTCTTTATTAATTTAACTCACCATTTTATTTTAAATTTTTGCTTTTATTGTTATTTAAACTTATAATAATTAACAAATTAATTTATTATTTAATATTTAAAAAGTTTCAATTAAATTGGTTAAGAAGGTGCATCATACTTAGGTCCTGCTTTAGCAAAGTGCATTAATCTCTCAAATTTGACTCTTGATATTATGTAAAAAAGTTTATTTTTTTGGATTGTGATATTTATAATTATTAAAACTAATTTAAAATAATAAAGCACATTTAATTTATTCGATTTAATTTTCTTTTGTTATTAATATACTTTGTGTACATTTTTTTTCTTCTATGTTTGTTAATAGAGCTCATTATTTTATTTTTAACTTTTGCTTTTATTATTAATGAATCTTATTATTTCACATTTTTTCCTTTTAATTAACTAATTAAATAAATATTTTTTATGAAATTTTTAAAAAGTTCTGATCAAATTAGTGCAATGGGGGCATCATTCTTAGGTTCTTCTTTAGTAAACTGCACTAACTTGTCAAATTTGAGACTTTAACTTGGGTAAAAAGGATTTATTTGTTTGTTTGTTTTGGATTGTGATATATTTATTTATTAAAACTATAAAGCTCTTTTAATTTATTTTTTTTTTCTTCTTTTTATTATGCTTGCTTTTTTTTCTTGTTTTTTTATTAATTTTACTTTATCATTTTATTTTCAAATTTTGTTTTTATTATTAATTAGTCTTATTTATTATTTCATATTTTTTCTTCATTTTTTCCTTCTAATTAACAATTTTAATGATATATATTTTCTTCAATATTTAAAAAGTTCCAATCAAATTGGTGATGAAGGTACATCTGGTTTAGGTTCTGCTTTAGCAAACTGCACTAACCTCTAAAATTTGACACTTGACCTTTAGTAAAAACAGTTTATTTGCTTTTAATTATAAAACTAATTTAAAACAACAAAGCTCTTATAATTTATTTGATTTATTTTCAATTTTTTTTATTGTGCTTACTTTTTTTTGTTCTTTTTTTGCTAATTTAAATAATCCTTTAATGTTCAACTTTTGCTCTTATTATTAATTAATCTTATTACTTAAAATTTTTTCTTCATTTTTTCCTTCTAATTAACTATTTAATATTTAAAAAGCGGCAATTAAATTGGTAATAAAGGTGTATAAGGCTTAGGTTCTTCTTTAGCAAACTGCACTAAACTATCAAATTTGACACTTGACCTTTAGTAAAAAGAATTAATTTGTTTTTACTTATAAAAACTAATTTAAAACAATAAAGCTCTATAATTTATTTGATTTATTTTTATTTTGCTTGCTTTTTTTTCTTCTTCTTTGTTAATTTAACTTATTATTTTATTTTCAACTTTTTTTTAATTTTAATTAATTAATCTTATTATTTTATATTTTTTCTTCATTTTTTCCTTTTAATAAACTAATTAATTAAATATGTTTTATTTAATATTTAAAAAGTTCTAATCGAATTGGTGACGAAGGTGCAACAGGCTTAGGTTCTGCTTTAGCAAACTGTACTAACCTCTCAAATTTGGCACTAGGCCTTCAGTAAAAAGAGTTTATTTATTTATTTTGGACTGTGAAATATTTATAATAAAGCTCTTATAATTTATTTGATTTCTTTTTCTTTTTGTTGTGCTTGCTTTTTTTAATTATTAGTTTGCTAATTTAACTCATTTTTATTTTCAAATTTTGTTTTTATTGTTAATTAATCTTATATTTTCATTTTTTTTTTTCATTTTTTCCTTTTAATTAACATTTTTTATTCAAAACTTAAAAAGTTTCAATTAAATTGGTGCACTAGGTGCATTAGGCTTAGGTTCTGCTTTAGTAAAGTGCATTAGTCTCTCAAATTTGACACTTTAACTTGAGTAAAAAGATTTTATATATTTGTTTTGATTGTGATATTTTTAATTATAAAAACTAATTTAAGACAATAATGTTCTTTTAATTTATTTTATTGCTTTTTAGATGATTTATGTCTTAATTTTTTTATCCTGCTAATGCTATTGATTTAAGAAATAAACTTTAATTAAAAAATTTATTTTATTTAATATTTATTTAAAATTTACAATAATTTATAATAGCAGTAACAGATAATTAAATTTCAAAGCAAAAACAGAGAGTCTTAAATCAAAAAGATTAGTTTTCTTTGAAATATAATTCTGGTGATAAATAAGTGACAAAAATAAAGGAAGAATAAATATTATATAAATGTTTGAATAATTGAAAACTAATTATAAGTTTTATTATATAATATTTTGAAAGGTCTTTTTAACCTAAAATAAATATAAATAAAATAGATTTTTGTTTTTATATTTATAAATATCATATTTATTTAATTGATAAATAATACTAATAAAAAATTTAAAAATTTTAAAATTAAATTTACTTAAATAAATTAATTCCTCTTAAGTCAGCCCTTAGGTTTCGCCAAAAACGATATAAATTGGAAAATAATTTCTTTTTCGTAACAAGGAAGGTTAAGATCTTAAGCATTTATTTTTTCATTAATATTGTTTTATTTACACTCTAAATTAATAAAATAAATATATCTTTTATTTTAAATTTATTATTTGATTATCTTTTTTAATTTTTTAAATAAACTTTTGCACCTATTTTTCCATTTGAAATTGTGTTAATATATATTTAAAGCATGAAAGAAAAAATTAAACTAAATATTTTGTAATTTTTATTTACCCTTTAAATATTCTTAAACAATATTAATTTAAAATTATTAATACATTTAATTTATATGTATGATATACAAACTTTACATATATTTAATTAAATAGACATAATAAAATATTAGAAATTAATAAGTTCTTTGATCTTTTTTGTTGAAAACTCAAAATTTTAGTAAGTTAAATTAAATGATTAATTAGAAAATATATCATATTATTCAAATATTTTAATATCTATTCATTCTATTTTCATTAGTTTTTATCACCAATTTTTTAATTTTAATACAACTAATCTTTTTGATTGAAGACACTTTACTTTCAGTTATTATTATTGTTATTTATTGATTTCGTTACCACTTTTAATATAAATTAGTATAAATTACTAAAAAATAAAAAAAATAAAATTATATTTTAAATCAATATAAAAACTTAGCAAAATAAAAAAAAGAAAAATAAATCAAATAAAAAGCTAATAAATCAATAAATTAAAAGAGTTTTATGTTAATAAATAATCACAATCTAAAACAAATAAACTGTTTTTACTAAAGATCAAGTGTCAAATTTTAGATATTAGTGCAATTTCCTAAACCAGAACCTAAGCCTAAAGCTCCTTCATTTCCAATTTTATTGAAACTTTTAAAAGATTGAAGAAATATATAGTTAGAAGTAAAAAATGAAGAAAAAGTATGAAATGATAAGTAATGAATTAATTAATAAAATAAAATAAAAGCTGTAAATATAAAAATAAGTTAAATTAAAAAAGAAAGAAAAATTCAAGGAGAAGAAAAAAAAGAAAAGTAAGTCAAATAAAAGACAAATAATTAAATTAAAAGAGTTAGTTTGTTAGATAGTTTTAAATTCATTTTTATATTCAAAAATATCACAATCCACAACAAATAAACTGTTTTTACTGAAGATGAAGTGTCAAATTTGAGAGATTAGTGCACTTTCCTAAACCAGAACCTAAACCTGATGCCCCAATCGCACCAATCTGATTGTAACTTTTTAAATATTGATGAAAATATTAAAATTAATTAGTTAGTTGAAAGGAAAAAATGAAGGAAAAATATAAAATCATAACAAATAAATGAACTAATTATTCATAAAACAAAAGTTGAAAATCAAAAAATGAGTTAAATTAATAAAGAAATAAAAAAACACAATCACAATAAAAAAAGAAAAATAAATCAAATAAAAAGCTATATAAATCAATAAATTTAAAGAGTTATATTATTTAAAATTCATTTTTATTTTAAAAAATATAACAATCCAAAGCAAATAAACTGTTTTTACTGAAGATAAAGTGTCAAATTTGAGAGATTAGTGCACATTACTAAACCAGAAACTAAGCCTGATGCGCCATTATCGCCAATTTAATTTTTACTTTTTAAATATTGAAGAAAAACTATATAGTAATTAGTTTTTTAAAAGGAAAAAATGAAGAAAAACATCAAATAAAAGACATGAATTAATTAATAGTAAAAAAAAAGTTGAAATGAAGAAAATGTGATAAATTAACAAAGGACAAAAACAAAAACAAAAGGAGAATAAAAAAAAGAAAAAAATAAGTTAAATAAAAATTAATAAATAAATTAAAAGAGTTAGTTAGTTAGTATTTTGTTTTCAATTATTTTTTTTTAAATACCACAATCGAAAACAATTAATATGTGTTTACTTAAGATTAAGTGTCAAATTTTAGAGATTGATACAATATGCTAAACCAGAACCTAAATATGATGTACCTTCATCACCAATTTAATTTTCACTTTTTAAGTGTTGAAGAAAAAATATAGTTAATTAATTTGTTTTTAGAAGGAAAAGGAAAAATATGAAATGAATTAATTAATAATAAAAGGAAAAGTTAAAAATGTAAAAATAAGTTAAATTAGCAAAATAAAAGCAAGCAGGATTAAAAATAAATGAAAGAAATCAAATAAATTAAATGATGTATCTTAATTCATTTTTATTTTTAAAAATATCACAATATAAAATAAATAATTTTATTTACCTCAGATGAAGTGTCAAATTTTAGAGATTAGTACAGTGTGCAAAACCAGGACCTAAAAATGATGCATTACCAATTTTATTATTACTTTTTTTAAATAGTGAAGAAAAAATAGAGGTTAATTAGTTAGAAGGAAAAAATGAGGAAAAAATATGAAATAAATTAATTAATAATAATAAGAGAAAAAGTTAAAAATGAAAATATAAGTTAATTTAGCAAAATAATAAAAAGCAAGCAGGATAAAAATAAGAAAATGAAATAAAATAAAAAGTTAATAAATATATTAAAAGAGTTTTTTTGTTTAAAATTCAATTTCATTTTAAAAAATATCACTTTCAAAACAAATAGAATGTTTTTACTCAAGAATAAGTGTCAAATTTGAGAGATTAGTACACTTTGCTAAACAAAAACCTAAGCTCTATGCACCATATTTTCCAATTTTATTGCCACTTTTTAAATATTGAAGAAAAAATAAATAGTTAATTAGATTAATATTTTAATTTCAAAAATATCGGAAAATTACAAAAAGTCTGTATCGTATCAACTCTGATGAATAAAGAGGAAATTAGAAGGATAAAATAAAGAAAATATGAAATAATAAGAAATGAATTTACAAATAATAAAAGTAAAAGTAGAAATTAAAAAATTATCTAAATTAATAAAGAAATTAAGCAAAATCACAAGCACAAAATTAATAAAAAAAAGAAAAATAAATCTAATAAAAAGCTAAAAAGATATTTAGTTTTATTGTTTTAAATTCATTATTATATTCAAAATTATCACAATCCAAAATAAATAAAATGTTTTTACTTGAGATTAAGTTTCAAATTTGAGAGATTAGTGCAGTTTGCTAAACAAGAACCTAAGCCTGATGTACCTTAATCACCAATGCTATTACTCCTTTTTAAATATTAAAGAAAAAATAAAGAGTTAATAGTTAGTTAGAAGGATAAAATGAAGAAAAAATATGAAGAAATAATAAAAATAAAAGCAAAATTTGAAAATAAAAAATGAATTTAAAGAACAAATAAATAAAAAAAAGTCAAAGAAAAATAAAAAGCAAATAAATAAATAATTTAAAGGAGTTATGTTGTTTTAAATTCATTTTTATATTAAAAATTATCACAATAAAAACAAATAAAATGTTTTTACTCTAGATTAAGTTTTAAATTTGAGATATTAACACAGTTTTATAAACCAGAACATAAGCCTAATACCCCTTCATTTTCAATTTTATTATGACTTTTTAAATATGGAAGAAAAATATAGAGCTAATTTGGTAAAAGGAAATAATAAAGAAAGGAAAACAAAAGTTAAAAATGAAAAAAATAAGTTAAATTAACAAAGAAAAAAATAAAACACAAGCAGTAGAAAAAAAGAAAAATAAATCAAATAAAAAGATATTAATAGATTTATTTTATTTTAAAATAATTTTTTATATTAAAAATATATAATAGACTTTAAGGAAACTAAATCACTCAAACTTTTCCCCCAACTTCCCCTTTTTAAACATAATTTTATTTTTAAATAGGAAATATCGGAAAAAAATTTTGACTGAGTTTGTGTTCTTAAAGTCTATTATATCACAACCAAAAATAAATAAACTCTTTTTACTTAAGATTAAGTGTCAATTTTGAGAGTTTAAAGCAGTTTGCTAAACTAGAACCTAAGAGTGATCCATCGTTTGCAATAATGTTACTTATACTTTTTAAATATTAAAGAAAAAAAATAAAGTAATTAGTTAGATAAAGGAGAAAATGAAGTAAAAATATGAATTGAATTAATTCATAATAAAAGTAAAATTTGAAAATTAAAAAAATGAGTTAAATTAAAAAAGAAAAAAAAAATACACATAATCAGAATATAAAAAAATGAAAAATAAATCCAATTAATATTTTATTTTTAAATATTGAAGAAAAAACATAAAGTTAATTTGTTAGTTAGAAAGAAAAAGTGAATAAAAAAATTAATAATTAATAATCAAAACAAGAGTTAAGCCAAACAAGTCAAAAAAATATTGTTATAAACTACAATGAATGAATGTAGATGAAAATATTAGAAAAATAATATTGTAAATAGCTTGTAAATTAAATTTTAAAAAATATTAATGCTAATAATAATATCAATAAATTAAATATACCTCAGATCAATTTTTAGAATCTAATGAGATTAAAGCGAAGAGTTTAAAAACTTTTTTTATTAATAAAACTAAATTTAAACAATATTGATAAAAAAATAAATATTTACTTTTTTTAATTTGTTAAAATATTTTTTCTTTTATTTCATTTATTATTTTTTACAAAAATATCGAATTATAATTTACAGAAATTGAATTAATTATTAATATATTATAGTTTATTTTAAATTTAATTGGGTAAAAACAAAAAATAATTATAACATTAATCAATTATAAATTTTTTTAGTTGATTTTATCAAGAGATATAAATAAAAGTTAGTGCAACATTATTTATTTAATCTTATTATTATTTAAAATTCATACTTAAAAATATAGTAAGAATGAGAGATGAGTATTTATATGTTAAAAAAATCTAGCATTAAAGTACTTCAATTTTAATAAAATAACATCTATTTATTTATTTAGTTTATCTTTCTGTTTTAGTCCAAAATCTATTTACTATTATAAAACAATCTAATAATCAATAAATTGTAATAATTCATTTATATTTAGAATGAAGAGAGGAAGTTTTAAATGAAGCATTTATTAAATAAAAAATATCATAATTGTTATTATATTATAAATAATCTATAAAATACTGTAGTTCTCTAATTATTAAAACCAACTCTATCCCATCACCTAAATTTAATAATATTTTTATTGATATCACAAATCATGAATGATATGATGGTTTGTGATATTTCAAATGCAGTAACAGCTATATATATATATAATATTTAATATTATACTTTAAAATATGTGAAGTTGTTGCATGAGGGTGGATGGGTGTAGGAAGACTAAAATTTTTATAAATTTTAATAATAATTATTCATTGTGCCCTTGTTTTAAAACAGTTAAATTTTTTAAATGTATAGTAACAGATTTTAACTTTAAAATAATATTATTATTTGCATGAATTTATATATGATAATTTTGTATTTAATCTTTAAAAAAACAAATATATTAAATTCAATAGTTTGAAAAAATACTAACAATAAAAACATAAATATCAAAAGTTAAACATCGCACTATGTTGCTTTACACTATTAATTGTATAAATTTGATTTTTTGAATATTCACTCAATTCACTTTATAAATCAAATAAATTTTAAGATTATTTTTAACTTGCCTTTAGATCATTTGAGTCTTTGATTTCTTCATCTATAAAATTAAATTTTAAACTTTTATCCTATTCATTTTTAGTGTGCTATTTTGTTTAGTTTTCATGACAAAGAGCTTTTTGATAATTCTAAAGCATATTATAAATAGATTGTCTTTTATTTCTAACTGTGCTTTTTTCATTTACATGTAAGATATTACTTAAAATATAACTCTGTTTTTTTGCATTGGTTATACTTCTTTTTCTTTACATTATTTATGTTTGATCAGCTAATTTTTAATATAAAATATAAATAAATAAATAAATAAATAAAATATTTAAAGGCTATTGATTTGTTAATTACCTTATAAACACATTTAATCTCCTTCTTTAAGATGATCTTGAAATTTACTTATTTCCGAATTAATTTTGTTTAATTTTATATTTTTAATGCTTGCACTAGCTTTTTTCCATAATTTTAGTGTTTTAAGTTTGTTATACTTTTTTTAAACAATTTAATTTTTTAAATATTTTGGGAGACAGTTCTTCAGACAATTTCTAAGATGCTTAAATAAAGTATTTTTTTGCTGGTTTAAATTGATTTTAAATATTATAAAAATTAGTGAAATAACATAGCCAAAATAGAAAATAATGATTATTGTTTCTATAAAAGGTAATTAGTATATCTAATAGATTTGATAAATAAATATGTTAAAAATTAAAGTAAAGCAGGAGATTGTTTCGTAGTAGTTTAGTTGATTGTTATAGAATGGCTTAAAAACGAGTAGCAACTAAGTATAAATGATTATTATAATAAGTGGACAAATTGAAGAAACTTCTTACTGTTATTAAAGCAATACTGATGTTAGGATTATAGATATTTTAAAATAAATCCTAACAAACTCCCAAAAGTAATAATTTTATTTAAATTCTAGGAAGAAGTATCCGTATTTTGATTTAATAATAAAATAATTTAAACTGTTTCTATTTTTGTATACTTTAGAGTCTTTTAAGAATAGAATCAATAGGATTAAAGGAAATAGTATCCAAAAGGCCATGATAGGTATTATATAAATTTAATTAAATAGCTAAAAATCTTAGTCATCACAAAAAAGCTCTAAGCTTGGGCTAAGATAACTTTTGCTGCCTATTTATCTGCATTAAAAGGTAGAAATGAAGTAATTAAGCACATCAAATTAAAAGAAAAAGAATGTGATATGAGTAATTATGTAATTGAAACCAATTTTAATTTAGATTTTCTTAATTCTTTTGATGATATTCAAAACTATTAACTAAGTTAAATAAAATAGAAACGGAATTGTTAAATACAACATGCTAGTCAATTTTATGTAAATTGAATTGTCGTTTTTATTTTAACTTAAATTTAAGTAATGATAAAAGCATTCACTGCTAGCTGATAGTTTTTGAGCAGGAGTACCAAAGAACTCAAATATATAGGTGACCATTTACGGAATTATGCTGACTTTGAAAGAGTAGACAATTGAAGAAATTTGAATAAAATTAAGTAAAATTTTCATGATAAAAACTGATTCATCTTAAATACAGCTTTTAGAATAAGGTAATAATTTCATCATTCTTAAATAATTTCCATGAGCATTCGCTATGCAGTTTTTCATAAGCATCAAAATATTTGCTAAAATGTAAGAAAAAATAAAAATTGCAATTAAAAAAATGTACACAAATTCCATATTAGATTCGCTGCATTTTTGGCATTTATATTTTTAAATTGAATTTGCATAATATCCATTTTTCCAAACCTTTCCAAATATATCGCAAGTCTCGCATAGAGGGCCTAAATATCCTTGAATACATCCATTTAAGCTGTCTTTATCTTATGAATTGCAGATGTTTGGATACTCTTGATTACATTAAAGAATTAAATCTGTCTCTTCATTTTCTCTCCAAAATCCATTAGATAGGACAAGTTTGTTAGAATAGCACTTACTTACACCAAAAGGACATTTCTTACATTTTAAGCTATCTGTTTCTTATAAATTATTGAGTATTGGTTGCTGTAGAGAATAAGTACCTTCGATACATTATTCACACTAGATTATGTTATCTGATATTTGCAAAAATACTTCTCCAGGTAAGCAATTTCTAAATTTAATTTACATGTTGACATTTTTAACAATTTGCTGCTATGTCAATTTAATCTTCAAACTCTAAGAACTAACTACGATATTTGGCTAGGCAGCTAAAATTATATTGTCAAATACAAAAGAAAATGACTCAATATAAAATTATTTATAAGTTATTATTGACTGTCCTCTGATATCGACTCTCCCACTTGTATCAAACAATTCAAAAACATAAAACTACAGCTCATTCATAATACTTTCAGGATAGTTGTTTGATTAAATTTAATTTAAATTTATAGCAACAATTTTGTTTTCATTATCGTAAAGTCTGATTGATAAATATAAATTTCCTCCACTTTATTAATCAGTTATGTAAAGAATATTACTTAGTTCTTTTTCGAAAAGGTTTGCTTAAAAAATTTCTTTTTATTAATTATTAAGGATGCTAAGCTTAATAGGATAAGTTCCTATATTATTACCATAAATTTTTCCAATATTATCTTAAAAAGTAGCTTAAATTAAACCATAAGCATTCAGATTTAATAAATTATTTTAAGATGAGATAATCCTTATAGCACCTCCTATCAAAGCTGTATTTTTAAGAAATTATGACTTGGAATCAATATTAATTATTTAAACATCCTCAAATAGCAAACTTCCACCATTTCCAAAAACTTCATTTTGAATAAATTATGTTGAGTTGATTGAAATGTTTTTTATGTCCTTGAAATAGAACGAAGCACCATCTGTTCCTTTATTTAGCTAGAAATTTGATTAGTTAATATTTATTTAGGTTGAGTCTTTTATTAAGATATTTCCTTCATTTTATTAAAACTAAATACTGCTTAAAATTATGTTTGTATTTGAAATTAAAAATAGGTTTTACTGTTTTTTCAATTCATAAGTGATAGGAAACTAATTTTTAGAAACAAAAGCATTTTATAAAATAAATGAATCATCAAATAAATTTCTGATATAATTTTGACTGCTGTAAGTCTTATTAGATCTGATAATTGTTAATTCTTTATTTTAAGTTGAAATTAAATTATTTATGAGAGTCTATTGAATTCCTAGCAATTCTAAAATAATTGATTAGTTTAATTAAGATATTTTTTGTGCTGTATTTTAACAATTCTTAATAATTATTGTCTCCAATTTTAGATTTTAAATGTCCATCAACTGTATTAAAATTCCATTAAAGAAGCTGTTGGAAATATATAAATTTTTAATAATCAATGTTCCTATTTATTGAGCTATTATTAAAGCAAAATTATCATCAAACTAAAACATATTATCAATATTTATTTTGTCAATTAAAACATAAGAGATATTTTTAAATACAAATAATCCTAATTGAGTTTGTTAACCAATATTGCTATCAAGCAATCTTTATGAAGAACTTAAATTTAGATTCATGAATTTCATATCAACTAATTACACTGAATTAGTTGAGTTAAATAATAATTATGATCCATAAGAAATGCTTTAATTGCTTATCTGCAAAGATTAAAAATTTATATTTTAAGTTTTCTAATTAAATTAAATTAATTATTATCCCTGCTAAAAATGCAGATTAAGATCAATTAGATTGACATCTTAATTAATATTTAAGAAACTATTCTAGCTCAAAACAAGATTAGAATTCGTAGAATTAACAGATTAAAATATAAATTATGTTTAATTATTTGATTGAAAATTAGAGAAATTTATTTCTTAATCTATTGAAATCTTAATTATTTAATTTAAGTTATTAGGAATATTTGCTTAGGATATTTAATCGAGCTAGTTTTGGGTAAGAGCATTGTTTTAATAACGAATTTCCTAAATGCAATTAGACTAATTACTATTATAATTTGCTATTTAATCACTGATTTATCCTAGACTTAATAGGTATTCATATATTCCTGTTGAAGTTATAGCTAAAATTTAGTAAATTTGATTATTTATCACATTATTCAGTGAGATTATTTCTGGAAATGACAATTATTTAAAGTGGACTGATTAAATTTAATTTTACGTATTAATTAAAATTATTTCAATTCCATTTTGGTATGAGATAGCAAAGCATTTTTCATTTATGCTTAGAAATTATTTCATTGAAAAACTCAAACTAGATTTTCTGAATCTGCCAATATAACTTAAATTTGTAATATTATAGAAATTTAATTAAAATTTACATCCGAGTACGAGATAGCTTTCAGTGTTATATAATTGTTTCCAGTATAGCTCTGGAAATGATAAATATTTGATTAGATTGTTATTAATTAAATTAAATACTGCTAATTTCTTCTCTTCTGCTATACTCAGATAATATCTTTGATACTTATAATCAATATCAAACAATATTAAGTTAGAGCCTTTACTCTAATTCTAACTCTAGTTTATGCTTTGAGCTTTCTGGTTGAATATTTATGAATTTGTTGCTTTCATGCTATTTATGTCTACTTGTATGATATTTCCTTGTGACATTATTAGAACTAGCTAGCTATTATCTTTTTAAATAAATTAAACAACAATATTTGATGGTTAGTAAATTCCAATTATTTAGCTCTACTTTTAATTAATATTGTATTAAAATACTTCACCAGAAACCAATGAGACCAAAAGAATATTCTGTTTTTGATTTTGATTGTCTAAATATGTAAAGTTAAAAGTAGTAACTATCAAATAATTTTAATTAAATTGATATGTAAAAAACTATTTCTAATTAACGAAATCGTAATCTATGAATTGATTATTTTGAGTTAAGAAAATTGCAATGTTTTCTCCTACTAAAAGGAACTGCTTAATTTTATAAGATAGAGTATAAGAAATATTATTGATATTAGGGATCAAGCTGATAGTTTATCCTATTATAATATCTACTTAAGAGGAAAATACAACAAGATTAATTACTTAATTGAACTACACAAATTTTTTCATGTCAATTACTTAATCTTAGAATCGTTATATAAAAACCATTTTTTACTGGTCATAAAGAAATAGATTATAGCTGTTATCACAAACAAGTATGGAATTCAAGAAACTATTTGCTTAGCTCTAAATTAAAATATAAAACTACTTTTCTGTACGGTCAACTGTTTAATAAACTTTGGTCAGTATATTATAACTTTATCTCCAAATATATTAACCATTATGGATGAAAATTTCATTCATATCAAAATCTAAGAAATAATCAATTGGAGGTGCTGTTTGTTACAATTATAACTCACTGATTCCAATTATATTTTAATTAGAGACAGTTGAGCCTAATGTAACAATTTAGCTATTACCATATGTATCTACATAAAAAATCATGTTGTTTTCTTAGTCATATTTTGCACCTAATGAATTTCCTATTCCATTATATTTATACGGCTATGTAATACTTCCTTAAGATTATAGAGTATTTAAGCTAAAAAATTTTAATTAGCCAGTAGTTATTTCATTTGTTTGGTAAGCAATCAAGTTTATTTAAGGGAAATAAAAACCTTTTCTTAGCTAGCCAATGCTGGGAATAATATTTTTAACGATCTACAAAGTTTATCTTGATATAATCATCGCAGCTAATTTAAATAAAAATTATTTTTAAATAAAAAAACTAAATTTTAAATTTAAACTCATAATTCTAATAATACCATAAATACTTCTAAAAAATTAAACTTCTAATTTGTATAAATAGTTAAATAGTACAAAAAATAAAAAATTTTAGTAAAATAAAAAAAATTTTTGAAAAATTGATATTTATTTACCTGATGGAGTATATGCTAATAAGTAACTAGAACAGATATCAAATTAAAATATAGGTTAATTCGAGCCATTAATACTTGATAAATAATTACCTTAAAAGTTGTAAATTTCAATTTAATTTTCATAAGCAAAAATATATTGCAATTTTTGGTCAATTTAAAGATTAAAATTCATTAAAGTCAATGTTTATATTAAAATACTTGCTTAGACTTTATATTATTATAGTTTATCATAGATTGAAATGGAATTAGTATTTAATTTACATACCACAAATTATTCCATAAAAAAGCAGATCTCATAATTAAAATGACCAGCAGGTGATAAAATATTCATATTGCTTAAATCTAAATTAAATTCAACTAGAATTTTTCCATATGCAAGAATCTTAGAATATGTTTCGTCTATCCAACAGCCTTAAACTTAATTCAACGAATTAGAAATTTAACTCTATTTGATTGTGTAATTCAGATTATTTATTTGATCTTTTACAATTATTTATTACCTGTTAAAAGACAAAAATATGCCAAGATTATCTGAAATATAAAGATCAACTATGTTTTCAAAGCTATCTGGGTTGGTAGAAATTTTAAGATCAAAGTTAATTTATCCAATCAATTCGTTAGAAAAAAGATTAAAAATTTATATAGAAGAAATTTTGATGACGTAGTAACTTCCTAATTTAAAACTTCTTTTGATAAACTGGATAGTGTCTTAGCTATACATTTTTTGTATAGAATAAACTTTTTAAATCGGATAATCTTAATTTAGTGGGCTAACACCCAAGTATCCACTTGCTGCACCTACGTAACTAATTGTGTTTTAAATGTTTATTATTTCTGAGGTAATAGTCTCACCTATAATATAATTTTGATTACCTCTAAGTTAAATTCCACTTTATTTATACCATTTTATTTACTGTGTTAGAGAATAACTATAAGCTAAAACATCATTGAATAAGAATATTTCTTAACTATTATCATCTGTAATTTTTCTCACAATAGAAAACTTAATTGATACTACAGTGTAAGTTATTGGTCTTTAAATGACTCCATTCTAAGTTATTTCTAAGAACCCAAATTAGCATGGATATGCTAGATTTGACTGACTTGAATAAAATAATGTAAAAAATATATCAGGTTCATACATTTTAACATCTACTAGAATTCCGTACTATTAAACATTCTACAATATAATCTAAAAATTATTATTTATAATACTCATTTAATTTCTTTAATCCATCACCATCAAAATCTCTATTTTTAAATTAAATAAAATAATTTTTTTAAAATAATAAAAAGTGTTTTTAAAAATAAGAAATGAACTTTTAAATGGTTGAAGAATTAATTGAAAGCTTTTAAAGAATTTCAAATAAATTTTTAAAACATTTTAGATTTACAATTGAAAATATGAAAGTAATTTTTTCAGCTGTTTAAATGAGCAAATAAATAATGATTAAATGGTATTAATTAATTAAATTAATTACGCTGATTGGGATAATTAAAGAGGAACATCTTAGAGTAATTGAATTGCAACTAATAGGTATTTGGTGTCTGATTAATTGATAGTGAAGAATTATTGAATATATATGATCTAATAATATTTTAGTTATCAACTGTGAATATAGTGTCTTAGTTAGAAACTTTCGCAATTAGTATATTGCTGTTAAAACTAGTAGCATAAATTTATTGATAATTAAGATTGTAAATTGCTATGGTTTAGTTAAAAAACAAATAGATAAAGTTATTTGATAAATTGATTTAAGTGTATTGCTATAGATTTACAAATATCTCAATCAATTAAAAAGTATTATAAATATTTTAAATTAAAATATAATTATTAAATTAGGCAAGCAAGATTTGAGATTAAAATATCTACACATCTATGCATGCTAATCCGCCAGATTAAAACTAATTTAAGTATTTGGGATTCATTTAGTCTACTGTTTACCAAACCGCAATCTTTCCTTATTAATCGCATGTTACTAAAATATTTCCATCATCCGATAATGCAACTTTATGAATGGTATTTCGGTTTTAGTAGGAAACTGCTTTGAAATCTGTTGAAATATAGGTCTTGTTCAATTGTAAATCTACTATCTAAATTATATCAGATAGAATGCACAAAAAGGATTGGTTTTGATTATTTGACAAATTTATGAATTTGATTGGGGAATTAATGTAAACAGTCATCTGATTGTAAAATAATAAAGTCTTTTTGTTTAAATAATCAAATAAATATATTTCTATCTTCTAGTTTGATAATATATATACAAAAATTTAATCTTTAATTAGAATTTAACAAAAATCTAAAATTTATAATGAGAATTCTTTCTGTTAAAGAATTTAGAATGTGTTTAAATCAACAATTTGTAATGCTTTATTATCTGCCAAAATAAATAATACTTATTTTGAATCGCTTGCTGGGCTTTTTGATGAATATTTTTAAATCTTATTGATTTACTAGAAAGAGGTATTTATTGAACCACAAGATTTACTATTTTATCTGACCATAAATACTTTGCTTTGATTTTGTAAAGTTAAAAGAATTGTGTATTAATTATTCAAAAGAAAGCTTTCTATTTGCAAAATATTAAATGAACCAAGCTCACATGTATATGATTCATTAACTTATTAAAGAAAGACTTGAGATAGAGCATTTTATTATAGAAGATAAACTATGGTTTAATTCTAAGGATTGAACAATAAAATGAAGTTATTGATTGTGATAAATTTACTCTAGAAACTAATTTCTAACTAATTTTGATAATTATTTGCTGCATTAATTTCAGTAAAGAAAACTTTATTTTATTACTATTAAAAGGAAGTAATAAAACTTCTACTTTGATTATTACTAACAACTAAGACATCACTTTAAGCATTAACAGTTCCTTGTTAAATCACAGCACATAAAACATTTTTTTGGTTAATTTAATCCCAAAAATACACTTTATTTTCATTTGTCACTAGATAAATTTGCTAATTTATGCATTTAATCAACATCAAGCTTAGGTTAAATGAATTTTAACGAATAAATGAACCATCATAAGCATTAATCTTATTAACAAAATAGTTATAGATAACTTAAATATATCCATCTTAATCAAAAGAAGCATCAATTATCTTCTATTTATTTGAGATCTAAGAGAGCTAAAGATATTAAGTTGAACAACTATTTGCAGAAATACATTTATTGCTAGCAGAATCTAAGATAAACCTTTGAGGACATACTGACATACATACCATAGATTAATTTGCCTCAAATGTGCTTTAATTTACTTCGCATTTATCCTACACACAAATATTTGTTTGCTCAAAGTAAGAGAACCCAGTTTAACACTCGGAACATCTTTCGATGCCTTTAAGGTCTAAGTAGCAGCTATTACATCCAGTTGGACATGCTAAACACATAAATAAAAGTTGGAATAACAGGTATATTTATACACCAATTTTGTTCATTGTTATATATATATTTATTTTATTCAATTCTTATCCTTTTTAATGTGATTTTAATTAATTTGAATTCATCTATTTTAAAAAAATTAATAAACAAATAGTTCAATCAATCAATAAAGAAATTAAATTTCTAATACTAAAGTTATCTCTATACAATTTATGAAAAAAAGTTTAAAATTTGTTTGTATAATTTATTTTTAATATGGATGATAAAATATGATTTATTTACTTGAAATTTATTATTTATTAAATATTTTATTTTATTATGAATATTAACATATGTTTGAGATTGAATAGAGTATTTAAAAAAATTATTTTAATTTCAAAGTGTGTTGCCACTTTTCTTAAATATTCTTAAGAAAAGAGCAGTATTAGGTTTGATCTATAAATTAAATGAAAATATTTTGAAATTAAATATTTACATAGAAAGTTATTTTTTGCTTAAAGTTAATTTAATGATTTATTAATATTTAGCTTTGTAGATATTTTTTACCCCTAATTTATTTTGAAGTTCAGATTTTTTTGAGCTTTTTAGCATTCAATTTTATTAGAAACCTAAATCAAGAGTATTTTTATTTTAAATATACAAAAAATCAAAATATAACAAAAAAGTTTAATTAGAAAATATTCGAAAATACCTATTTTGTATAAAAGTTAGGTTATTTAATTACTTAAATTTCTAATTAAGCAAAGAGCTTTATAAAATAAATTGGTGTTTATGAAAAACAGTATAAAATTTATATAAAATAGAACATAAAATATTTGTGTGATTATGAAAAAATGGCAAATTTTTATTTGGTTGAATTCAATTAAATATATAAATCATTTAAAATATCAAAAATAAAAGGAAAATTTGTAAATTTAAATTTACTTTAACAAATAAAAAATCATAAAGAAACCTTTTTGATAATTATCAGTTTTAATTTTGAATTTTTTTTTATCAGATTAAACGAATATTACTTTCTTATTAATTAATTTCTATTTAAATAATTTATCATTAGACTTTAAAAAACAAATAAATCCTCATAAAAATAGGCATACAGATAAACATATACATATATAGCACTTTGCTATTTAAAAAAATGGCTATTGCTGCTAAATAGCACATAGCCATTAGGTTTTAAAAGTAATATAAAATTTATTTTTTTATTTTTTTATATGTATTTATGAATCAAATTTAATTTGTAAAATGAGGGCACAATGGAATATTTTAAGATTTAAAAAAGAAGGGCAATTATATAAAATATAAAATATAAAATATATTTTTATGATTTTGTAATATAACTTGTTAAAATTTGTGTATGAAGCCTTGAAAAAGGCTGCAAGCACCCTAGGGTACTATATATATATCATAAAACATATAATATTCAAATATTTAAACATAAATTTAATATTTATCCATGCTTTTTTCGCCACTTGTTTATCATCAGAAATTATTTTCAAATGCAACTAATCTTTTTGATTTAAGACACTTGCTTTTTACTTTGAATGATTGTGATTCACTTAAGTTAAAACTTCTATAATAAATTTGAGTAAATATTAAATAAAATAACATTATAGGAATGAAAAAAAAAAAATCAAATAAATTCAAAGTGCTTTTTTGTTTTATAGTTAAAATATCTCAATCCAAAACAATTAAACTGTTTTTACTAAAGCTCTAGTGTCAAATTTGAGAGATTAATGCAATTTGCTAAAGCAGAGCCTAAACCTGAGGAACCTTCATCACCAATTTAATTATCACTTTTTAAATTTTGAGGAAAAATTTATAATTAAATAGTAAATTAGAAGGAAAAAATGAAGAACAAATTTAATTAATAAGATTAATTTATTATAAAATCAAAAGTTGAAAATAAAATGATGAGTTAAATTAACAAAAAAGGAACAAAAAAAAGCAAGCACAATAAAAAGGAAAATAAAAAAGAGCTTTATTGTTTTTAATTAGTTTTTATAATTCAAAATATCACAATCCAAAACAAATAAACTTTTTTTACCCAAGATCAAGTGTCAAATTTGAGAGATTAATGCAATTTACTAAAGCAGAACCTAAACCTGATGTACCAATTGCACCAATTTTATTACGACTTTTTAATATTCAAGAATAAATATATTATTAATTAGTTTATTAGAAGGAAAAATTAAAAAATAATATGAAATAAAAAGATTAATTAATAATAAAAGTAAAAGTTGAAAATAAAACGATGAGTAAATTAACAAAAAAAAGCAAGAACAGTAAAAACAAAATGAAAAAAGAGCTTTATTGTTTTAAAAAGTTTTACCCAAGACTAAGTGTCAAATTAGAGAGATTAATGCAATTTGATAAAGCAGAGCCTAAGCCTGAGGCACCTTCATCACCAATGTGATTGTCACTTTTTATATAATTATTTAGCTTATTAGAAGGAAAAAATGAAGAAAAAATATGAAATAATAAGATTAATTAAAAATAAAAGCTAATTCTGAAACTAAGATTATGAGTTAATTTAACAAAGAAAGAACAAAAAAGGTAACCACAATAAAAAGAAAAAGAAAAAAAGCTTTATTGCTTTAAATTAGTTTTTATAATTAAAAATATCACAATCCAAAACAAATAAACTGTTTTTACCGAAGTAGAAGTGTCAAATTTGAGAGATTCATGCAATTTGCTAAAGCAGAACCTAAACCTGATGCACCCATTGGACCAATTTAATTGTAACTTAATAAATATTGAAGAAAAAATTTATAATTACTTAGTTTATTAGAAGGAAAAAATGAAGAAAAAATATGAAATAATAAAATTATTTAATAATAAATGTAAAAGTTGAAAATAAAATTATGAGTTAAATTAACAATGAAGGAATATAAAAAAGCAAGCACAAGAAAAATCAAAAGAAAAAGAAAAAATAGATTTTTTGTTTTAAACTAGTTTTTATAATTAAAAATATAACAATCCAAAACAAAAATGTTTTTACCCTAGACCAAGTGTCAAATTTGAGAGATTAATGCAATTTGCTAAAGCAGAACTTAAGCCTGATGCACCTTCATCACCAATTTAGTTGTCACTTTTTAAATATTGAAGAAAAAAATATTAATATAGTTTATTAATAGGAAAAAAGGATGAAATAATAAGATTAATTAATAATAAAAGCTAATATTGATAATTAAATTATGAGTTAAATTAACTAAAAAAGAACAAAAAAAAGCAAGCATTATAAAAAGAAATTATTGTTTTAAATTCGTTTTTATATAAACCGTTTTACAGAAGATCAATTTTCAAATTTGAGAGATTAATGCAATTTGCTAAAGCAGAACCTAAACGTGATGCACCAATTGCACCAATTTTGTTACGACTTTTTAATATTGATGAAAAAATATTTAATTAAATACTTAATTAGAAGGAAAAAATGAAGAAGTAATATGAAATAATAAGATTAATTAATAATAAAAGCAAATTGAGTTAAATTAATAAAGAAAGAAGACAAAAAAAAAGTAAGCACAATAAAAAGAAAATGAAAAAAGAGCTTTAATGTTTTAAATTTTGTTATTATAATTAAAAATATCACAATCCAAAACAAATAAACTGTTTTTACCCAAGACCAAGTGTCAAATTTGAGAGATTAATGCAATTTGCTAAACCAGAACCTAAGCCTGATGAACCTTCATCACCAATTTAATTGTCACTATTTAAATATTGAAGAAAAAATTTATAATTAAATAGTTAAATAGAAGGAAATAATGAAGAAAAAACATGGAATAATAGATGAATTAATAATAAAAGCTAATTTTGAAAATAAAATAATGAGTTAATTTAACAAAGAAGGAACAAAAAAAACCAAGCACGTTCAAAAGAAAAAGAAAAAAGAATTTTATTGTTTAAATTAGTTTTTATAAATAAAAATATCACAATCCAAAATAAATAAACTATTTTTACCGAAGATGAAGTGTTAAATTTGAGAGATTAATGCAATTTGCTAAAGCAAAACCTAAGCCTGATGCACCCATTGAACCAATTTAATTGTAACTTTTTAAATATTGAAGAAAAATACGAAATAATAAGATTTATTAATAATAAAAGCAAATTTTGAAAATAAAATAATGAGTTAAATTAACAAAGAAGGAACAATAAAAAGAAAGATAAAAATGAACTTTATTGTTTTTAATTAGTTTTTATATTTAAAAATATCACAATCCAAAACAAATAAACTGTTTTTACTAAAGCTCAAGTGTCAAATATGAGAGATTAATGCAATTTGCTAAAGCAGAACCTAAATCTGATACACCCTTTGCACCAATTTTATTGCTACTTTTTAATATTGAAGATAAAATTAAATAAATAGTAAATTAGAAGGAAAAAATGAAGAAAAAAAATGAAATAATAAGATTAATTAATAATTAGTAAATTTAATAAAGAAGGAACAACAAATCAATACAAGCAAAATAAAAGAAAAAGAAAAAATAGGCTTTATTATTTTAAATTAGTTTTTATATTTAAAAATACCACAATCCAAAATAAATAAACTGATTTACCGAAGATTAAGTGTCAGATTTGAGAGATTAATGCAATTTGCTAAAGCAGAACCTAAGCCTGATGCACCCATTTCACCAATTTTATTGCCACTTTTTTAATATTGAAAAAAAATAATTAAATTGTAAATTAGAAGGAAAAATGAAGAAATAATATGAAATAATAAGATTAATTAAATTAACAATAAATGAAAAAAAGCAATGAAAATAAAAAGAAAAATAAAATAAATCAAATAATTTAAAAGAAATTTAATGTTTTAAATTAATTTTACTAATTAAAATAGCAAAAAAATATACATTAATAAAAAATGAATAATAAATAATTAAAATTTGAAATGAAAATTAAGTTAAAATAGCTAAAAAATTTTTGTTTAAATAAAAATTAATGAATAATGAAATATGAGAATTTCTATTAGAAAAGATATTTTTTAAAATAAATTGAAAGTTAAATATATATAAATTATTAATAATAATAAAAATAGTATAAATTAATAAAATATACATCAGATCAATATGGAGTTCCTAATGAGATAAAAGCGAAGAGTTTAAAAACTTTTTTTTATTAATTTATATTAATTTAAAGGATATTAATAAAAAATAAAATAATTACCTCTTATAATTCTTTGTAATGTTTAATCTATTATATCATTTATTTATTTTTTTCAAAAATATTATTTAGAAATTTAAGGAATTTAATTAATTATAAATGGATAAAGAGAACAAATAAAATATAATAATTAATTATCAAATATTAATCAATTAATAAATTTGCTTTTATGAAGAGATATTGCAGAAAAATTAATTTAACATTAATTATTTAATCTTAATATGTATTTAAAACATATATTTAAAAATATAATAAGAATTAGAGATGCGTAGTTAGTCATATTTTAAAAAATTCTAGTAATTAATTATGATAAACAATAAATAAGTACAATACATACTTGCAAATTATGTTATTTGTATTTATATGAAGATATTTTTTTTTATATATAAATATTTCGTAAAAATGATTTAAAATTTTTTAAAACATGTATAATCATAAATTTATATATTTATTTTAATAATTCTTTTTCAAATATTAATTAAATTACTTAAGCGCTTCCAAGATTACTTTTCTTGCGGTAACACTACCACAAGTATTTTAATCTGGAAGCGCTATAAATTATTAATTAATTATAATTCTATTATAAAATAAATAAATAAATTAGATTTTTTAATAAATAAATATATAAATAAAAAATATATTTCATAATAAGTGGCAGGCAAACCATGAAATTTTTGTATTGCATCATGCTATAATTAGAGATATTATAAATATTCCTAAAATTACAGAGATAAAACAAACAGAAAAATCTACTTATAAACATTATTTTAATAATATTTAAGAACATTAACTACTAGGTTTTTTTCAAATATGACTAAATAAATAACTGGCCGTTTCTAATTCCTGCTATATTTATTTTTAAATATATGTTTTAAATATAAATATTAAGTTTAAAAAGTGAATGTTAAATTAATATTTCTGTGATATCTCTTCATAAAACCAAATTTATAAGTTAATATTTGATAATTAATTAATTTTTTTTTTATTTGTTCTTTTTATCCATTTATAATTAATTAATTAATTAATCAAATTTCATAAGTTGCTATTCAATATCTTTGAAAAGAAAAATAAATGATATAATAGATTAAAGAATATTACGAATTAGAAGAAGTAATTATTAATTTTTTTATTAATATATTTTAAATTTATATAAATTAATAAAAAAGTTTTTAAGCTCTTCACTTTTATCTTATTAGGTTCTCCGTATTTATCTGAGGTATATTTAATTAAAAAATATTATTTTTATTATTATTATTATTTTTTTTATATTTAATTTTCAATTTATTTAAATAAATAATTTTTATAAAAGAAATTATCATCATCATTATTTATTTATTGATTTTTATTAAAACTATAATTTTTTAGCTATTTTAACTTAATTTTCATTTAAATTTTTAATTATTTATTTATTATTCATTTTTTATTATTTGATATTTTTTCTTCATTTTTGCTATTAAAACTTACAATTAATAAAAGCTATTTATTTGTTTTACATTGTAATATTTTTAATTATAAAAGTTAATTTAAAATATTAAAGTTCTTTTAATTTATTTGATTTGTTTTCCTTTTCTTTTTATTATGATTTCTTATTTTTTCATTCTTTCTTTGTTAATTTTATTAATTAATCTTATTATTTCATATTTTTTCTTCATTTTTTCCTTCTAATTAACTATAGTGAAATACCTATTTAATTTCATTCTAAATAACATTATAAATAAAGCTAATTTTTAGAAAGCATAAAATATAATTTTTTTTGAAAAATATAAATTTTTAAAACCTAGGATGGAAAAAGTTTCATAAAAAATATTTAAAATTTAAATTTTATAAAGTTTGAGCTTGTATACTTTCCCGAATAAATGTAGCCAATAATTTATGAAACCCCCCCATTTTTTTTTATTTTGAAATTTAATAACTTTCACCTAATTTTAGTGATATTGGTATTGGTGATGAAGGTGTATCAGGCTTAGGTTCTGGTTTAGCAAAATGCATTAATCTCTCAAATTTGACACTTGACCTTAGGTAAAAACAGTTTATTTGTTTTGGATTGTGATATTTTTAATTATAAAAACTAATTAAAAACAATAAAGCTTTTTTTTCTTTTTCTTTTTATTGTGCTTGCTTTTTTTTGTTTTTTCTTTGTTAATTTAAAAATTCATCATTTTATTTTCAACTTTTGCTTTTATTTTTAATTAATTAACTAATCTTAATATTTCATATTTTTTAATAATTTTTTCCTTCTAATTAACTATTTAATGATATATCTTTTCTTCAATATTTCAAAAGGAACAGTAAAATTGGTGATGAAGGTGCATCAGGCTTAGGTTCTGCTTTAGCAAAATGCATTGATCTCTCAAATTTGACACTTGACCTTGGGTAAAAACAGTTTATTTGTTTTGGATTATGATATTTTTAATTATAAAAACTAATTAAAAACAATAAAGCTCTTTTTTCTTTTTCTTTTTATTGTGCTTGCTTTTTTTTGTTTTTTCTTTGTTAATTTAAAAATTCATCATTTTATATTCAACTTTTGCTTTTATTTTTAATTAATTAACTAATCTTAATATTTCATATTTTTTAATAATTTTTTCCTTCTAATTAACTATTTAATGATATATCTTTTTTTCAATATTTAAAAAGTTGGAATTAAATTGGTGATGAAGGTGCATCAGGCTTATGTTCTGGTTTAGCAAAATGCATTAATCTCTCAAATTTGACACTTTACCTTACGTAAAAACAGTTTATTTGTTTTAGATTGTGATATTTTTAATTATAAAAACTAATTAAAAACAATAAAGCTCTTTTTTCTTTTTCTTTTTATTGTGCTTGCTTTTTTTGTTTTTTCTTTGTTAATTTAAAAATTCATCATTTTATTTTCAACTTTTGCTTTTATTTTTAATTAATTAACTAATCTTAATATTTCATATTTTTTCTTCATTTTTTCCTTCTAATTAACTATTTAATGATATATCTTTTCTTCAATATTTAAAAAGTAAAAATAAAATTAGTGCAATGGGTGCATTAGGCTTAGGTTCTGCTTTAGCAAAATGCATTAATCTCTCAAATTTGACACTTAACCTTTCGTAAAAACAGTTTCTTTGTTTTGGATTATTATATTTTTAATTCTTTGTTAACCCCTTAGAATCAGGGGAGCTAACTTTTGAATGTTTATGAATTTTATAAAATTCTGTGTTTATATGAAAATAATTAATAATTTTGATTTCTTTATTTTAAAGGTGAAAAACTCCCCCAGTCGAAAGGGTTAATTTAAAAACTCATCATTTTATTTTCAACTTTTGCTTTTATTATTAATTAACTAATCTTAATATTTCATATTTTTTAATAATTTTTTCCTTCTAATTAACTATTTAATGATATATCTTTTTTTCAATATTTAAAAAGTTGGAATTAAATTGGTGATGAAGGTGCATCAGGCTTAGGTTCTGCTTTAGCAAAATGCATTAATCTCTCAAATTTGACACTTTACCTTAGGTAAAAACAGTTTATTTGTTTTGGATTGTGATATTTTTAATTATAAAAACTAATTAAAAACAGTAAAGCTCTTTTTTCTTTTTCTTTTTATCATGCTTGCTTTTTTTTTATTTTTTCTTTGTTAATTTAAAAACTCATCATTTTATTTTCAACTTTTGTTTTTTATATTAATTAATTAATCTTATTATTTCATATTTTTCTTCATTTTTTCCTTCTAATTAACTATTTAATGATATATTATTTCTTCAATATTTAAAAAGTTCTAATTAAATTGGTGATGAAGGTGCATCAGGCTTAGGTTATGCTTTAGCAAAATGCATTAAACTCTCAAATTTGAAAATTTTGAGACTTAATCTTGGGTAAAAACAGTTTATTTGTTTTGGATTGTGATATTTTATACAAAAAAAATGAGAATAAAACAAAAAAGCTCTTTAAATTTATCTGATAGCTTTTATTTATTTTATTTTTTTATCTTTTTTATTCCACAAATATTATTTTATTTATTAATTTAAAGAATAATTTTTAATTTAAAAGTTTATTCTATTTTGATATTTATTTTAAAATTTACACAAATTTATTTTAAAATTTTTAGCGATTTGAATAAATCATAAAAATTCAAAGTAATAAGCAAGTGTCTTAAATCAAAAAGATTAGTTGTCTTTAATCACAATTGATAAATAACTGGTGAAAAAAGGATTAATAAATATAAAATGTTTGAATAATATTATATATTTTATTATTTAATATTTTGAAAAAGTGTTTTTAACCTAAAATATAAATAGATAGATAAATAGATTTTATTATTGATTTTATATTTATAAATATCATTCTTATTTTTGTGTATAAATAAATTATTTATTTATAAAAAATAAAAAAATTAAATCCTCCTAAGCAAACCCTCTGGTTTCTCCAAAAAGGATCAAATTATTTGAAACTTTTAGTGTTATTTTACAGAGAATTTACAATCGGAGCATTTATGGGCCAATAGGTAGAAGAAAAAAAATATTCTACCTATTAAGCCTAATTTTTCGCCCTCCAAACATTTCGCCTGGAGGGTAATTATTAAAATACTATATAAAAAAACTTTTTTTAACAAATTTTTAAAATTTTTTAAGCTTTTGTAAAAGTTATAATTTTTCTAAAATTAATTGTCTTTAAAAAATGTAAGATTTAAAAATATGAAAATTAATTTAATTAAAAAAATAAGCGTAAATACTTCTAAAATATATCTTACTCATTATCCTTTATATCCAATCTCTATCTAGTACCTACTTTATTTTTAAGTTCACATTTTAAATAGTAATATTAAGGTTTAAAAATAAATGAGTGTTACAATCAATAACTAACTAACTATTCTATGATATCTCTTTCTAAAAGCAAATTTATAAATTCATATAATTAATTTTTCTTTTTATTCACTTATAATAAATTAATTAATTAATTAATTAAATTTGGATAAATTGAAATTCAATATTTTAGAAAAAAAATAAATGATATAATAGATTACATATTACAACAGATTATAAGAAGTAATTATTTATTTTTTTATGAAAAAGCTTTAAATTTATTTTTATTAATATAAAAAGTTTTAAAATTCTTCATTTTAATCTCATTAGGCTGTTCATATTGACTTGAGGTATATTTAATTTATAAATAATAATATTATTAACATTCACTACATATTTAACCTCCAGTTTATTTAAAATATTACATAATATTTTTTTTTATATTTAATTTTTAATTTATTTATAAAGTAATTTTCAATAGAAATTCTCATCAATATTTATTGATTTTTACTTAATAAAATATTTTTTTAGCTATTTTAACTTAATTTTCATTTCAATTTTTAATTATTCATTCAATATTGATTTTTTATCATTTAATATTTTTTCTAGATTTTTTGCTATAAACGCTTATATTTGATAAAAAGAGTTTATTTGTTTTGGATTGTGATATTTATAATTATAAAATCCCATTTAAAACAATAAAGATCTATTAATTTATTTGATTTCTTTTTCTTTTTATCGTGCTTATTTTTTTTCTTTTTTATTTGCTAATTTAACTCATTTAAACTTTTACTTTTATTAATTAATCTTATTTTTTCATCATTTTTTCTTTCAAATTAATTGACTAATTAATTTTTTTATATTTTCTTCAATATTTAAAAAGTTTCAATTGTATTGATCAAGATGCATCAGGCTTAAGTTCTGCTTTAGTAAATTGCACTAATCTCTCAAATTTGACACTTCATCTTGGGTAAAAGCAGTTTATTTGTTTAGGATTATGATATTTTTAATTAAAAAATCTATTTTAAAACAATAAAGATATGCTTATTTACTTGATTTATTTTTCTTTTTCTTTTTATTATGCTTACATTTTTTCTTTTTTCTTTTCTAGCTCACTATTTTATTTTATTTTCAACTTTTATATATATTTTATTATTAATTAATCTTATTATTTCATATTTTTTCTTCATTTTTTCCTCCTAATTAACTAATTAATTTTTAATTTTCTCTTAAAAAAGTGAAAATGAAATTGGTGATTAAAGTGCATCAGACTTAGGTTCTGCTTTAGCAAATTGCACCAATCTCTCAAATTTGACACTTAATTTAGGGTAAAAAGAGTTTATTTGTTTTGGATTGTGATATTTTTAATTAAAAAACCTATTTTAAAATAATAAAGATCTTCTAATTTATTTGAATTATTTTTCTTTTTGTATTTATTGTGTTTTCATTTTTTCTTTTTTGTTTACTAATCATATTTTTCTTTTATTATTAATTAATCTTATAATTTCATGTTTTTTCTTCATTTTTTCCTTCTAATTAACTAATTAATTATATATATATTTTCTCTTCAAAATTTAAAAAGTGCCAATTAAATTGGTGCAATTGGTGCATCAGGCTTAGGTTCTGCCTTAGTAAATTGCAGAAATCTCTCAAATTTGACACTTGATCTAGGGTAAAAAGAGTTTATTTATTTTGATTTAAAGCAATAAAGATCTTTTAATTTTTTTGAATTATTTTCTTTTTCTTTTTTCTTTGCTAACTCATTATTTTATTTTATTTTATTTTCAAAATTTACTTTTATTATTGAATGATCTTATTATTTTATATTTTTTCTTCATTTTTCCCTTCTAATTAATTTAATTAATTAATTATATATATTCTCTACAATATTTAAAAAGTAACAATTAAATTGGTGATTAAGGTACATCAGGCTTAGGTTCTGCTTTAGCAAATTGCACTAATCTCTCAAATTTGACACTTATCTTAGGGTAAAAAGAGTTTATTTGTTTTGGATTGTGATATTTTTAATTAAAAAACCTATTTTAAAATAATAAAGATCTTTTAATTTATTTGAATTATTTTTCATTTTCTATTTATTGTGCTTGCATTTTTTCTTTTTCTTTGCTAATTTAACTCATTATTTTATTTTATTTTTAAATTTTATTTTTATTATTAATTAATCTATCTTATCATTTCATATTTTATCTTCATTTTTTCCTTCTAATCAACTAATAAATTATATATATATTTTCTCTTCAAAATTGAAAAAGTTCGAATAAAATTGGTAATGAAGGTGCACCAGGCTTAGGTCCTGCTTTAGCAAATTGCACTAATCTCTCAAATTTGACACTTGACCTAAGGTAAAAAGAATTTATTTGTTTTGGATTGTGATATTTTTTATTATAAAAACTAATTTAAAACAATAATGATCTTTTAATTTATTTGAATTATTTTTCTTTTTTCATTTTATTTTGCTTCCTTTTTTTTTCTTTGATAGTTTAACTCATTATTTTATTTTATTTTAACTTTTATTATGAATTAATCTTATTTATTATTTCTTATTTTTTGTTCATTTTTTCTTTCTAATTAACTAATTATAATATATTTTCTCTTCAATATTTAAAAAGTTACAATTAAATTGGTGCAATTAGTGCATAACAATTAGGTTCTGCTTTAGCAAATTCCACTAATCTCTCAAAATTGACACTTAATCTTCAGTAAAAAGAGTTTATTTGTTTTGGATTGTGATATTTTTAATTATAAAACCTATTTTAAAACAATAAAGAACTTTTAATTTATTTGAATTATTTTTCTTTTTGTTTTTATTGTGCTTGCTTTTTTCTTTTTCTTTACTAATTTTACTTATTGTTTTATTTTAACTTTTACTTTTATTATTAATAAATCTTACTATTTCATATTTTTTCTTCATTTTTTCCTTCTAATTAACTAATTAATTATATATTTTTTTTCTCTCCAATATTTAAAAAGTGACAATTAAATTGGTGATAGAATAGAATAGAATAGAAATACTCGCACATATAAATGCACTCAGAATACATCTTAATTTTAATTTTTATAATGTTTATAATTATATTATTATATATATGTTGATTTGGAATAAAGGAATAGCGGAATAAAGGAATAGCAGAATAAAAGAATAACAGATTAAAACAATAAAGAACTTTTAATTTATTTGAATTATTTTTTGTTTTGTTTTTATTATGCCTGCTTTTTTATTTTTTTCTTTGCTAATTTAACTCATTATTTTATTTTCATCTTTTACTTTTATTATTAATTAATCTTATTATTTCTTATTTTTTCTTCATTATTTCTTTATATTAATTATATATTTACTCTTTAATATTTAAAAAGTTTCAATAATATTGGTGCAATTGGTGTATCATGCTTAGGTTCTGCTTTAGCAACTTGCACTAATCTCACAAATTTGACACTTGAACTTTAGTAAAAAGAGTTCATTTTTTTTGAATTGTGATATTTTAAATTATAAAAACTAATTTAAAACAATAAAGATATGCTAATTTATTTGATTTATTTTTCTTTTTGTTTTTATTGTGCTTGCGTTTTTCTTTTTTATTTTCTAATTTAACTCATTATTTTATTTTATTTTCAACTTTTACTTTTATTATATATTAATCTTATTATTTCTTCATTTTTTCCTTCTAATTAACTAATTATATATATATTTTTTTTTTCTATTCAATATTTAAAAAGTGAAAATTAAATTGGTGACGAAGGTGCATCAGGCTTAGGTTCTGCTTTAGCAAATTGCTCTAATCTCTCAAAATTGGCACTTGACCTAGGGTAAAAAGAGTTTATTTATTGGGTTGTGATATTTTTAATTATAAAACCTATTTTAAAATAGTAATGATCTTTTAATTTATTTGATTTATTTTTCTTTTTGTTTTTATTGTGCTAGGTTTTTTTCTTTTTTCTTTGCTAATTTATTTAACTCATTATTTTATTTTATTTTATTTTCAACTTTTACTTTTATTATTAAATAATCATATTATTTCATATATTTTCTTCATCGTTTCCTTCTAAATAACATATTAATTATATGTTTTCACTTCAATATTTAAAAAGTCTCAATTAAATTGGTGATGAAGGTGCATCAGGCTTAGGCTCTGCTTTAGCAAATTGCTCTAATCTCTCAAAATTGACACTTGAGCTTTAGTAAAAACAGTTTATTTGTTTTGGATTGTGATATTTTTAATTATAAAACTTATTTTAAAACAATAAAGATCTTTTAATTTAATTGATTTATTTTTCTTTTTTCTTTGCTAATTTAATTTATTATTTTATTTTAAACTTTTACTTTTATAATTAATTAATCATATTATTTCATATTTTTTCCTTCTAAATAACATATTAATTATATATTTTCTCTTCAAAACTTAAAAAGTCTCAATTAAATTGGTGATGAAGGTGCATCAAGCTTAGGTTCTGCTTTAGCAACTTGCACGAATCTCACAAATTTGACACTTTACCTTAAGTAAAAAGAGTTTATTAGTTTCAGATTGTGATATTTTTAATTATAAAAACTATTAAAACAATAAACATCTTTTAATTTATTTGATATATTTTTCTTTTTATTGTGCTTGCATTTTTTATTTTTATTTTTTGCTAATTTAACTCATTATTTTATTTTCATCTTTTACTTTTATTATTAATTAATTAATCTTATTATTTCATATATTTTCTACATTTTTTCCTTCTAATTAATTATGTATTTTCTATTCAATATTTAAAAAGTGAAAATGAAATTGGTGATTAAGGTTCATCAGACTTATGTTCTGCTTTAGCAAGTTGCACTAATCTCTCAAATTTGACACTTGACCTAGTGTAAAAATAGTTATTTGTTTTTAATTGTGATATTTTTAATTATAAAAGCTAACTTAAAACAATAAAGATCTTTTAATTTATTTGATTTATTTTTCTTTATCATTTTTATTCTGCTAATGTTTTTTATTTATTAATTTAAGAAATAATTTTTAATTAAAAAATTTATTTTATTTAATAATAATTTGAAATTTACACTAATATATAATAAAAGTTTAACCAAATGAATGAATCATAAGAATTCAAAATAAAAAGCAAATGTCTTAAATCAAAAAGATTAGTATTCTTTGAAATAATATGAAATAATACTCTAATGATAATAAATAAATGGCGAAAAAATGATGAATATATAGTATATATTTGAATAATAGAATATAATATGTTTTATTAAATTATATATTGAAAAAGTTTTTTAAATTTAGAAAATGTTTGCAAATTTTATTTTTTTATATATTGAGAGGAATATTATTTCTACTATTTATTAATTTTTTTGATGCAATATTTAAAATCTAAATAAATAAACAAAAATTAATTATAATTATTACTATTTATTATTCTAATAAAAATTTATATGAAAATTTAATTAAAAATTTTGTACTTGATCACTCATTCATTCATAACAAATGATCAAGTTAGTATTTTTAAAATAGCATATTTTTAAATATAAAATAAAGGTAAAGGTCTATAAAGCAGAATACAAAACATTTATATGCTTTTGGCATGAGTTGTTTCTTATTAAATAATTATATATTATCTAAAAGGAAAATTGAAAGAATAGTAGATTTATAAATGACTATAAAAGTATTAGTTGGAATATATTATTTTAATAAATAATATAATATAAATTTAACAAATAATATTATATAAATTTAACATAAGAATAGTGTATTATTATAATCATTATCATAAATTTAATTATTTATTTATTATAATGGTGATTATATTTTATCAGCAAAAGTATTTACAGATCAATAAGCCGTGTTTATAGCAATCCCAGCAAGGGCAACTAGGGTCAGTCATAGAGCATTTAACCTTATGTGCAAAAGGACCATTTAGTTATACAATACGTTTAACATAGGTATATTTAGGTTGATTTTATTGTCCTGAGTTATCATCTGCATTTACAATCATAGCAAGAACAAATAAGATAAGAATGTACTTAATAAATTTCATTTTAATTAGAGGATTTTTTTTATTTAATTTGATTTCTTTCTTTGAATTAATTAATTATATATTCTTACTTCTTAAGATTTCTCCTCTATTTAAGCAAGCGTGAAGCTTATATCTACAAACTTATATTAAAGATAATAAATTCTTTAATCAGGAAAATTAAATATTAAATTCAAGCTCGTTTAAAAAAAAAGATTGATTAATCCAACTTTTTAGTGATCAAATAAACAAGTATCATAAACATTAGAGAAATAAAAGGGAATTTGGCATTTATAAAATTATATTATAATGAAATCAGTAAAATTTATAACTAATCTAAAGCTAATATATTTTAGAAGCGTTAATAACAGCCAGTTCTTATCAAAAATAAATTTACTGACATTTTAATAGATTAACATCAATAAGTGATTTTTTTTCACTAGATAGCTTTTATTAAACAAATATTTGATTGATTCGAGTGATAAAAAAATTTTTATTTAAATATACTTTCTATAAGCATGAAAAAATAATTGAGGTTGAAACCAAAATATTTGGTTCAAATACAGACAAGGATAAAAATATGATTTAAACAAAAAATGAAATTATTTTATCTAAAAATTGAATTTTCATTTTCGAATGGATTTTTTAGAATTCCTTAGAGTGTGTGTATTGATAAATCATTTATTTAAATTTTTAAGAACTACTTTAATTCTTTGTTTAGATAGCAAAGAAGCGCTTGAATTTAAAATATGATCTCTATTTTCAATAATATAAAAGTACTTTATCTTTTATTAAATTATATAAATAATATGCAATGGACTCATATTTATAATGTGATATTTTTTGAAGTAAAATTATAAAATATTTCACAATTAGATTAAAAAATATATTACAAATTAAAAAGTATTTCAAATGTGTGATTAAATTCTTTCTTTTCTAAATTTTTTAAGCTGTTAAAAATCAATCTATTTATCTATTGATCTATTTAAAGGTCACAATTTTTACTTAATCAAGCTATTTTCAGTCAAGTTAAATTTTCTTATTATTTATTGACCATTAACAAAAGATTAATTTTTTTTTAATTCAGGAGCATTTTTATTAATAAGCAATAACAATTACTGAATTAATATTTTCTTAGAAAAAGATTTTTTAATGTTTAAAAATACATTGATTCGCTAATATATCAAACTAATTATCTTCAAAAATGTTTTTTAACAACATTTTATTGTATAATAACAAGTATCTATTTTTAAATTAATGGATTTGAGTTCTTTTTTTATTCTAAAAATATTGTCACATGAAAAAAATAATCGCAGAATTAATTGGTCTTTTAAATGAAATTAACTCAGATTAAATAATGTCCAGCAAAGCCAGTACTTAAAAATAATTTATAAATTCCGCTATTAATTAATATTGATTACTATGGTCATCAACTATTAATTACTATTACAAAAAAAATTATACACCTCTATTGATTAACTTTTATATTCTATGAAAAGCTAGTTCTGGCTTTTATTATATCTAAAATATATCCATTTTTACAATAGAAAGTAACATGTTATGTACAATATTTTTTTTTCAGTCCCTAGCCTCTAATTCTAATATAATCTACTATAAAACAAATTTGTCAATGTTTTTCTTTATTTTTAAAACTAAATCAAATATTATTGAATACTTTTTCAGCTTATAAAAAAATATTATTTATTGAAAGTGATTTTTTAGAGAAAAAATGCCTTGTAAATTTCTTAAATTAAATAAAATACAAGCTATTTAAATAAAAAATATTACTTTTTTACAAATGAATTGAATTCACCACAATAAAAATATATAATTAATTATGAATTTTAAGCTTTATTAAGCTCATGGAGATCTGTTGAATCCTAAGTCTATTACACACTTATTACTAATTTGCAGGTTATAGAATTAATTTAATTGCATTAGCATTAAAAATATTAAAGCCATTTTTTTATAAATTTTTTGCATTTTTCAATGTCAATCTAGTTTTAGAAAATTGGTTTTTAAAAATGTGTTTTCCTTTAGCAGTAAATGTGCTTAAAAACATATTTTTTCAAACAAAATATTTTATTTTTTCTTGCATTCCCCTAAAAAACTCTCAAAATAATCCAAAAATCCTTAACAATCAAAAAAATAAAGCTGATTTTAAGCTTTCATTTAAAATCTAAATTGAATTATCTCTTAGCGAACAATTAATTAGTAAGACACTTATATAATACAATTAAATAAAATAATAGTTATTAACTATTCAAATGATATTTATAAAAATAAAAATTGAGTAATTATTTTATAATTTCTTTCTTTGATTTTAATGTTTTTTATAAAATTTATTAATTCATACTTATAAATTATAAAATCATAAGAAAAAATGACAAAATATAGCTTTCTTTTCTAAGAGCATATTTTTAGATTAATATTAACTTAATTGTTTTAATTAGAATTTTTATGAAATAGATTTACTTTTTGAAATAAGCAAATGAATATTTCAAATAAATGGGTTATTTTATGAAATTAAATTCAATATTTTTTTTAAGGTTAACTATAATACTTGTCTAAGAACATTTCAGAAAATACTGAGTATTCAACACATTCGAATAGTTTTGATATCTCTAGGTTTAAATACTGATCATATGTTATACAATTTTTAGAGTGTGCTAGGTTTTGCCTGTATGTTTTTAATGCTTCTAGCTAATTTGGTGGCACATAAATTTATTCTATATATCCTATATGGTCGTATGGAGTTTACTAATGCCTCGTGAAAGGGCTCGCTATTTTAGTGGTTGTTAGCTGCAAATCTAGATTAAATCCATCGAATGTGACTATGTTAAAGTAAACAGTTAAACTTTCTAAGTCATTTTCAATTCTTTTCTACACATCTTTTAGTATTGTTTAGTATGAACTTTTAAAAATATTTTCCATATTAATTGGATTTCCCCTCATGAAGGTATATTCGAGTATTTCTTTATTAACTCCTATTAATTTTAAATATTCTTAGCATAGTCCAAATTTTGTGATTTCTATATCTCCTAGATAGTAATTCATTCTGCCTACCAAATACTTGAAGATTGTACCTTTCTCTAATTAGGATGCTTTATATTTTACATAATCAGAGAATTGCTGATAGTCTTCTTCTATCTCTTAATAGACTTAGCTTGATATTTTTTAGAAATATTTCTACTTTGAAAGTATTAAATTAACTTCTTGCTAATACTTTTCAAGCACCAAAGCCAATTCTCTTTGTGCCTTGCTATTCTAACTTGATAGAAAATCGCATAAAAACTAAAATTAGTTGATTCCATAGGAAACATTATTAGAAGAGAATTCAAAAAAATCCAACGCTTTATCAAATTTAACTTAAATTCCACTTGAGCTTTTTTGGTAGATTGTTTAACAGCAAATTTGCTGAGAACTCTCCAAAGAATCTAAGTTAGTAGGAATTTCAATATGCCCAAAAATATAAAATCTATAATTAATATCTATCTTTTCATTTATCAAGCTAACAGGAATAAATTCCACCTAATTAGGTTTATTGACAACTCTCTTTCCTTCAAGCAATCTATTAAACTTTTCTATCTTTTTCTAATAATTCCTAACTAAATCTATCTTTGTTTAATTATATTTTAATGCTACATCTTCATGGTTATCATCTTTAGTAGATTCTTAGAAATCCTGCTAAAATTATTCTATATCCTGCTATTACTTATCTGATTATTCTTCAATCATCTCTTAAAAATCTTGAAAAACAATATGACTATTTGATTAATACAAAGAAGAACCATTACTGTCTCTTTAATTATTCAACAAATCTGAATATTGATTATGATTTTAAATCATTTGTTTTTTATTCTTATTAATACTAAAAAAACTAATATTTCAATTAATTCTTTACTCATTGTGTTTACACTAATATTGAAATTTAAAATTAAATTCTTGATTTGACAAAAAAAGTTTCCCCCACCGGGACTTGAACCCGGGTCTGAAGGGTGAAAACCTTCTATCCTAACCTGCTAGACTATAGGGGATTACATTGATATCACAAAAACACAAATTTAAATTTTTATTTTTTTCTCATAATTTCTTGATAATTGATAATAATCAAGCCTTATGCTAATGTGTAAAAAAGATTATTCTTTCAAAAGAAAATCGAATTACTTAAGCATCTTTATTTCCATTAATTAATATTAAAATTAAGCTAATTAGCAAAAGAAAAATAATTTGGAATACTAAACAAATTTGAATATTAAAAAAGCTATCCATTAAATTCATTCAAAGTTTATTGAATAATTAATTGGGTTTTATAATAAATAATATTTATATTTATGAAATTTCAGGCTATGAAATAAATATTTATTCATAATAAATCTAACTATTAAAGTAATTATCATTAAGTAAACTATAATTATCTTTTTTAAAATTTAGTTTATAATTGATTAAAACTATATTTTGTTTAAATTCATGATTATTGATTGAGAAAAAGGCCTTATTTAGAGTCTTATTTATTGCTTAAAAAACTTAAAATTTTATATAATAGTACAAATAACTTTTTATTTACTGTTATTTCTTTAATTTGTTTATAAGGATTCAATATTAATTTATGTATTATTTTGTATATTAGAAAATCCAAAAAATTATTTGATACTATCGAAATTGATAATTATTTTCACTTATGTAATTTTATTATTCAATTTAAAAACAAAAATAATTATGAGTATGTATCTAAATATTACCATAAATATTAAATAAATAGATTAGATTTTATCAAACAATTTTATTAATTTATATTTTATTTTATTTTTCATTTTAAAAATTAACACAATTTGAGAAAATATTTGATATAATTTATTGCTAGTTATCATTCTATTTATATATATTTGTACAAGTTTTAAGTAATTTATGATGATTAATTTTGCGAGTTTATTCAAATGCAAGTAAGGTGTTTTAATATTATTCATTTGTTTGCTACTTTTAAAATTATTTTATAAGAATTACAAAATTTTATTTGTTTGATAAAAAAATAAAAAAATAATTAATTTTTATTAATTTTATGAAAAAATTTCCCCCACCGGGACTTGAACCCGGGTCTGAAGGGTGAAAACCTTCTATCCTAACCTGCTAGACTATAGGGGATTACATGAATTTCAGAGTCTTACAAATTTATCTACTTTTTTTATTTTCAATAAATTAAATTAAATAAGTTAATCAATAAAATAACTAAATTTAATCACCAGCATCTTTTTAATTTGAATTAATTTTAATTTTTCTATGGTCTTTATTGCTACTATTTTTAATGCTAATTCTAAATAAACACAAAATTATTTTAGAAATTTTTAATAAGATTTAAAAATATTTACAAATAAAAATGATAATACGATTATAGTAAGTATTAATGAATGAATGCACTAATTGATCTTTATTTTTAAATATTAAAATACTAACAGAATAAAGAATAAATGAATGATGCTTTTTAAGAAAATATTTTTGATTAAATTTTTATATTCATCATAAATACATTTGTAATATTTCATAAAGAAATAAATTTATTTTTTAATCTAAACTAAAATAAAAATAAAATATAATAAGCTTTTTTTACTTCATATAATTTAATTTTGATCTAACTAAATTATGCTTATTAAAATTCAATAAAATAACTTAAGCTAGTTATAAAAAGTACTAAAATATACACGTTTACAAGTTTTTTACTTCAACTAATTTAATTTTTATCTATATTATGTTTATTAAAATTCAATAAAATAACTTTAGCTACTTATCATAATCACGAAAACATACACGCTAACAAAGCATTGAAATGATATGTATAATATTTTTTAATTTCTTACAAAATAATGTAAATTCAAAAAATAAATAGATATTTTTGATTGAATTGCTCTAAAATAGATAGACTTATTGTTTTTTGATTGAAGTATATCAAATGTAAATATCAAAGAAGGTATCGTATCATAATTATTCATTTGTAGAAGAAATTTTATAAATATTTTTTTTTTTTGCGAATAATGGTTTTTGTTTAGATTTATAATAAAGAGTTAGAATTTGATTAATTGGATGAGTGTGTGAGTGAAAAAATTAATCTTACACAAAATTAATAAACAATTAAAGAAACTTAATAAGTAAAGAAATCTATAAAAAATTATTTACATTTGCTGATAAACAAGCAATCAAAGAAACACATATTAAGTGTAGATAAAATTAAGTATAGAGAATGAAATGGAGATTATTTATTTCAGTAGTAATAATGCTACTTTTTAACTTAATAAATATTTATTTAGCTATTTGTGCGTTTACGCAAGGCTATTATTGGTATAGTTTTTCTGTAGCTTTAGTCTACTTTTTAGAAAGAGGAATCGATCATTCTGAACAAAGCTTTTTTGAGATAATATTTTTAGAAATCATCAATTTTCTGAGGCTAAATACTATAGTATCAGATTAAGATATTAGAGAAATTAAATTAGGAAGTGTTTATTTAATGACTTTCATCAATACATTCTATTATTTAACAGAATATAAAATGGTTAAGCTTAATGCTATAGGATAAGTTCATATTTTTATCTCTATAGAGCTCTTCATATTGATTTTAGACTCGATTTATATTCCAATTATATAAGGTGGCGATGAAGGATTTAAATTTAAAGCTATACTTTATAGTTTGTTTGGACATCTTGCTTATTACACCAGTCTTAAATGTATTTTTAACATGGATGATAGCTATGGAAATAATTTGGCTTGGTATTTAATTGTGTTAATTGTGTTGAATATATTTGCTTCTTTGCTTTTATATAAAGAGAAAATAAATAGCATTTTCCACAAATTTACATAAGTTTTAGTCGGATTTCTTTCTAATTATCAATGGATGATTAGCTCGAAATATAAAAAATACAAAATATACAATAGAGATAGCTTTGTCATTAACATGAGTCTCTTTAACTAAATATCTTTGTTCCTGCTTATTATTTTTAATTCAAATTTGGACTAGCTCGTATTTACTTTCTTTCACACGAGTAATGTAAATTAATAAGCTAACCAAATTTAAAAATAATAAGTAAAGTCAGTATCGATTTTCCATCACAATCATAATTAAATTTTAAGTTAGGACTTTCAAAATTATAATTTTAATCTTAATCAAAAACCTAATATCAATGAGGATGTCTAATATAATTATTACCATCAAATCTTTTTATTAGAGGCTATAATAGCAAGCTTTTTATATTTGTTACTGGGTCTAAAATAAATATTTGATGAAATATTCATCAAAATCTAGTTAATTATTAATGAAGATAAAGACTACATAGAAGCTGCTTAATTTTTCTTGAAATAAAGTCACATCATAACTCGCAAAAAATATTATATAACCACGCTATACTAAAGTTATGACTTCAAAGAAAATCATAATATAAAAGATCAACTGAAATATCTTGTTTAATACACACTTCCTTAGTACACAAACATTTGCAGTTACTGCAAACTTCAGTTGAGTATCTCAAAATTTATGAAGGGAAAAGAAAAATTTGTTAAAATAAAGTGTGGAAAATACTCTGAAGTCAACAGAAACTTCTAATGCACTTGTTTATACTCAATTCAAATATTTTGTAATTAAGATTACATCCACCGCTATAATTCTTACATGCTGTATAAGGACTATTATATAAACTATTTACCCTTCATTTATTTTTATAGATATTTTAATGGTCAGATCTTTACAGATTTTACTACTTAAATAGAGAATATTTTAGAAAGAGCTGGCCGAAGTAGCAAATACAAATGCTATTCTCTTCAAATAACTGCTTACTATGTACAAATAAAAAATTTAATTCCACTCTAACCCTTCTTTGTTCTATACGATCTATACATAGACAATTGAACATGGCAAATTTAATTTCAAATCTATCAAAAAAATCTACATTCATACTAAAAATCCTATAATTTTATTTATTAAAAAAAGAAGCTTAAACAAATTAAAAATATTGGTGTTATTTATTTTCTATTCAAATTTTGATTCTGTCTGTAAAATTAAAAAATATTTATATTTATTATTACAAATATTAAATTTTAATATAAAATAAATTCTAACTCTAAAGAAATTAAATAAATAGAAACTAATATTAAAAACTTTTAAAATACACTTGAAGTAAATAAAATGATTAAAAAGTTATGAAAATATCAAGCTTTTGTATTCATCATCTTCAATAATAAAAATACTTTCTTTTTAGTGTTTCAAAAACTAATTGATTAAATAAATTGCTAACATTAACCAAATTTAAATATTCTAAGCATTCAATATTGAAATATATTTTTAGTTCTACTTAAAAAAATAATTAGTAAAAAAATTGTAATTTTATTATAAAAGGAAATTATCTTTATTTTTATTCCATATAAAAATGACTAAAATAAGAGAAAGCTTTTTTTTTTTAAAGCAGTTTTCTACTCCCTCTTAAAAATTTTTAACAAAATTAAAAAACTTTATATATAAAAAATATTAAAGAGGGTTATTTATTTTTAATATTTGAGGGCTTTATTTGGTACGTTCTTTATGAGCAGATTAAAAATTAATAGTTTATTTTAAAAAATTTATATAACTTTATTTTAGGAAAAAATAATAAAAAGAGAGTTTCATAAAATATGATTAGCAATCCTTTTAGCAAAGTAACATGTTGCTTTCGAAAATAGATATTATCAAATTAATACTTTTTATTACAAAAGCTACTTTAATCAAACTAAATTAGAAACTCTTCTTATTTATATCTTGATCTCAGGTAAAACAATATTTTTGAATTATTTATTAATATTTATTATCTTCTCGAACTTTTTTAATAATTAATATTTTTATTAATTAAAGTTAAATTTAAATTTGTGACCACAATTCTGTTCAGCTGGTATAAGCATTAGTAGCTGCTAAATCTCTTTATGATTTAAATTTAAAATTTTCTCTGTAAAATATTTTAAAATGCATTAATTAATTTTACTAATAAAATTTTCTATATTAATTACAAAGCTAAATTTAAAGATAAAATCAATACTTTTATTCTTTACTTAACAATTAGTTATCTTTAATAATTTCAGTATTAAAAAATTTTTTTACATTTTAAATTAAAAAAGTTTTATTTTTATTTCAAACATATAATTTAAATTGTATGGAAAAAATGTTAATCAATTATTATAAAAATCTTTCTTTAATACAATTTTTTATTTAGAAATAACAAAATTAGTCTGCAAGGAGCATAAAATATATTTACAGGATTACTAAATTGTCAAAATCTCTCTAAGTTATCAATTGATTTAAAGTAAATTTAAATAATTTCAACCAAAATGCTTTTTAAAACTTTTATTTTATCTTATTTTCTTTTTAACTTAAAAGAATTATTTTTAAAGAATTTTGGATCGTTATTTATTTATTTATTTCTTATTTTTATCTAAAAAAAAATTTAATAAACTATTTTTATAAGAAATTAAAATATTGACGATAAAATAGCTCCAATTTTAGGAAATGGATTGACTTTAATTCAAAATTTGCAGTTTTTAAATATCGACTTAAGGTAAGTTTTTTATTTATTAATTTAACAATTTGTCTTACTCAAAAAATATATTTTTACAATTTCTAATTAAAATATAAAGGCACAATAAGATTACAGACTAAGGTGTTGCTGATTTGACTCATAGATTCTCCTGCTTCTGCAAACTTACAGGCTTAGTTATTGATTTAAGGTAAATTTACTAACTTAGATACAATGAATTAATTTATTTAACCTAATACCTCATATTTAGATTTACTTATAAATTTTATAATTATTTTTAATTTAATAAAATTAAACAATAATTAATTTTTAAAATGATATTTATAAATTGAAACTTAATAAAAGAGAATTTATAGTATATTACTCTTTCTTTTATTTATTTTTTAAAAATTAAAAAATATAAATTATATATTTTAAATTTAATCAATCATATTAATCTTATGTTTGTTTGTTTTAAAAATAATATGAATTTATTTAAAAATTTTTTGAATTAAGATTAGCTAATAAAAATTGAGTTTAAGTAAATTAATAATTAATCTATTTTTTACTATAAAAAGTTATAATTTACTTACAGATAAAGGGGCTTTTAACTTAGGATAGTCGCTAAAATCTATGTTAAATCTTTAGAAATTAACTTTATATTTGCAGTAAATTAAATTTATATTAACACGTAAATATATTTTCTGATAAAGAGCTAACTAAATAGGTGATTTAGGTGTCAAAAATATTTCAGAAATTATTGAATTTTGTAAGAACCTTAAAAATCTAACTATTATATTAGAGTAAATATATATAATCACATCAAAAATGAATAATTTTATTTTAAATTTATTATAAATAGTAGGAATCTAATTACACAAGAAGGAATTTATTTTTTGGCATAAAGCTTAACATAGAGCTCTAACTTGAGCAACTTCACTATTTATTTATAGTAATTTAATTCATAAAATTTTCTTAAATCTATTTATTTATTTTTTCTTTTATTTTTATTATTTGTATCAAAATTTTATGTAATAATTTTCTCATAGAAGTTTTTATTTTAACTAAGTTAAAATAATATTTTTCAAAACTATTTAAAATAAATTTGCAGTTTGTTTTATTATATAATCTAAATTTATGGAATTTACTTATTTTCTATTTAAACCTTTTGAAAAAGAGAAAACAAGCTGGACTCAACATGTATTTCTGATTTAAGTGATGGATTAGCTAAATGCTTCAATTTAAGTAATCTGGGAGTATATCTCAAGTAAATCTCTAAAAAACTTATAAAAATAAATTTTAATATACTAAATAAAACAGCTTCAATGATATAACTAACGAAGGAGCAATATGCTTAGCAAGAAGCATTTTACAAATTAAAAATCTAAAAAGTTTAGAACTCCATTTAATGTAAGAAATATTTATATTATTTAATAATTTTTAATCATATATGCATTTTATAATTTAAAAAATAAAACAGGTTTAATTAAATACAGAAGTTAGGTCTAAGTGAATTAGGATAATGTTTGAGGCAGCTTAATTACTTGATAAGATTAGATTTCTCTATGTATTCATTTAAATTTTAAACTAAATTAACTTATATTTGTTTTAGTCTTATTTTCTAAAATTTAAAACCTTTTTTATTCATAAAAAGTAATAAAATAAGTTCATATCATACACAAACTTTTAAGAGAAATGTCAAGAAAATGAAAAGATTAACAGATTGCAAAATTGAAACTGATTGAATTATGATTAAAAAAACAGTTTTCTATTTTTTTGCTTTATAAAATTTCAAAATTTTAATATTTAATTTATCCTCAAAGAAACCTCAAGTTGTACTTAGAGCTATTAAAATTTATTTATTTACTTAAAAAAAATAGCATTTTATATTTTTAAATGAGAATTTGTATTAAAAATAAATAATAAAATAAAAATTATTTGTTTTTTAATTTTTAATATTTATTATGTGAATAAAAAAAATTATTATTTTTAAATTGACTAAAAAGTTAAACTAAAATTCTTTTTAATTATTTATATACGTTAGTTTTCAGAAATTGTTAGTTAATTTAATCAAAATATTCTGGTACATAATACAATTTTTTAAATAAATACAAATAAATAGCCATCAATTAATTAGTTTTTGTAAATATTTAGTATTGGTAAATTAGAATTTTGTAGTCAAAGATGATAATATACTTGCAAACATTATAAGAAATAAGCTTGCTTTTAATTGATAATATAAAACAAATAAATAGAATTATAATTAAGATATTCTTAATTATATATTTTATTAGGCTTTTAATTATATTAAAAAATAATTTTAATTTATTTCATTACACAGTTATGTTTTATTTAAAATTTAAGCTCATGAATCTTCTTCATTAGATTTATCTAAGTCTTAACTGAAATTGATCAAAAAATTATTATTAGTTCCTCTCAAATTAGTGCCTTGCTATAGATTGTTATTTATTGATTCCTCTAAATTTTAGTTATTTTCTTAATTATCTTCATAATTCTATTCTTTATTATTATTGTTGCTATTATTATTACTTTTTTACCTTCTCATAATAACAAAATCAAATGAATTGGAATTAAGAGAATTGTTTCTTTGGAGCATGGAAATATTAGAGACATATAAATTATTAACTAATGCAATTTATGATACTTGTTAATGCTATTAATTATTTTAATCGTTGATTTCACTATGTGCATCATTTATATTTTCAATATTATTATTATTGTTGTTATTTATTTATTCTTAAATTTACTCAGGTAACTATTAAATATTATTAAAATTAGGTGATTACAAAGCTAGATTAAAGTGGGGCGATTATAAAGGAAGTTATTGTTATTAATAATCAAAAAAGGCAATTCCTTGGTTATTTCTAATTTAAGGCTCTTGTTATTATTAAATCTATTAGGACTACAAAGACTGCACTTACTAAATTTATTATTAATTAAGATTATTTTACAGTGATTGTTGATTATTTTATGTTTATTATTGTTAGTTTATTTGCTAAACTTATCTTGGATTTTACTGAGAGATATTAACTTAGCTAACGTTATTTTCAATTTAATTTTAAGTCATAGTAACAGACCTATCAGTTATATCTGAATTCTAGCCATTTATTTAGCTAGCATTAATAATAGATTTATCTGCATCAATATCTACTTTTTCCTCTAAAGCTGCTGTTATGGCAATAATTTTTTTCTGAGCATCTGTACTCTTAAAATCTATCTATACCACTTATTTAATTTCCTATTTCAAATAAAATTAATTGTTAAATCCTTCACTAATTGAATGTTCAATTTTAAAAAATTACATGTCTACAAAGGTAGCATTCTCCAGTTTTTTTCATAACATCCATTCCACATTCATAGCAAATACCTAACAAATTAATTATGATAAAGAAATTAATTTAAATAAATAAACAAATTAAATAAATAAATACCGCCATGACCACATGGAAGATAGACTGTATCTGGCTCGTTTTCAAAACAAATAACGCAATTTGCATTGCTTTCATCTCCATTTTCTTTATAACTTTTTTAACTAATTTGACTGCTATCGCTTTTCTATTTTTTTACCATTTCTTTAGGTTTAACATTTAATTTAGCTAATTCTTTATTTGATTGCTGCTACATCTTTTTTTCAAATTCTTTTTTCTTAAGTTCTTATCCCTTTGGACTGCTTATTAACTGGCTGAATTTTAATTATGTTTCATATGCCAAATTTTAAAGAGGGTTTTGAGATTTTTAAAACTAAGCAGCATTAGTTTTACCATTTTCATTAAATGAAATATCCACTGGTCCCATGCTATCACTTAACCCTTTAGGAGAATCTATCTTGTTTTATAAATTTGCTTTGCCTTTCTTTTTCTTTTTATTAACCTATAAATCAGATTTATTAACTTCTTCTTTACAGTCCTTAGATTTATCCATATCAATCTAGCTTGTGCTTCCTAAATTTAATTAAAAAATAAACAATTAACTTTTAAAAAAACTTTGATAGGTTTAAATAAATTTTTTATTACTTTTATCGAGTTTATCTAGTTAAGTGTTAGCTCTGGTCAATTTATTTTATGTTGATGGCAGCTCTTTCTTTTATTAATCTTTTTCTCTCTTCGATTTCATTACATTATTAGTTAATGCAGTGAAATATGTAGATGAAAGTTTCTCCTGTAAAGCATTAAAAAAATAAATTTAAAACAAAATATTAACATTTTTAGCTCAATATTCATTAAATATATTTCAATTTTAATGAAAAATATTTTGTAAAATATCTTTAAAAATGATTTTTTATAATAAAAATTTTAAAATAAAAAAAATTATTAGTAAAAATAAGAAAAAATATGATCAAAAATAAAAAAAATTATTACCAAAAATAGAGGGAATCCTTTTTTTTGACTATTTTTATTGTTCAAGTTTACTTTTTTAAATATTTTTTTCTTTGGTTTAGGTTTTTGAGCTTAATCTGCTGGAAGTCCATTTTAATTATTCTATCCTGGCTAATTATTATTCTATTAGGAAATGTTTGCTTGATTATTTCTGCTTCTTCCTTAGTTTTATCTACCTGATTAACTCTCAGGGTATTGTTATTCTGCAGGATAATCCTCATCCTCAGCATAAATATCATTTGGGTTTCTTTATCTGTTTTCTTCATCATCATCGTCTTCCTCTTCTTCGTCTCCCTCCTCTTCATCTTCTTCATCATCTTCACCTTCATTTTCTCGCTTATTTTAATTATTGCTTTTTTATCCATCTTAATCTTGTTGTTATTATTGCTGCTAGTTTGATTCATTTCCTTTGTTTTTATTTTTCTTCTTTTTGTTTTTACCAATTCTTGATGTATTTTTTTGAGAGTTTTCATCTCCTTCTGTATCTTCTCTTTCTTGAGAAAAATGGAACATAAAAATCCTTTTGTGATTGATAAATCAATTAATTAGTAAAGTAAATAAATAAATAAATATTAAAGTAGATATAATTAATTACCATATGCCTTTCCAGAAGAATAACGTATAAATTATGAAAAAGGTAGTAAAAACTAGACTGTATTTAAATGATAACTAAGCATCATCTAATGTTTTTATAAATTAAATTATTATAAAATTTTCAAACTTAATAGTTTATTTACCATTGCTTTAATGATCTAATCGATTGACTGCACCTCTCACAAATAAAGTAGAATTTACGCACAGTCCATTTGAAAGTAAGAAAAACCAAAACAAACCCTTAACTGAATTATTAATGAAAATTGAGTAAAATAATTTAAAATAAACAAATAAATTTACTTTCAAACGATTAAACTGGCTGCCCAAGACATTTTAAGAGTATTTTGCTCAATAAGAGTATGACAAAAACACTGTTAGTTCCAATCATAATGTAAAAAAAGACCCAATATGGCCAAAAGACATCTTACCAAGACCAATCTATTTTATTGTTCATTTTAACTGAAATCAAGAAAATTTATCCAACAAAGAATATTTTAAATCCCCAAGTAAACTTTATAATTTTAATAAGAATTAAAGCATTTTCCAAAAATTAATTAAAAAGATTACACATTCATTAATAAGCGCAGAAATAGGGCCATTTTCAGCTAGCTTTTTTGAAATCACGAAGAAAAATCTAATGAGAACATAAATCAAAAGTGTACATGGCACATAATAAAATTTATACTGGTTGACTTCTAAATAAATATAAAGGCAAATCTATTTTTAAACAAAAAATAATTTTAAATTAAACAAATTCAAATATTTTTTGTCAAACAAAAGCAATCAAAATGCTTAAATGAAAAAAGTAATTGTCGTTAAAATTCAAAAAATAGATAAATTAATTATTGATTTATTTTAAATAGCTTTAAAAAGAGATATCATTCATTAAAAATTATTTTTGGAATCTATTAAAAATAAGATAAAATAAATTATTTACTTTAAATAAGATTGAAAAAGTAGTTTCTACAATTCTCCAAATGTTACTATGTTCTTCTTATTTGTTTTCATCAACTTCTTATCTATTAAAATAATTAATTAATTTATTTATTTGTATATAATTTTTTTATCTAAATTTTAAATTATTGTAGAAGTAACTTTAAATAAGCTTAAATCAATGTTTTCTTTATTATTTGAAAATTTATAAATGCTAATTTGAGTATGATAATTTTTATTAATTAGTTCAGTAGTTATTCATGAAGTATTTTTTATTTTTTATTCATTATTTTGATTTGTTTTTGAAAATCTTCTAATTCGAATTTTCAATTTGATTTTATAAACATATTAAGATAACCTTTTTAAATATGAGCCAATATCAAATAGCAAGTAACAAGCTTTGTGAAATTAAAATATTATTTTAAATGCATCTTTAAAATAATAGATTATTGATCAGTTGAATAGTATTTTGCTTATTAAGCTCCTATATTTTGATTTAGCTATTAATTCAAATTGGCATTTAGATTTCGAATATTATAAGAATTTTTTGTTTTTTGTTTGTTTGTTTGTTTGTTGGCAGAGAATGTAAATGTCTTAAAAATAATTGATAGGTGATAAATTTGATAAATGAATTACTCAATTTTACTTCGTTTGAAACTAAAAGCAAAGCTAATAATATCGACTATCCACAGAAACACTAAAACAAATATATACTGCATGGAGTAAAGAATTAAAATCAGCATTAATATAAAAAATATTTGCAGTGATAAATGATTGAAAAATGTTTGTTGCATCACGATTGATGAATATAGTTTCAGTCGCTACTCAATTTGTTGAAGCTTTTTATCTGAAACAGTAGATTTTTTAATAGGATTAACCGGATTTTCTTAGTTTTAAAGCGGATTATTTATTTAATTTCTCATGCTATTGATAACTTAATTCTACTACTATTAATCTTCATATTACTAAGCATATTGCTACATTATATTTTGACTGTTATTATTGCGGTTGTTTACAGATTAACCCATGTAATGAAAAATTTATGAATTTGACTAATTATTTAATCCCTAAGGAGACATCAGATCTCTATTTGAAGGACTATAGAAAGCAAATAATCTATTTTCATCTCCAAAATTGGGCGACATCATATTATTTATAGTGTAATTTGCTATTGACATATTTCTTTAATTGTTTGGCATCATTACTAATGATTCATTTCTCGAGCGTGATAATCCCTATAAATGACTCACTGAATTCCTTTAATGAGAAGGAGAATATCTATAAAACTGCTGCTAAAATTAATTGCTATGCTAGTGCTATCTGCTTTAATATTAGGACTGCATCCTGCTAATTATTTCTATCTAATTGTTATATTCTTAATTAGCTAAATTGCCTTATTTTGTGATATCCTCTTCTCCCCTTATTTGAGATGTCAATAATTTTCTAACAATATTATTTGATTTTATCTTTTTACTTTGATTTATTCTCTATACATCTTCTACTAAATTTTAATATAGCTTTTTATTAATATTACAAAGCAATTTATTTATTTGATAATAATTCAGAGTGAACAAATCGATATATGAATGAATAAATAAACAAACAAAAAAACAAGCAAATCAAATCAAATCAAACAATCAATTAATTAATTAGTTGATAGATTGATCGAAGTATGAATTATTGTATTTTGAGGATTGGTCTTATGTAATTATAAGTAAGATAAATAATTCATGCAAGTGATTGATTATACTTTTTTTGTTTTCCTAATTTTGTTTCAAACAAATTTCAAATATTATTATTATAGAATAGTCTTTTCTAATAAAGAAAAACTTCAATTGAATAGAATGTATATTTTTATATTATACATTTACTTTGATTTTACTAATATTAGCTACTTATTTGTTAGTTTTTGATTATCACTTATTAAATTATAAATGAAAAATTTTGTTGTATTTAGCTTGATTTGAAAAAAATTTTACTATTAAATATTTAATAAAATTATGATAAACTTTTTAGACTAAAAATATAATTATTATTTTAACAAAATACTAATTTTGATACTTAAGATATATTATTAAGTTTATTTTTTAATAAATTTATGTATCTTCAAAAGGTTTGTTGGTAATCAACAGTTAGTTAAATATAATAAAAAATGATTGAAAATTAATTTAATAGAAAAATCTAAAGTTTTTATTAAATAAAAACAATTTTTTCGTTTACGAATAAAACTAAAAAAATAACTACATATAAAAAATATCACAAATTATTAAAAATATTAACTCTCTCCAATTCCAATTTTAAAATTGAATAGGTACCTGCTGATGACCCCCTCCCCATAAGAAGATTTAACGAATAATTTAAAACAAATATTAATTATCATAAATAGAGGCAATTTTTGAGTTAAGGTTACTATTTTTTAAAAAATGACTTCTATATTGATAAAAGAGAGAAGATATTTTATTTAGTTATATTCTTTAATAAATTTTAAAAACATATATTAAAAAAGAAAAAATAGATTTATTTTATAAAGTAATAAATAACTAATTAATAATATTTTAACTGTAGAAATTACAATAAAAAATTTATTTATTTATTTAATAAATAACTAATAAATTTTAAATATAATTTTATAGATTTAATTTAATCTTATTTAATTTGTTTATTTACAAAATCTTTTTATTTAAATATCAATAGAAAATTAATTCTTTTTTTTAAATTAATAAGATTAAAATTGATAATTATAGATATTTGAAATGATTTTTAAGAAAAAGAGAAGTAATTAATTAATATTAATTTTTTCATTAATAGATTTATTCAATCCATTAATCCATCCATCAATCAATCATGATTATCTTCCTCTACTTCATGTATATTGTTTAGCTGGTTTTTATTTTATTTTTTGTCTTCAACAATACTTTCGTCTACTAGTGTAGTCAAAGCTACAACTCTGAAATTATTATTTTGTGCTTTCTCTTTAATGTCTAATCTCAGAATTTCTTTTATAGCCTTTAAAAAATTATCAATAACATTTTATCATGATTTAAATAAAAATTTACTTCTCTACACAAATAGCATTCGCCTGTATTTTTCATAATATCAACAGAACATTCATAGCACACGCCTTTATTAATATTTATATAAAATTAAGTTATATCTTTTAAAGTAAAATTTACCTCCATGTCCACAGGGCATATAAACTGAATCAGGAGCGTTATCAAAGCAGATAACACAAGTTACATTAGATTAATCATTCATATTAGGAGCATTAACTTGAATATCTTTATCTTCTATAACGCTCTGCTCAATTTTTTTGTTTCCTCTGTGTGAATCTTGATGACCTACAAAACTTACATTGTTTGACTTGCAGACTCTGGTATTTTTTGGAGACTCAGAGTAATTTTCAAAAAGTTTTTTTTTGACATGAGTATTTAATTACTAAGAAAGCTTTTAAATTTGAGGAGTATCAATTAACTTTTTAAATTTTTAATTGGTGTCTAAGGCTATTTTTTTCCATTTATTCTAATCGCTGTTTCCTTAATTTCTTTAAGATATAGACACATTAATATCTTAAATAGGTTTCTTGTTAAAATCTACGCTATGATTTATTTCGTACTTATGGATCATAAAAGACTAAGATTCTTTATTATTTATTATTAAAAATGAGTTATATTTAAATAATAAATTTAATCAAAGATTTACTATGTCGAGTTCCTTTTTCTTTTTAATCTTTTATCTGCTGTTTAATTTTTGAGCTATTTTTGGCTAAGTTATTCTATACATTTTATCTATTTGCAATAGCACTGAAGTAAGTAGAAGACAATTTTTACTGTAATTAAAAGAATAAAAAAATATTTTAATTGAATATCTTTCGAAAAATATTTACTAAAAATTAGGGTATATTGTTTTATTATTCATCTTATTCTGTAGGATTTACAGTTTTTATTCTCTTAGATTTGTTCTTTGCCTTTTTCTATTACTCAGGATTCTCGCTGATGACATATTCTATATCTTCTTCTTCCTCAGCATTAATTATTATTGATATTTCATACACAAATTATCTTTATTAAAATTCAATTAAACAATTTATTGAATATTTTCAAGAATATTTACATTATTTAATTCCACTCTAAAGATGAAAACATAAGCATTACCACCAAAAAAACCAACGAAATAAATAGAACAACTTGCATTGAATCTATTTTTATTTTTAAATAAATTAATTAAAAAGTAATAAAAATTATAAAATAAATATTTTTTAAAAATTCAAATTGAAGACAATTTTTTTAGTATGAAGCAAATAATTAAAAGTAAAAGTTACCATCTTGCCCGTAATCTTCAGTAAAAATAAAAGATTTCAAGAACATAATTGATGTAACGGTAAAGCTGACCATAAAAATGCAAATCCAAAGTAATCCAATAATTTCTATTTTTTTTTGAGAAGATCTTTTTAGGCAAAAGTAGCATTTTGTTATAATAATAAAAATTAGCCCTAAAGTGATGACAGCAGTAGTCAATAAAAAAATATATGCTGGCCAAAATATATGAACCCAATCCCAGTCCACTGTTTATTCAACTTTGAGCGATACTAACAAGGCTTAAAAAGAGACAAAAAGCTTAAAAAGTAAAAGCATCTATAAAAAATTAAATAAAAATTTGATTTTAGAAGAATAAATAAAGAATAAAATTTACTGTTTCATTGAAAATTGGATTGTACTCTTTGACTTTGAGTTTGAACATATAAAGTATTTTAAAAACTACGAATACAAAAACAATTGTAGTAACTAAAACTAAGTTAATGTAGATCACATCGAATCTGATAATTAATAGAATCTGTTTATTGAATAAATCAAATAATTAATTAATTAATATTATTTTTTGATACTATTTAAATTTTTCTTAAGAATGTGTAAATTTGGTCGATAAAATTAAAAAAAGAAATAGTTTTGATTAAAATTTTGTTCAGTATAAACATTGAATAAATAAATTTTTATTGTTATAATTAAATGGCTAAAAAATCTAAGCAAATAAATTAGTTAATTTAATTAATTAATTAATGATTTAATCTAATTTTTACTTTGAAGATGAAGAAAACAATAATTTCTATAACTTTTAACAATAAATATTTGTTGTATTCATATCTGAACTCAATTTCTTCTTCTGTTTGATATTCGTCTATATCCACTTTCTTGCTAAATACCAAAAAATAAAAAAATAAATAAATTTCTATAATTTCATTAATTTTAAATAAATTTATTAAGTTATATTGGTTTTTTATTCATTTATTATAAAACTAGTATTAGTTTATCTTATAATTATCTTATTTATTACTAATTTACTCATTGGCTCAATCATTCTATGTGATTATGAACTCATATTAAATACCAATAAAACTCAAAAACAAATTCTTATTTTAATAATCATAACTATTTTACTTGAGTCTATATTTTTAAAAATTAGTATAAATACTAAATAAGTCGAACAATAGTAGGATTGAAACCACTACTTTGTAGTTGAAGTCCATAATCATTTAAGCACTATAAAAAATCAGAAAAACGTAGACATTCATCGATTTAATTATAACACTTTTTATGATCATCAAACTTTTTACTTTATCTTCATCATTCATATTTTCTTGATTAGAGTTTTAATTGTTATTTTATTGCTATTGACCTAATCTTTACTCTAATTATTCATTTTAATTATTATCTGATAATGTCGGATTGAACTCTGTGTTTTAGGCAACTTCTGTTACTCTTGAAGGATAATTCATATTATATTAATCTCCCTAATTTTATATTGAATCTGTTCTTTAATGCTACTAATTTGAAATGCTTAATCTATCATTCATATGCCTATCAGTATTCATTTTGGAATCATCCTTTTTCTAATCTGAGTAATTATTCATTGAAAAATCATTGGTGATAGTAACTCTTTTTTTATCAAGCTTTTAATCCTATTATCTGAAATCTAGCACCAAGCCCAAATTAGTATTAACCTAATTTTAAGGAGATAAAGCGTGCCCTGAAATAATGGCTTAATTTTCGTTTAATCCCTAAATATTATTTATATTTACTTGCATTGTTAAACTTAAAAAAAGCAGTGTTTTGATTTGCTATTAAATTTGCAATTTTATTTGAATAATTGTTATTTACTTGCTTGGTATTTTGTTTGTAAATTTGATATTTAGAAGAACTCGTTTATTAACTTAATTCATAAATAATTGAATTTGTTTGTTTGTTAGTTAATTAATATCTGTGTTAATTATAAATTTTGCAAACTAAGTGCATCAAAATTGCTAGAAATTAAATTAATAAATAAATAATTTCTCTATAGCAATTATTCTATGATTTCGAGCTATTTTTTGATTTTTTCTAACAAAAAAAGGCACCTTCATTAAATAAAAAAAGGGATTTGCATGAAACTCAAGTCATTTATTTTATGTATCTCAACAAGTTATTTTGAAAAAACTAAATTTAATGACAAAGCAATTTCATAAAACCTATTTAATTATCTGATTGTACAAATCAAATATTGATTCAGTATTAACAAACAATTAATTAAATAAATAAAATTTTAAGGTATATCATTAGATTAATTCATTTAAAAGCACGAAAAGATATTTTAAGAAATTACATGGTTTAAATTTCTACTTGTATTATTTTGTAAAATATTAATTAATTACTATATTTAATTATATCTAAATTCTAAAAAAATTTGATAACTTTTAACAAATAGATAATCAATCAATCTAAGAATAGATCAACCAATTTTATATTTTATTAATTTATCTAAATTTAATTTTCTACACAAATTTATCAAATCAACAAAAAGCATATTTTTTAACTTAAATTAATTTATTCGCTTAAAATTAATTAAGCTGGCTATAATTAGAACTCATTTATTTTGAATAAAAGGTGTGTAATAAACATTTATTTTTAAATTTCTATTTCAGTCACCCTTCCCTTAATAAAAATTTGATCCACTTTGAAAAGAAATTATGTAATAGACTGTATAGAAGGAGGGTATGATTTAAAATTTCATTATTTTCATGCTGTGATTAATTATTATAGAATCGGCAGTTAAATTATAAAAACGGTTTTTTATTATTTGTTAATTATTATATGAGTAACTTTAAAAGGTAATTCGGAGATTTAATTTAATTAATTTAAATCGTATTCGGGGTTTATTTAAATAAAAGGAAGGAGTTAGTGAGAAGAGTCTGATAAAAAGTTGAAATTTAAATTTCAACAAGCTTAGTTTAGTGAGGAAAAGGACAATTTTAAATATTACTAAAATGTAATATTAAAGATGTATGTAATTTTCAAATTAATGTAAGAAAAACTAATGTGTTTTAATGTTCTATTGATGTAAATTTATTTAGCTTTAATATTACATGACAATCTATCATTAAATCAATCATATTTGATTGAATAAAAAAATATCAATGTAAAGTGCAGCTTTAACCTAAATTGATTGAGTGATTATTGTTAGCACCAACAAAATATGTTAGTAGAAAAATAAATGTTGTTCAAAAATTATCAGCTTATTTTGACTAAAACTTATCTGTGATAATAATGATGAGTTTTATAATCCATTTTTTGAATTACTAGAATGATTGCAAATTTATATTACTATAATTTTTATCATTGTAAATAAATAGCACTGCTCTGTAAAATGTTTGCAGCTTTGAGCTACCTGAAATAAATTAATTTTGCAGTAAATGGATAAGACAAGAAGCAATAAATAAATAAATAAAAAACAAAACAAAAAAAGCATCTAATAGAGAGCATTGAGAAATTTATATAGCACTTCTTTTTTTGGGAGAGATTGATATAGTAATTAAATTCAACTAAAAAATCAAAATAAATATAAATTAATGAAATTTAATAAAAAGTAAAAGGAAATGCAAGAATCATACTAGATCGCTCATAAGCCATTAGAAGAATAAGATAATGATATTTAAGAATAAAAAATAGTAGATTTATCTTTTAAGCCAGAAGTTGTGGAGGATAAGAAGTTAGAGCTGAAATAGAAGCTCATTTAAGAATAAATCCCTGTCTAATTTGTAATCCATGAACATAAGTAAAATGGTGGAGTTAAAGAAAGTTAATAATAAAAAGGAGCTAACTCGTACTACAAACATAACTATTAAATTTAGCAATCAACTGATGACCTGGAGAAATAGTAAAACCCTTCACCTTAGGAGGAGCATGCAGATCAAAAGCATGATTAAAATTAGGGTAATGTAGAAGAAAAAGGTAGACATCATGGCCATAAATTGCAAAAGCCTAAGTTATACGCTTACAGATGGGTCATATTAGTATTGTATTTACTGGGAGATTTGGGTCCATCAATGATGGTGACTACAACTACTCCAAATGCCAATTAGCTTTCTAAAATTTACGATTTACTGCCCATTGAAGCTAACTTAGGAAGCTTAGTTATCCTTATATTTACACCAATAGGGACTATATTTTCAAGTAAATTTCTAGATTAAAAGGGTCTAAGCGTATCTATTAGAGTGGGTATTTTTGTCTGTGCAATTGGTGCTTGGATGCGTTGCCTAGTAAATTATTCATATTACTTTGTGGTAGCAGGAAATATACTGACTGGTTTAGGGTCTCCTTTTATATTTAACGGGAAGACATAGGTTGCTTCTAATTGGTTCAGTCATGAGCAAGTAAAATTAATTTAAATAACAATAATATAGCCAATTTCATATAAAACTAAATAAGTACTTGATTTTAGATTGTTTTTTTGGGTGGTATATCAAAATTTATTGATTATTTGATTTTGGTTTGTTTGTTTGATTGCTTGTTTGATTGCTTGACAAGTATTATTATTTAATTTGGAAGCAAATTAATTTATTTAATTATTGCAATGTACATCAAATGATCAGATTACTTCTTGTATTTATTACCAAATAAGATTTTTCTTTTATTCCATCAAATTAAGTAATCAATTAAAAGAATGATTAGTTGGTATTTCTTTTATAGCAAACAAGAAACTCAACCCAATAAACAAAAAAATCATCAAAAGCCAAAAAAAATAAATTAAAAGTAGACTTAATAGTTAAATAAAGTAATTAACTTTTCATCAAATTTTAAACAAGTGAAACTAAAAATATTAAACAAAAACCCTTTTTCATGCTTTAAGAATCCAACATATTGCTTAATAAATTTTGGATTTAACAAGCATAAAATAATTAATAGATTCTTTTTTTTAGCTTAAAGACCAGCTTACAAATAAAATAAGTATTCATCGTATTTTAATCTGATGAAATCGCAAACATTTAAATCTGTTTGATTTTCCAAGTTATTTAAATAATTTATTGCTTTTTTAAGCTGAATTCTTTTTTTAGAAATAATATATCAATTCTTTATCAATACACATATGAATGATTTAATTATGTGTTTATTACAAATTGATACTTATAATTCTGGATAAATTTACATTCTTTGAAATCTACCTTGTGTAATTCTGAAAATTTTAAATTCTTTTTATTTATTTAAAATAAAGGGCCCCGGTGTGACAAGTTTTATCACTTTTTGGACAAACTTAAATGGAATAGCTGGCATGATGTTTGCAGGAAATTTCATGGGAAGCTATCGTTATGATGCTTCAAATGAAGAAGAAGGCAAAACTCTTGTATTTGAATTGATGCTTTTGATTGCCATAGTAGTTACTAGCATCGGAGTATTATTGTGGATATTTTTCAGATAACACCCTCCCACTCCTCCCAGTTTCACTGCTTAAATCGAAAGAGAATAGAATTTTAAAGAATCAGTTGTACACTTAATTAAAAATAGAAACTATGTATTCATAGTAATCTAGCAAGGTTTAATCTTAGGAAGCATCAACGGAATGTCTACCTCAATAAGTTATTTTATTAGTCCATACGGATTTGACAGCGCTGATTCTACATTCATGCTTGCAGCTATTCCTATTGGTGGAGTTTTTGGTATCATTATTGGTAGCTACTTCCTCAACAAATACAAAAAATATAAATATTAAATGGGTAATTAACATAATTAAATTCATTGTTTTTTTTAAAAAATATAAACAAAAAAGATGCCAAAAGTTAACAAAAAATGTGATTTTATTTTATCATTAATAGTATAAATGCTGATTTAAAATTTGATTTTTCCTTATCTCCTTCCCCCTTTTGTTCTAATAATTTTTTTGCAAAAACCTTAAAAGGAGTTTTTTAATCTATCTGAAATTAACTCCCACTTTTCAACAAACAAAAGAACTGCTTTACTTTAAAAAAGCAAAAAAAATAAATCAAATAAAATTTAATAACAGAATAATTAGCTGATTTTTTTCCTAGCTGAATAATAATTCATTTAAATTCTCTTAACTGTAAAATTTAATCTTATCAAAGTGAAAAGACAGACTAATCCTTAAAGCATCTATTTTTCACTTATATTTATCTACTTAATTAAATATTTAAATAATAATTAATTGAGTGTAATAAATTTTTTTTCCTTGGTCAAACCCATATTGCAAAATAAATAAATACCATTCAAAATAAAGATTTACATTTTTATAATAATGAAAATTTACCTTTATTAGAAATGCAATCAACTCTAAATTCTAAATAAATTCTGAAATGCAAAAATTTATAATAACGCGATTCAAGAAATTAATTAATTTTTAAATAAAAGCAGAATAAATCATTTAATTTAAATGAATGAATTGTGAATTCAATTGATAAAATTAATATAAAACCTAATTCCTTTTTTAGAATTTCATTCAAATTTGATTAAATCAAAATTTGTTATTTAAGTTAGAAGAAAATCTAAATTAATTATTTTTAATATGTAGGTATCTATATGATTGGAGGTACTGGATGTATGTTCTTATTCCAGTTGGTTTTATACACTAAGTCTATATTTTTAGCAGTTGGATCAGCTGCAATTGTGGGTCTCTTTTTTGTTCCTTTGATTCCTGCTTTTCTAGAATTCGCATGTGAAAGTGTTTTCCCTATTGGTGAAGGTAGTGCTGTTGGATTCCTTTCTAGTGTTAATGGTATTTTCTCATTGATTTATGGATCTGTTTTAAGCTTTATTGTGAAAGGATAATCTCAAACAGAATCCTTCTTGGGAACTATAATACTACTTTCCTCATTTGGCTTAGCTTTCTTATTACTTTTCTTGACAAAAGAAAGACTTAGAAGAGATGAAGTTGAAAAAATAAGTTGCTAAAAATTCTAAGAAGGTAAAGAGGTTGATATATCTGATTTTCACTTTGATGATGATAATGGCAATTCCGCTTAAGTAAGTAGCGTTTAATTTAATGCAAATGAAATAGAAAAGCAAGAAAGACTCGAATAACCACTATAAGTAAAATAAGAAAGCAATTAAGTTGAAATAGAAATAGCAACAATTAGTTAAAATCACAATAATAATAATAACAATATCAATGACGCTAATCACAACAACAATAACAATAATAATAATTTTAATAGCCATAGCAGCAATAACAATAGTACAAACAGTAATAATAACACCAAAAACCATCATATTGTAAATGCAAAAGCTAATGGTGATAGTGCCTCAGAATAAGAATCTGCATTTAGTTCTTCTAGTACAACTGATTTTAGTTCGACAGATAGTTAGTAATATAAATAAAATGGAGACTCTAACAAATAAGTTGCAAACGAAAAATAATTTTTATCTGATTCTTTATCTCCTTCAGCAAATCACCAAGATTAACTTAGTGAAAACTCTTAAAATTAAAATGAAAGTAATAACAAGAAAGCAAATAAAAGATCTTAAAAAGACAATCATAAAAATGGAGAGTCATCTAATAATGTTTCTTCTTCTTCTTCTTCCAAATAACACTCTGTTAATAATGGTTCTTCATATGAAGAAATCGAAGAATCTGAAGAAGAGTAAGAAGACTCTTAAAATAAGAATTCTGTAATGGAAAAAGGATTAGGATTAAAAAAACATTTAATAAATGAAAAAGATTTTGAGAGCTATACCAAAAAAAACAAACATAATATGAAAAATGGGCATAACAATTGAATAAAAACATAAATATAAACAAATTGATTGAATGAATGTATAAATTAATAATTTCTTAAAAAAATTGGTTAATAGCCTATTTAATTATAAATAAACGAAGCAATGGCTTGGTTGATAATCTATTTAGGAATAAATGAATTAATAAATAAATAAATTAATAACTAAATAAATAAATAACTATACTACTTCATCTATCTTTTTGATAACTTTATTAAATTTACTACTATAAATATTATCTTAAAATAAAATGAGTATTTATTAAAATAATAATAAAATTATTGTTTTTCAATATTTATTAATAAATATATATCCTACATTCATAATTCCATATTATCTAATTATTAATATATTCATTCTCTCTCATCAACTCATTCATTATTTAAATTTTTTTTTTCATAAACTATTTCTATTTAAAGTAACCAATAAAATATAAAAAACAATGACTAAATATAAATTTTATTTATGATAGTCAAAATTTTAATTTGAGCACCTGTTACTTTAATTAAAAATAGTATATGAACCATATTTGTACTTTATCACTTATTTATTTACTCACTTTTTTAAATAACTAAAAAATTCTCTTACTTTTTCACTATTACAAGCTCGTTCTACTATTTTCATAATCTTTATCAAATTTCCTCTCAAAAAATTGAAGATTAATTAATTTAAAAAATTAAAATTCATTCAAATTCTAAAATTTGTATTGATTAGTGTAATATTGATTTGTAAACTAAATTAGGTAAAAGAGATTCATCCTAATTTAATTATTAATTTTTGCAATAAAATTTATTTGAGTGTAATCTTTTTGCACACTATTAATTCTATTCAAATAAATTGAGATGACTACAAAATTATTGATTTCAGTATTCATAATGATTTTATACTTAATTTTATAAATAAGAACTAAATTTCAGCTTCCTCTTTCTCAAATACTTAGTTTATTATTACGCTATACTGTACTTCTCTCACTACAAAAATATAGCTATGTACTGAAATTAATTTAGTCTATTTTTGCATATTCTTCATATTTAAATGAGTAATATATTTTTAATAAATGATTTTAGATTATTAAATAAATAAATACATATTTTTCATTTATTATAGATTTGGTTAAAAATTATTTTATTCCTCTTTTTTTATTATTATTGCAAAATTATTTTAGAGTTCTATAGAAACTTTAAGGAATTTAAAGATTTTAAAGAGCTAAAATCTATTTGACTTAAACTTAAAGTTTTTTCTCTAGTAAAAAAGAGTTATCATCTATTTTTAGTAAGCACATTATCCATTCTATTATTTAATTAAATAAATAAATAAAATAAAATAAATTATTTATGTTTATGTAAATTATATAATGAAATAATAATTAAATATTTTGCTAAATATATTATATTAGATTATTTAATCCACCCTTTTCAAAATTTCTATAATTAAATTATATTTTTTTAGAAAAGTATCCTTAATTAGACAATATATAATTTTCCAAAATTTTGTTATAAACAGTTCTTACGGTATTGATATTTTATGAGTGTATTTAATTATAATAAAATATTTATTCTAATAATATCTTTTATTATTCCTCAAGTTTAAATTTAATTTAAAATTTTATTTTTTCGTATTTCTTTAAGTGACTTGAAATTTCAATGTTTCTTGTCAAATAATTTTACATTTTAAAAATAAATAAAAAGTTTTAAAAAATAATTCTTATTATTAATAAATTAAATTATAACAATAAATTTTTAGATTTTTATATTAAGAATATCTAGCAATTGCTTTAAAAATATTATATTCCTATAAATAATGAAATAGCATTTCAATTTTAATATTGCTTAATTTTAGTGATAAATTATGGTTTTTAATAAACAATAAATTTGCGTTTTTATTTTAAAAAATCAAGATATTTCTACTTGAATTTAGAAAGATTTTTTTTTAAGTGTATGATTAGACTTTTTACAACAAAAATAGAGATTTCATAAATATTAATATATATAATTATAATTAAAATAGTTAGAGAAATGCTAATATGATATTCTGATATGTTTTTTTAACAGAAAATTGATTAGAGGATTATTTTTCAGCCTATATAGCTTAAATAGCCATTGATTCTGCATTATATTTTCTGCACTTAATCTACCATTCATTTTTATAATAGTTGTTTTAGAAATTAAATTGCATATTCTATATGAAATCATATGGTTATTATGAAAAATTCCCTCTTTCTCATCTTAATGTTACTCACAAGAGCTTACCGCTCAAACCAAGGAAGTAGGCAGCAACAAAACCAGCAGCGTTAGGGACTTTATCGCCAATAATAGAAAGTAACTTTTTCAAGCCAACCTTAGCATCGTTGGTGGTGAGTTTGCCATCACCGTCCAAATCAGCAGCATTCTTAAGGTCTTCTTCTATTTTATCCATATTCATGGTGATGTAACCCTTATGAGAAAGAATTTAAAGGAAGATAAAAGCACCTCCGGTAACGAAAGCAGCATATTTAACAGCATTTCTGCTGAAATAACCAGCACAAAAGCCAAAAACGGATCCTGCAGTGAATTCTTTAGCAACGGGGACCAAAGCGTTAGTGAATTTATCAACTTGCTTTTCGATTTATTGCTTGTTATCTTATGTTGACATTTTTATTGTAGAAATTGATTCTGTTTACTATGTGAAAGGTGGTGATACTTTTTTTAAAAGATTTGAGTTTTTAAGTTTTTTTCTTTTTGATTATTTTTTATACAAAACAATTGATTGATAGATATTTCAATAAAGATATCAGTATAAAAGTTATCAAGATAAATTTTATAAAAAAAAATTAATAAAATATCAAATAATATCATTCATTAAAAAATACTTAATTAAGTTCATTCATGATACATTCTATTTCTATTTAATATGACTTCTACAGATTGATAGATAAATAGTTTGTTTGTTTTTTTGATTGATCAATCGATCTTTTTAGAAAAATCTTTCCTCCTTAGCTTTAAAAATAGAAAGAAAACAAAGACTAAAAAGTAAAGAAAAACAATAATTTTTTATTGTATCAATCTTTATTTTCTACCTTAAAATAATCAATTTATTTTTCCTGACAGTATTAATTAATTAAATTGATTAGGCAGCTAACTAACGATTGCTTTTATAGAATTTTCTTTTTGCTTCATGATGACATCGACGAATATATATAATTAACATTTATTTTTTAAACAATGTAATAGAAATCAGGTATATTTATTTATTTAGTTGTTTATTTTTCTAGAAATTACCAAAATAATTCAAATATAATTCAAAAAAGTATTATTAACAAATTTCGAAAACATTCTACTAACATCATTTACAAAATCTCCTTGAAACGTGACAATCAATGTCTTTTTTGAAAATATTTATTTGGGTATCTTTCGAAAATACTAAACGTAATAGTATATTTATATTAAATATCTTGCCTTTATTTTTCAAAAACTAATTTGCTTCTTATAATCACTATTAATTTACGTTTTAGCTTAACTTTTACAACATGCTATGTGAGTATTATTGAAGATATTTTGTCATATAAATAAATCAATTAACCAATTATATTTATATGAAAAAACTCTATTGATAATACACACATTTGACTTAACTCTGCTTTAAAATAAATTGTTTAGCTAAATATTTTTTATCCAAAATAAATAGTTAAGTTAAATATTTTTTAAACCAAAATAATAAATTATTTTTCAAATCTAAATAAATAAATTTCATTTAATAAACAATAATAAAGCATTTTTTTAATTTTTAAAAATAATAATAAAAAATCATTTTTATTTTAGACTATTTTAATTACACAAAAGCAAGCATGTTTCAATTTGAAGAATAAAATAAGATGAAGAGAATAAAAAAATTTGTTGTAAAAAACATAGAAATAAGTAAGTGTATGAATGCATTTACTTAATTATACTCTTAGAATTATTAAATTGAATTTAATTTAATTAATTGGCACACTTGTTTTCTATCTTAAGTGCTAAAAGCTCTATTTTAAATAATTTTTGAAAGTGTTGATTTAGCTTAAAATAGTAAGTAATCTGAAAACGATGGATAGATATATAACTAATATTTAAATTTATTTCTCAATGCTTGAAGAAAGCTCTGCCCTAGGTAGCAGGATAAGCAGCATTATTTCTATTTAATTTTTCCTTGATGAAATCATTCCAGAAACCATCGTCGTTATCATAGTATTCCAACTATATTTTTTGTTAAAATATATTTCATTATAAATTTGAACATTTAAGTTAAGTAAATAATAAATTAATTAATTTACAGGTAAGTCGCATAATTATTCTTCAATATCATCAACTCCAAGGCGTTTGGGAGGTTAAAAGTTTTCTATTTATTCTATAGTGTGTTCTTCGTGAGCTAAATGGATATCCCAAGCTTCAGTATCCTTAACAACAATTAATATTTTATAAATTATGTTAATTTAATTAAAAAAATATATGTACAGCTTCATAATAGAATTGGTTAACAGTTTTAAGTCTATCTTCTTCTTTAGCAGTTAAGAAGTGCTTTTAACTAACAATCATTTGGCTAGCAGCATGAACAATTACTATTTATTAAATTAGATATTTTCAATAAATTTATTCACTCTACTTTTAAATTTTTCTAAAATTGCAGATTTTGAAAATATTTCTTTTTTTTTCATTATTTCACTGATGTAAATATTAAAACTTTCTTAAAATATTGATCAAGCATTTTATGAGGGGTTATAATATATTTATTTGATTAAAAAAACATAAATTACAATCATCTAAAGGCAAAGAGAATTTGGCAGCATAATTGAGTGCCATAATTTTCTATTAATGGTTAAGTTCAGGTCTATTAAATTCAAAGCATCTAGCAACATTTTAAACTACAATATTGTTTCTTGCAAATTCTGGCATAGTGTAGAAATAAGTGTAAACAGAGGGAAGACCAGAATATTAATATCTAACGAGAGGTTATTCACTCAATTTCTTATTGGTCTCATAAAACTTCTACCACCAGTGATACATATTGGGGAATTATCTGAAGATAGACCATTTTTCAATACTAGGAATTTGGTAGTGAGTGATGTATGAGCTCAAGGTTTCAGGGAAGGCAGGTATTTCGTAATCTTAGAGACCAGAGTGGAAGGTGATGTTACCTTCGCAATTGATAATTTATTCTTCAGGAGAAGTATCTTCAGGAAGTTCGCTATTTTAATCCAAAGACCACAAACTTGTGTTATCAACTTACAAACGGGGAAGAGGATTTGTTCTGTAAAAGAAAACACCCTATCCACCACCAACAACGGAGCATAATTATTATTCTAATTCGTCGTTTTAGGCTTTATTATCAGTCAAACCAACATCTTCGTCTTCACTCATGTCAGCTTCTTCATCACTATCAAGATCTTCTTCCTAGTCATCTTCTTTTTCTTGCTAAATAATATTTCAAAAAGTATTAATAAGCAATATAACTAATGATTAATTAATTAATTTATTTATTTATTGCTACTCTCATGATATTTAAATTTAATCACTAATTTAAATTCTATAAAATAAAACACTCGTTAAATAAATTGCTAATTTTACTTCTTAACAATTTTCAACTAACACATTAATTATTTTACTAATGCAATAATTGGAAATTTGAGTAACTTTAATTTAATAAAAATAAATTGCAGCGTTTATTTTACTAACAATAAAACACTCTAAGAATTTTTAGTAAAAATATTAGTTTATTGATAAAACATAACTTGAAATATATTTTAACTTTTTATTTTATTTAGATATTTTGCTTGGGATTTTGAATATTGGTTTATAAATTGCATAATTAAATTTAGATAAAATAATGCTTGATGTATAAAAGAGCATCCTTTTTAAGATAAATTTGTTGGTTGATTAGAACTCAAAATAATATTTTTGATAATAAAATGAATCTAATTATTTTATCAAATAACATGTTAAATAAATGTAGCTTTTAGGGGTAATTTAATAAAAAAAATGTAATATACATCTAAATCTTCTTAGGGATCTTCTTGAATTTAATCAATCCATTTCTTTATATAGCTAGGCATGTTGTTATCGGTAATTTTCATATCAGTCATTTAAACCATTTGATCAATAAGAGGTCTGTAAGGAAGAGGACAATGCTTTTCGTACCATTCTATTATTTATCGTAAATATTTAAATACACTTTTTTTATCAATCGATAAAATATTTACAAATGTAATTTTATGGATCATCTAATGGGTGAGGACCTCTGTCTGAACCAGGATAGAATACTTCAGGTTTTCCCATTGTTTCAGGAGTGAACTAGTTAAAAAATAGAATAATTAGATCAAATATTATCAAATAAATAAACCATCAATCATCTCTATAATATTTATTTATTTAGATCTTCCTTATAAATATTTTAATTATAATTTTTTTGAAATTCTTAAGAACTCAAAAATAATTTTAATTAAATAAATAAATAAAATATTGTGTTTGCTTTAAATACATTTTTTAATATTTCTTTTTTGATTAAGGATTTAAACTATAACATTTTAAAACTAACTTAATTTTCAATGCTTTCTTTCAATTTAACAATTTTTATCTTTTAAAATGAATGCCACCTATTATTTATATTCGCTTTAGTTTGTCCGTCATTCGTTAACATAAATTTTAGTCTTATTGTTTTTATTTTTGAAAAGAAGTAGAATTCAAATTTTAATTGCCTATTTATATTAGTTTTGGTAGCTATTAATTATAGGATTTTTTTTAGCTAGTTAGTTAGTTGATTTGTTTATTTGTTTGCTTTCTTGCTTGTTTTTTAATGCAGTTTGCGAAGTAGATTTCTAGAAAAGATATAAATATTTAAAATAGCAGATGGTTTTAGTAAAATAATAAATTAATAAATGAGCCATAGTAAATACATTGATATGATCTAAAGCTTGTTATTGTCTCCAATCATCTAATTATTCTTCTTTTGATAATGTTTGATTAACTCCGAGATAAGTAGAGATTAATTCTTCCATTTCTTCAGATTTTCTGTGAACAAAAGAATTCAAAATTTCAAGATTTCTTGGTTCAACATATGAGAAATCAACTCCTTCTTCTGATTTTAATTTATCATGAATTCTCTTTGTATCGCTTACTCTTAAAGCATACTTTTTCAATTTATCGACTACAATTTATTAGGCTATGGGAACGTTTCCGATATGCTTGTCAACCAACTTTTCATCAGTAGGTTGAATACCTTTTAATAATTTTTCCTTTTTCTTAGAAATAGATTCTTAATCTTATTTCTTGGCGAATGTTTGTTTGTTTCCAGCTTTAATTTTCTTGTCACTTAAATTAAGCTTGTAAGTGCTTGAAAAGTCATTAACTGATTTTTAAATTGATTTCTTAATTTCTTCGCTATTTCCTACGTTAATCTTTGATCCGTAGATGCTAGATTAATTTTAGTGTTGTTTTTGATCCTTTTATTCATGATTCTAAGTCTTCTTCTAATCTTTTTAGGCATCCTTATTGGCATTCAAAAATGCTGGTTGCTGAGGCTTTTCTGCTTGGGATGCTGTTGTTGTGGCTGCTGCTGCTGCCTATTATTAAGGTTCATTGGTATTGCTGCCTTGACCTTAATTATTCTAGTTAGGAACTGAGCAGAATTTTGCTTTTTGAACAAAAACTAATTATCTTTGAACGCTTTTTAATGCTTTAATCATATCACAGCACTTACTAATATATATTAATTCCTCTTTATTAAAATTAATTAATTTTTTTACTCTCTTTGATTTTAATTAGCCTTCATTAATCACCCTAAATAAATTTTCATATACTATTTTTATTTTCATTCACATATCTTTTATCAATAGCTATAAATCCATTTATTTATCAATGTTAACTTTTCATCTTCATTTTTGAATGCATTTTAGATCCTTTCTTAATTATTTCACTCATTCATTATCAATTTATTTTTCATTCTTTTATTCAATAATCCATGCATTCATTCATTCATTCATTAATCCATTATATATATTGGATTGTGTTACTTATAATAATTATTTATATTTTATTATTATTTTAAGTATTTGATATTAAAATGTTTTATAATATTAAGTATAAAAAATAACTAATTTAAAATTTAACCAAAAAAACTTTTTTAAATAATTTAAAAACAGTGAAAATTTATTTATTGTGCTAATTTTTACAGTTTTTTAAACATAATAAAAAAATGTTTTATAAGATGAAAAAATATTTATTGAAGAAAAATTTGCATAAAATTTATTGAAAGATTAAAATTAAAATTAATTTTAGATATTCTATTATTGAGTACTTGCTTATAAATTATATATAAAACGAGATATATTATTTATTATATATATTATTAAAAATAAATGTATTTTTCTTTTGATTATAATTTTTATAAATTATTTCAGTATATTTATTATATATCAATCTATCTTACTATCTATATGCTTTATTGATTAAAAACTTAGCAAAAATAATTAAATTGGATCAATATCAACTTATTAAGCGATCTTGGATATAACATTTTATTCAAAATTTATTGTTAGATTTTAACAATTCAATTTTATGATTCATATAATTTTATTCTTTTATTTCATTTATTTATTTCGTGAGTATAGAAATTTTTACTAATTTAGATTTTTTTATTATTAAAATATAATTTTCTCTATTCATCTAAGGTATTATTTATTTCAAATAAAAATGAATTTTTTTCATTCACTTGTTGAATGCATTTCCGTCTAGGAAGATTGATAATACTTCTTTTAATTTGGGTATTTCTATTGGCTTTAAGATATAATCAACCATGCCAATATCTATGCACTTGTCTTTTTCTTCTAAACTGCTGTATCCAGTACATGCAACAACGTTTTAATTGATTCTCTTTTCGTTACAAAAATCTTTAATCATGCTGAATGTCCCATAACCGTCTATTTCAGGCATTGAGAGATCTAAGAAAATTAAATCGAAACCTGATTTTGTCTTCGTGTATTGCTCTTGCAATTTAGATAGTGCATCATGGGCATCAATTGCGCAGTGAACTCTTGCCCTGATGAGTCTTTCGATGTGCATTTTTAATACCATATTATTAAATTCATTATCATCTATTGTTAAAATTTCTACTTCTGCTTAGACAGAAGCACTTAGACTTTAGCTCACACTTTTATGAGATGATTCGAAGAATTCTACCTATGAGCTAGATCTTTTAATTTTGGTTTTATATCTTTTTTAAGTTCTTTTCTTTAAGTTATCTTTTTTATCAGAGTTCTTGTCTGGCTATCCTTGATTATAAGTGCTATCTTGCTGTTTCTATTCATCTGAATTATTTTACATTTTTTTGAAATTTCCATTAAAAGAATCATTTAAATTTTCATCATCAGCAACAGAGCTTTCTTTATCATCGGACGAAGAATCATGCAAATCTTCTACGTTATTCAAATTTTTACCAATTAAATTATCAAGTTGTGATTGAACTTATAGCTTTTAAATATTGCTATTCACCACATTATTATTTTAATTTTGGTTTAACAAACCACTAATGTCAAATTTTTTCTAATTTGGCGGAAATAGGATTTTTTCAAAGGAACTTTTTATATTCTCACTATCACTTGCATTTTATTAGTTAGGTCTATCACTTAAAAACCCGAAATTCTCGCCACAACCATCATAATCTACACTTTCATTTCTAATATGACATCTATTAAGTTAAACTTTTGGGCCAATTTAGTCTTTGTAGTAGAATTAATTTTTATGATTGCTAAATTAGCTTTTACTACTTCTTTTGATTAAATGGTCTCTTTCTTCAAATTTCTACGAGTTTTCATTGTTGAAATTAGCAGACCCATCTCCTTCATATTCTCCCTCTTCCTCATGAATAGTAATAATTTAATTTTTAGTTTATTTAAGGTTTAGCATTTAATTTAGAGAAGCAGATATAGATAAATTAGCTTAACCATTCATATCTGGCTAGTGATCTTCCAAACTACCTGCTAATTAATTGCAAGAGTTCGATTTAGGAGTGTAAATTGTATTCTATGATGGAATAGATGAATTTTTTAGTTTAGATGAATTGTGTAATTGAATGGATGGCTTTCTTTTTTGAGCTGACTGCTACTAGTGACCATTTTCTTTCCACTCTTCTTGCTTATTTACTTTATTTTCTTATCCACTTATATCTTTATAGCTATCAATTTTCCCAAAAGTTTTCAAAATATCATCAAAGTTATAATTTTGTGAGCATTTCTTAAGGTCATCATTGTTCACTTAATTTTGAGGTTTTTGAATGAATTATTATTATTATTATTTTTATTGTTGTTATTGCTGATACTACAACTATTGTTGCTATAAATATTGCTATTGCTATCCTTATTAGTCAATTTTCATGGAAGCTATTTGAGATTTCTTGTAGTATTGAGATTTAACGATTTACGATTTTAGAATGAAAGACTTATCGATATTCATTTTTTACAAGTTATTAACAATCTCAAAATAAAATTCAGTGCCTATTCCTACTTAAGATTCTACTTTTAACCCTTCTCCTTCTCCTAAATTCTTAGCCAGAACATGAGAAATCATCAGTCCTAATCCGACACCGTTTGGATTAAGCTGTTTTTATTCCTAACCAGCGATTTTTCCAAAAGCTTAGAATAGATTGGCCATATCTTCTTCTTTTATGCCAATACCAGTATCAATTATACTTATTTTAATCACTTTTGTGCTGATTAAAGAAGCCTTAATTGTTATACTACCTTTTTTAGTAAATTTTAAAGAATTTCCAACCAAGTTGATTATAATCTATCTTAGACGATTTGGATCGCTATATATTGAGTTTGGAATTTGAGGATCTATGTTTGATATTAAGGCCAGACCCTTTTACTCAGATTAAATGCTCATCAAAACAACAATTTAAGATATTAGTTCTTACAAGTTAAAGCTCTCCATATTTAAAGAAAACTTACCAGCCTTTAATTATGCAAGATCTAGTAAATCATTGACCATTGAGTTTAGCTATTTAGCGCTTGTCAAAGCTGGCTTTAAGTATTATTAAATCTGACTCCTTTAATAATAAACAAAAGGATTTAATACATCATTTTCAAATAAAATAGAATAGAAGACTAAAAATATTAATAATTTTTATAAATTAATAAAAAATTGGAAATAAAACAATCAAGTTATTCATTGTTTTTGTTTATTTCTCTTAATTATTCTTGAATATATAAAAAATTAGTAAATTAATTACTATGGATTGGTAATGCTAGCTAAGTCCATCATAGATATAATACAATTTAGAGGTGTTCTAAATTCATGGGCTACTTAAGATAGCATCTGTGATTTATTCTTGTTGATGTGCTTGAGGAGCTTGATTTAGTTGAAATGGGTAACATCCTTGACTACAAAAAGGACGGAAGGCTGACCTTCAATAATGCAGGGTATGCAAGTGACTTCGAAAATCTTTTTGCAATTTTCTACATTTTCACTTGTGTCACTTTTTACATTAGAAACAGATTATATATTCAAGTTCATATTTGAATACGCCATTTATGAAATATTAAATTAGGACTTTAAGTTTGAATTTGATGTTCTTTTCTTTTTGATATAGGGGAAGGAACAAATCATCTTAACTTGGTGCTCAAAAGCTTCGTATTTACTTGCTGAACCATTCATTTCTATGTCTTGCTGTATTTCTTTGATTAAGCTTCTGTACAATTCGCCTATCGTCTTTTTTCTGCTGTACGTGACATCTATGTTATTTTATGTTTGAGCGCTCTAATTTAGATTGCTGCTATAAGAATTTGAATATTCCTTTTGCATATCATTGGTAAACTGACTTCTTTATTAATCAATTTGTTTAATAATTTATTCTTCTGCTAAGTCTTTTTCCTTACGATTCATAATATTATTATTATATTAAGCATTCATATTTAATTTTTGATTCATATTCTATCTTATAGGCTAAGGGATGTACTTTAAATTAGATTTAGATAGAATCGACTCATCAATTTAGTTTTGCTGTTAGCCTATACTAGGACTATTTTACAAGCTCTGTCCATATGCTTGTTGGTTATATTTAGGATCTTCTAATTGTAAAATGCTAACATTTGGCATGGATGGTATTTGATTGTTACTGCCTTAAGTGTTAGTCCTTTCGTCATTGTCTGATCCTGCTTAAGGCTTAGGCTAGAACTGAGATGGCTAAGTCATTTTAGAATCAACGTTTTATTGCTAATTTGGCAAAATGTTTTAATTAAGCTATTGAATTGAAGATATCCTTTATTGTGAAGTAGATTCATTCAGTATTGTTTTCATATTCATAATCATGGGGAGTATGTCTAGTGTTCCTGAAGTGTCGCTAGTTTCTCCTAAATTTAAATTATTTTCTAATTTGAAAAATTTATCAATTAAGGAGCCTCCTTTGATATTCATTAGTCTCTCTAACATTCTATTCTGGACATGCACTTTATTTTACTTGGAGCCAAGTAAAAGAATACCTTCAGGCAAAATTTAAAAAAACATCTAATAGAATTGTGAGTTATTGGGGACACTGAGCTGTAAGACTGGAGATAAGGAGAGTTCATATGATTAAATACTTTTAGGACTAATTGAAATCTGAGTATTTTTTGAGTATTCCTAAGATTGATAGTTCTATTTGATTTGGTTAATTTGAGCATAATTTTCTTCATCTTTTGTGGTTAAAGGTAATTTGAACAGTTTTATTTCTTAAAGTCTTTTATCGCTTTGCTTTTCTTGTTCAATCATCTTGCTATTTTAATATTAATGTATACTTTGAATGCTGTTTTCATTTTTATTATTTTTCCTGTTGGCAAGAAAATCTGGACTCAAAACTGAAGTTTACAAATCTTAATGGCTTTTATTTGGTTTTTAAATTTATTTATCTTCAATTTCTTGGTGATTTTCTTTACTGTTTTCCTGAGTAGCATACATCTAAAAATTGCTCTTTTTCCTTTATTTCGAATATTCTTAACAAGTTTTAGGACTACAAAATTCACTATTTGCATTTTAGATTTTGCTATAATTAAAAATATAATTTTGTTATTTAAAAAAAATAATTTTGTTTGAATCCAAATAATCTATTTTTTCATAAAACTTATTTAATTGGATAAATAATTCAACATATTTATTATGTCATTTAAAAATTAATAAATTTATGTCTAATTTTCAATAACGTCATCTGATAATTAATTTACTGTTTGTTTGTTTGTTTCAAACGAGCAAGTAAATCAATAGAATAATTTTGAGTGATTGAAATAATTAATCGAACACTTAAAAATTAAAAATTTAATAAATTTTGCAGATTTAACTGATAAAAAATAAATATTTTGGTCCATTATCAAATAAATGTTTAAAATATACTTTAAGTATCAAATCAATCAAAGTCTTCATTTATTTTTAAATATCATTGTAACAAATAAGGAAAGGAAGAAATGAATGAAGTGTAAAAGAATTTGAAAATTCTATAAAATTTTAGTTCCATTTGATTTATTTGATTGATTGATTGATTGATTGATTGATAAATGAATATTTGAGTTCATTAGCATAAATAAATAAGTTAATTTGAATAAAATATTTAATCTATAAAACTTACACAAAATCTTCATTATTATTTTCAGATAAATTGATGTCATCTACCTCGTTTGAATTCTACTAGCATACCAACTTCGGACTGCCGAATTTCGCAGTAAGAGATTTTTCTAAATTTTTTCTCACTGTAAATTACTCAGTATTTTATACCAAGTTGCTACTAGTGTTGTTTTCGGAATTAGCAGGTCCATTCGTTTATAAAGTAAATTGATAGCAGGCTTAACCATTTTTATCTGTTGCTATATGCTACTCATTAATTTACTGCCCATTTTTATGCAAACCTTTTTAATTAACTTCATTTGCTAATAAAGTATGAGTGCCATTATTTTATATGTGGTTGCTTGCAATTGAGGTTTTCCCTTGTTATTAACATTCTTTGGAAATAGAACTATTAGTCATAGTTTTTGGCTTGTTAATAAAACTAAAAAGACCACCTAAACTTCCTCCAAACGTGATACCTCTGGTGTTCTACCTTGGGTTTTAATAATTCTACTCGCTAAATGTCATCCTTTTTTGGGTCAGGATTAGGTCTTATTCTTGAGATATCAAATGTGGAGAATCTAGAATGTGCTAAACATCTCCGTTAATTGTTTGCAAAAAAATTAAAAATAATAGTAGAAGATTAATTCTTGAAGCGATTGAGTCCATTGTATAAGTTATACACCTGAGTTATAAATAGATAAAAGTAAAAATTAGATTTAAAAAGCGATAAATGTTCTTTTTCTCCCACTAAGTGAAGGTGGCTAAAATAAAAACTATCCTAAAAAAAGAGACCATGATTTTCATTCCCATATCTTCCTGCATTAAATACTCAATCTGAAGAGATACTTCTCCTATGCACAAACAATTTTTAAATAAGCTGATCTGCCATTCCTAAAAGAACTTTTAAAAACTAGGAATTTTTCCAGTATTAATAAGACAAATCGCAACTATTTCTATAAAAAATAAGCATGTCTAAATCCATGATACAATTGCCATTTTTTTAGAATTATCATTATTAGAATAGCAACTCGCCACTAAATCTATAATTGCCATTGCCATCAGTGCTATTGAGTGCGTGAAAAACCTAAAATTAAAGCTGTAGTACAAATTTAGTATTTGAGAAGACGAAATTACCATCTTTGGTAATTTTTAATCTGATATCTCCATTTCTTATCAACGAGCAGACAGACAGAAAGGCAAGTAAGTAAGCAAACAAACAAACAAGCTGACAATAAAAATAAATAGCTTTCTACTTTGCAATAGATTGGTTCTTTTAGCTTATTAATTAATTATTTATTAAATTATAATTAGTGATTAAATGCTTTATCTTTCTTTCTTTCTTTTTTTGTTTCTTTATTTCTTGTTATTTGCCAATCAAATGCAAACTAAAAAATAAGGTTGATATAATGAATGTCAGAAAATTAATGAATAAAATACGTAATATTTATTTTTAACACTAAATAAGTAAATAACCTATAAACACTAGATTGATTGATTTTTTGTTTGTTTTACAATTCACTCACTTTTATTTTGTTATTATTAATCAAATATGCTGGCTTTTATTACTTTAAAATCAATATTTTTAATAGCTTTAATTATCTGACAGCTACTTATAAAACAAAACTCATTGATTACAAAAAGAAAAACAAACGATTTAGAGAAATCATATAATTTATTTTATCATTTTGCTTTAAATAATCTGTAAATTATATAAACCTTTTCAATTGATAATTCTGTTTTTATAATAAAATTCTTGAACGCTATAAAAAAAGTAGCAATCATATTTGGAATTTATTTATTTATTTGCTCTAAGCAGATTTGGTTTTGAAATCGTTAAAAGAAAGAAATTAGGATTTATCAAAATTTTAACTTTTATTTCCTAAAATTTATTTTGCTTATTTTTCTGTATGTAATAAACAAATTTCTATTTATTTAATCTACATAATACTAATTAAATTCAAAGTGCTCACATAGCAAATCAATGAACAATACCTACAGAAATCATTTGTAAAAACTGAATAGGTAAACTAAATTTTAATGATTTAGCTTTTTATTTGTTAACACTGAATTTCTTTCTAACTTTCATATCTTGAATACTAAATATACACATGAATTTTTTATCAATTTTAATATTTTAAATAATTTTAATTATCTTTAAAAATCTTATTTTATCTCCTTCTTTTTATATAAGATATATTACTTATTAATTTTAAAAAAACCTTTATTTTTGTAAGTAATTCTTTTTCACTTTTTCAAAATATTAATTCCAAAAAATATACTTTTAACCTTAAAATTAATTTTCCATTTAATTAAAAATCAATCTTCCTTAAAAATTAAACTTGTATTTCTTTCTTAGTAAATTATTAAACATTTATCATAATATCAAAGTTAAATATTTTATAAATACCTAAATATCTTGTGATAAATTTTTAACAAAAATAGTTTTTTTTTAAAAAAATAAAAAATAATCATTTTAATTAAATACAATAAAAACCTTTATTTCAACCCCTCCTCTCCCCTACTCTAATAAATTTTTTATTTATTTATTTAAATTCCAAATAATATTTTAGAAGGGGATAATAATATTATGGACCACATAAAAGAGTAAATATTTCAAAATTCCTAAAATAATTTTGTTCTTTTATTAAATTTTATATTAGTTAGTTAGCTAGCTAACTTGTTAATAATTAAACAAAGGAGGGAGTAAATAATTATTTGTAAGAAAATATACAAAAGAAGAGACTTCAATTTTAAATAGAAATTTTTTTTTATCGTTTTAAAATTATTTATTGTGTGATAAATATTAAATTAATATTTTAATTTTGTTTTTTTGAAAATAAATGTGTATTTAATTAAAATAAATGCATTTTATTCATTTAATTGCTATAAAATATTAGAACAAACCATTAAATTATAGTTAATTTTAATTTTTTTTTTTTTTGAGCTTAAACTTAATTTCTATCTAATTTTATTCAAATTTAGTGCACTTATTTAGATTTGGACATTTATTTTTGTTACTTGCGTATTTACTTTAATTCATAGTCGTTTGTTGAGAAAACATATATTGCTATATCAATAAAGTAAGTAGCTGCAATAAGGATAAAGGTTACAAAGTAGAAGTAGACACTAGATAATTACATCTTTAGAGTATTTTGTATGTCAGCCAGTTTGAAGTATTTTAAGTAAGCAAAATAGCAAAGCAGATAAAACAGGTAGCTGCCAAAAACACAAATAGTTTAGAAGAAACTAACAGAGTGACTGAAACTCAAAATTTTTAGATTCGATATAAGCACACTGGCTCCGAAGGAAATCATACCCGTCATGTGGAAGAAAGGTAAATGACTTGGTTAGTTATGTCCAGCAGCATGTTATGTAATGTTTTCAAAACATAAGAAACTAACTAACATAATTATTGCAGCATCAACAAAGCCCTTAAATATGCTCTGCAAAAAGGTCATTAAAGAAAATAGTCTGTTCGTTTAGCCTTACTCATAGAAATCTAGAGGATACTTTAATAGCTTCTTCAAACTATATTATCTATCTTCAATAGCATAGACAACAATAGGTAGAGCAGTGAAGCAAGTATTGTACAATTAATATAGCCAAGGATCATACAAAGTTACACCAGAAAATCCATTGTATAAACCAAACCACCACTGAGGCAAAACCAACAACATATTTTTATAGAAATTGTATAAAACTAATTCACTATTTCTTCTGTAACATTCTCTTCCAAAATCAAAAAGAAGGTGACCTAAATATCTAAATTCTGGTATAGCGTAGTTACTTGATCTTTCAGCCTGTGTACCTTCTTTACCTCTAATACCAATACCTTTTAAATAAATATTTCATTAAATAATTCTAGAAAAAAAATGTCTAACTTTTATTCTCTCCAAAAAAAATCTAAAATAAAATATTTTTTTATTGATTTCATTTAAAATTTAACTAAGAAAACTATTTTGAAGAAATTAGTTTAGTAGTTTGAATGTTAATTTGTTTATCAAGCAAAATCAAAACTTGTTGTTTTATTTATTATTAAATAAAACCTTTATCCATGTATTAATTTTTGCATATAAAAAAGATTTATAATACTTTTTTCTACCTTAAAATTTCAACGCTTATATATTTCTAACAATTATTTTTATCAGAATTATAGAATTATGTTTATATTTTAGGAATTTTTGTAAATATTTTTATATCTTTTATAGAAATATTAAATAGATAAACAAACAATTATCTAAAATATAAATCAAAATTAAAGTACGTCAACCTTTAGTTTGTAATAATTTTTATTTATTCATTTGGAAGAAAATTAATTTATGAATTTCAGAAAAATCAATTAATTTTTATTAAGTAATATTTATTACCAACATGAGCTGCGTTAATCATACTAACATCATTAGCACCATCTCCTATTGCAAGGGTTGAAACATCAGGAAGAAACTCTCTTACCATGTCAACGATTTCTTTTTTCTAAAGTGGAGAAACTCTACTTGCAATTACTGTATCACAATCTATTGCCATTTTAACAAAGTCCTACTTAAGTTGCACATCGCTAGTTATAGTTATCAAGTCATCTCCTTTAACAATTAATGCTACTTTTTTAGTGACCTCATTGTTTGGGTTCTTTGCCTTATTTTTCATGTTAGAGGCCTCTTAAATTGCTTACTAAAGAAGTTGTTTTGGATTTAAATTCTGATGCTAAAGTTAGCTTTTTGTGGTAAAATCTTTAATTAATTTAGAAATTTAAACTTTTACAGTTGTTTCTTCATCTCCAATAACCTAAAAAGTAAAATTATTTATTTTATTTAATCAGAAATAATTTATAATTTACATTTTTATTTTAGTTTATCAAATTTAAAATACATAAACTTTGTAATTTTATAAAGATGATTGAAATTAAAATTTATAAAAAATGGTCTCATGTTTTTAAACCTAAATTTTGTTCTTTTTAAAATTTATTTTTTCTTTTAACATAAGATAAAATTTGTAATTTTACAAAGACGATTGCAATTAAAATTTACAAAAAATTATTAGTAGCTTTCATTTTTTAAAACTCCATTTTTTTTCTTTTTAAAATTATTTGTTCAATTTATATGTTTGTAATTTTACTAATAAAATTGCAATTAAATTTGTTATAAATTAATTATGAGATTTTATGTTTTTAAAACTAAATTTTGCTTTATTTGTTAAATTTATGATTGAAAATTAGAGAAATTTACTTTAATAGCATTTCCAATACTTATGGCAGTTTCTTCTTTATCACCAGTGAGTACCCAGAAGTTAATAAAAGCTTCCTTAATTCTTTGTATTGTATCAGCTACGTCTACTTAGAGTTTATCTTCTACTCCTGTGACAGCTAAATATTCAAGTTATTACTCCATTTTATCATATAAATCATCAATAATTTGCTTATTATTCTACTGGAGAAGCTTTGCCCTGGTCAGTTCTTATTCGAAAATAGATAACTCAGATTTAGTTATCTCTTTTTAAGCCAAAACTAATGTTCTATAACCATACTCGCTATATTTTATTAAATCTTTTTGAGTATTCATATCATATTTCTTTGAAGTTATCCTTGTTTCCATCACATTATCTGCTCCCTTTGTAAGCAAAAGGTATTCATCTAACAAACCTAAGGGTCCGACTATTTTAATTAATTAGTTTATAAAAAATTATTTTGAATTACTTTCAAATAATAAGAATTAACAAAGAACATAGATTTTTAAATAAAATTAATTTTTACCTTTTTAAACTATGACAGACATTCTTTTTCTATCTGAATTAAAATCAAAAGTGTAAAGCAATTTATATTTTTCAATAGTCTTTTGCCCAAATTGACTTATTGACTTTTACACAAACAAAATACTGTCATCGTCTTTTTTTATAAACTAAACACCTTAAGATTATGCAAAACTAACCAAACATATTTCATCAGGAGAAGGCCCACTATATGAAATAGGTCCAATGGGAACAACATTATGACATAAAGCCATAAGTGTTAGAGTTTTTTCTATTTAAGATTTGACCAAGTTTTCTCCTTTAATCATTTATTTAGTGAAATAACTATCTGCAAAATCAACACATTCCACATTTTATAATGTCTTTTCTAAGAAGTTATACGACTCGTCTCTGCTATTAGCTTCTGCAGCTTATACCTCACCATAACTTTATCCTAGAATGCTGATACACTTAAATTTCATTGAATTTTGAGTCAAAGTGCCTATTAAATAAATTAAATGTTTATTTTTTCACTTAAAAAGCATATTTAAAATAACATAAATACATACATAAACTAATTTCTCATTTATTAAAAAACTTAAAATAAACCTATTTTTTTATTTTTTTAATTTTATAAATAAATAAGTTGTTAATTTTTAAAGTAAATGATAGACATTAATTAATGAGGAATGACTATATATATCAAAATTATTAATTAATATTTATAATTTATACCTGTTTTATCTGAGAAAACATATTTTATTTATCCAAGCTCTTCATTTAGATTACTTGATTAGACTCTGCATTCAGGATAATTTTCTTTGTCTGATTCTAAATTAATACCTTAAATGTATTTGACAACTTCCAGAGTGACAATTAGAGATATGGGTATGAAATTAGTAAAAATCAAAGTCCATGTTCCCATGATTTAGAAGCACTCAGCAAAGTCAAAACCACCAATATGAGCAAGGGAAGACTAGGAATAGTGAAGATAAGATAGTTTGAGCTTGTTTTCTTGCATCCACAAAGTTCCAAAAATACCTGAGCAAAAGCAGATTACTATTTGAATTAAGAAGATGACAATAATGAATTTGTTCATCATTTCTTCAAGAGAACTTAGCTTTTATTCACTTTCACATGAATTCAAGATAATTTTAGTATCATTACCAGTATAAACAACCACTCCCTTGATCCAACTAGTGGTTCTCAAAGTGCATCCTCTAAGCAATAAGTGCTTGCTTTCAATAAAATCTGTTTAATTTTATCCATTTTCTTCAATTATGATTGATCCATTGAAGCTTTCTAAGTTTCTATTAGGAGGAATGTAATCTATTCCAACATTAATTTATGGCTCAAACATGAATCTTTTTGTATTACGGAATGCTTCAGGAATTTCTTTGACTTTTAAGTTAGTTTCACCATCCAAATTTTTAGTTTCAATATAGCATTCTTTCTTCTACTCTGCTATCTCTAAAATTAGCAAATCAGCAGGTATAATTTAATCTTTCTCTACCTTTATTTAAAAATAAATGTTATCTTCAATAAATAGTTCAAATACTGGTTAAGTTTATTTTGTTGATTAATTTAATTATTTAACTCTTCTTATTAACACATCTATCTTGAAAATGAAAGCAAATTAAAAATTATCGAAATTATTTACAGTGACTATGTGACCAACTTCTAAATCTTGGCAAAGTTAATCTTTGGCGATGCCATCAGATGATACAATAACCTTAATTTTTCTGTTATTTTCTTCTTTATCTGCATTTTTTCTCTTTCTATCTTCAAAATAATCCTTAATCATACTGACAGAGATAACTACCTATAAAATTGAATTAAATTTAGCAAATAAATAAACAAATATTTGGTTCATTATTTTATTAAAAGTATTAAGTTTACTATCAATGGAAGAAGGATAACAGGTTACCCTTATGAAATAGATATAGCTGGAATGCATTAAAGACAAGCAATCACAAGAAAATAAATATTTGCTAATTTATGCATTTAAAACCAAATATCCTAGAAGATGAATAAAGGCATTCCATAGTACTTAGATGACTTTATTTAATTTCCGCCATAAGCTTTGTATTAAGAAAAGAGCTTTATCTTTCTTACTTTTAAACTGTCATTAGCGAGAGTTTCTTTATCTATGTTTACCTCTTAAATATAATTCTTTTTTTGTTAATTCAATCCACTTTAATAATTTTAAACATTCAAGTTAGGCTAGACCATCTAAACATTGTAATTGCTCATTTAGCTGTTTTTTAAAAAGTTACCACTCTAATAATTAGAGTGATTGGAGGTATACGGACTAGCATTATCATTGACCTATCTAGAAGACTAAACTGGATCAGCAAAAGAAGGGTATCTTTACCCAGGCTACTACATCTTTAATAAAATACTACTTATCTTATCTGTTTTATTTATTTATTAATTAATTAGTAATTGCTTGATTTTGATACTTTTTTGATCTAAAGATATTCAATAATTTTTATTTACCAATCTAAATAAATAAATAACTAACTAATTAACAAATATTGTGTATAATATTTTTTAAGGTACTACTGCAAATTCATAATCACCACTGATGTTTCCATTTAAAAGACTATAAAATTTTTCTTTATACCTAGATCAAGCTTACAAAAAATAACATTAAAAACGATTATCGTTTTAGCCTCTATATAAAAAACTAACAAAGCATATTTATTCATAAAGTTTTTTATTAACTTTTTAATATTATTTTATTTCTAAAAATAAATTATTTAAAAAAAATAAAAGTTTACTTTAATTTTAATTTAATTTAAAATGATTAAATCTAAACTGTATTACTTTTATTATTTGATTCAATTTTTTTTATTTAAAATATATCTAAATTAGCTAAATAAATTGAATTTTTTAAATTAGTTCTAAAATATTATTATTATCATCTAAATTTTACAATAAACTCTAAATAATTTTTCATAAAGTGTTCAAATTAGCTATTTATTTATTTAAATAATTAAGATTGTAAAAAATTAAGTTAAAATTATTTAGTTTTTAGTAATTTCTAATTACAAATATAATTTATTTTATTTCAAAATTATTTAAAAAATCATAGTAGTTTTAAATACATTGATAATATAATATATTTTTAATAGTTTCTTAAAATTTAAAGTTATGTAAAATTTAATATTTTTATATCAATAATTAACTTACAAAAAAAATTATTTTAATTTTTTGCTATTAAAAATATCTGAGAAATTATGGTAATAAGATTATTAGACTTGTAATATTATGTTTTTATATTGATAAAAAATAAATTAATTTAGTCATATTTTTGTTATATTATTTACATTTCAAAAATAGTATTTTAGCGGATTTGATTATTGAATTAAAAAAATTGCTATTGAATTTAATGTGGAATAGAAACATTGTGTTAATTCGAAAGTTTCCTGAATAAGTGCATATGCAACTTAGACAATTTTTTCAGTAAAAGCTTTAAGAAAAATATAACTTTGCGGATTAGCAGATAGTAGATCTTAATAGCTCAATAAATAATTAGCAAGTGCTTGGCTATGAAGTAAATAAAGACTAAGTAGAAGAAATATCATCTTTCATTAAATCATAAACAATCAGTCTGTTAACAAGTGGAAGTCTAATTAACTTCGACAGTTCTATTTAAATAGGAATTCTGCACAACTTTATCCTTGCTAAGTTTAAAGATAAATCCACTATTAGTAAATTTATAGAATAGAGCTAATGTATTAGTGTAATATTTTATTCACTTCATTAGCACGATCAATCTATTAATTTATTCTATTTTAATAATTAATTAACAAGTACGAAAAAATAAATAATGAGGAGATTAAACTTTATTATGATAGTGATTTGAAGTCCTTAAAAGCAATTGATATTATTAAATCTAATTTTCAAGATAAAATTATTATTGACGATTAAACATTTAGATTGATTTTTAATAATCATGAAATATCTTCTGGTACCAATCAATCAACATTGAATTTACATTATTTATTTATTTGTTAAAAATCTAATATTTGCATTCAAATCTTATTATTTCTTCATATTAATAATTATCAATATTTATTTCTTCAAAAGACCTCTTTGATCCAAGTTGCGATCAAATATAAAAATAACAAATAGAAAGCCATCCAAAAAGTAAACTAATATATTAATCGATAATTAGTCGCCAAGATACTCCTCCTCGTCCACCAAGTATCAGTAAACCTTTTTCAGAATACAAAATATCATTCTAAATTTAATACAAAATAAATTCAGAGTAAAAACCTAGATAAAAGATACAGCTAAATTACCCTAATTGTTTATTTTATTTGAGAGATCAAATAGAATTTCATAATTTTATATAAAAATATTTGAATGAGTGAATAAATAAATTTATTCTGAAATATTTTATCAAAAAAATAAATTAAAAAATAAGTTATAAATTTAAAATAGGTGTTTTAAATAATGAAAAGTAGATTTCAAACCAAATTTGCTCTGATAATACAAGTAATGAAGATCAAATTTAATAAAAATAACAAGATAATAAAGAAAATGATTAATAAAATGAAATAAATTAAGTGAAAAAATAAGAAAATGTAAATAGATTAAATAGGAATAATGAGAATATAGAAGAAAATTGTTAAATAGTATAAAAGTAAAATACAGCTTAAAACATATTACTTGCTGAAATTATTCATAGTGATGATGGTGATGATAATGAAGAAGACAAAGTTCATGAAATCAGTGATCTTTAAAATTTTTATAGTTGCAAAGAATGTAATGATTAGCTTATATATTAATAACTATTAACATAATTTATCATTAAGTAGTTGACCAACATTAAAATAAGTCAGACTCAATAAATGATGAAAAGAAAAAAATAAGGAGAGCTTAGTCACTTTATAATATTGAGTAAAAACCAAAAAAAATATTGCATTCTGAGTAGCAAGAGAAATAAAAGGATATTAAAAGTGGAATAGACAAATTAAATTCAGACTAAAAATACTTCATAAATATTTTATTAAATTGTATTGTTATTTTGGTTATATATAAGATATTAATCAAGTGAACATATTTAATTCATTCAAGAACATAAATTGTTTTTTTCAATTAAAATTCAATTTATTCACACAAATATTTATATTCTCACAATTTAAAGATATAATTTAAATTTTATATTACTTATTTTTAATTATTTGCATTTAAATATTTTGATATAAATAAATAATTACTCCCAAAATTTGTTTTAATAATTTAGTGCATTTTATATTAAAGAAGTTTATAAACGTTAATATTGTCAAACAGTCAAAATTTTTAAGAAAAATGCTAATTTAAGTTTTAAAGTTCAATTTAATTTTAAGAATTTTGTAAAAGCATTTGCTGATAGTGATAATTACTGTTTTTAACAACACTCTGCTTTTAGGATGTACTTAGAATCAAAGACATTTATTTTGTAGGTTTCTCAGGAGGATTATCTACCAGATTTTATTCATGAATACTGGATTAATAGAAGTCAACTAATCTTTGATAAAGTAAGTCAAGCAAAAAGCAAATCGAAGCAACTAGAATCGTCAAAAAATATATCGTTAAATTAGAATTCATAAAACTAAAAGATTTATAGAGATCGTTTTTAAGATTGTACTCAGTAAAGAAGTAGTATGTGATTAGATAAAAAGCATAGCTTCCAAAAACAAAAAATATTGAATAGAATGTATTAGCATAAGAAAATGTGAATATTTTTAAGTTCGAAACCAAAACACTTAATCCATAAGAAACCATACCAGTCACAGCATAAAAGCTGTATGAGTTGCTTTCTTCATTTAAGTTCCTGTTCTCAAGTGTAGCGAAGGTAAAATACATAAGAATGAATGATTAAAAGCATCCATTAATGAGATTCATAATATATTTTTTAACATTAAAATGATTGTAACTCATACCAGGTAGGTATAAATCACTGCTATAAATTAAGTCTTCCTGTCTGTGTTCTCTGTCAATAATAGCATAAATAACAATAGGCAAAGCTGTATAGAATGTGTTGTATAATTAGTAAAGCCATGGATCATAAAACGAAACTCCACTAAACATATTATATAAAAGTCCATACCACCACTGAGGCACTACAAGCAAAACGTTTTTGTAAAAATTATAGAGAACCAATTCACTATTTTTTCTATAACATTCTCTCCCAAAATCATACAGCAAATAACGAAGCTACTTAAACTCAGAAATGCTAAAATCACTTGCTCTACTAGCTTAAGATCCTTCTACACCTTTGATACCAACACCTAAAATATAAATATAAATAATTAGCGTTTTTATTTTTGTAAATTGATTAAGCAGTTATAAATTATTTTAATTGAAATCTTTTTTTGATTCATTAGAATGTATTAAATAGAATCTTAGCCAAATAATAAACAGATTCTCAATATCAAATACTTTCAATGATTGAATTTTCACACTCATTTTCATCAATTTTTAAAAATTAAAATTCAATAAAATATTTTTTGTTTGTTTTTCTGCTATGAGTGAAATGAACGAACTATTAAAATTTATTTTTTATTTGATTAAAACAAAAAAAAAACTATATCTAATTTATTTGTTTTTATTTTGAATTGTTGCTTTTGATGATTAAAAATATATATTTATAGAGTGAGAAAAATAAAATTTAAATAGAAAAATGTTTATACCAACATGTGCTTGCAAAATCATATTGACATCATTAGCTCCATCTCCAATAGCAAGAGTAGGGTAATATTTAGTATTTTATCTGACCATTTACACAACAGCTTATTTTTACTTTGGTGAAAATCTGCATCCGATTACTGTTTCGGTTTTAAGACATAGCTTAACAAAAGCACTAGATAATTCTTTATTTTTTTCTATAAAATGGAATGTTTCTCCTTATATTATAACAGACTCTTTCTTTTTTTATCCAAAGCAATTTTATGTTTCAAGATCTTAATTGTATTATTCAATGCTTTTTCTTAGATCTTCTTCGTTGTTAAAGTCTAAATCTATTAAATGTGTGTCTTAATCTATAATTTTACTAGATAAACTAATGTTTATAGCTGTTTCCTTTTTATCTCCAGTTAAAACCCAAAATTTAATTCCTGACTATCTAAATTGGTAAATTGTAGGCCCAACATCATCTTAAAGCTTGTCTTCTATAGCAGTACATCCTAACAACTTCAAGTCTTTCTCAATCAAAAGCCTGATTTTTTCCATTTTTTATTCTCTGTCAACCAACTCTTTTTTAGCATTATTGTATTACTATTCCCATTAGTTATAAAAATCGTTGTTGATAGCTCTCTTGGCCAAATACAACGTTCTAAGTCCTTGAGTAGCATACTCGTGAGCTACTTTCTTAGTTTTCAGTAGCACTTCTCTTTCCCAGTTATCTGGTTCTCCCAATAAGCTCTCAATTATATTATCTGCTCCTTTCATGAACATTTCTATTTCATCTATTATTAATTTAATAAATCAATCATCAATTAAAATATTTAAAAATAAATAATTTCTTTTCACCATTTCCAAATAAATCAATTTAGAATTTTTTTTTTTAATTATAAATCAATTTTTCATTTAATTAAAATTTTTAAATAGAACAAGAACTTTAAAATAGGAAAATGATAGAAATTAAAATTTATTTTGTTTAATTTACTTTTTTAGCTTCTTGTGATTATTGTGAATCTCTTTCTAGTGCTATCAAACTCAAATACTTATAAGATCTCATAAACTTCATCTAAATGCTTTATGTTATTTCTTACATTGTAATATTCCTTATTGTGAATAGTTTCAGCACCCTTAAAAGTAAGTCCAGAAAATTTGGCAAAAGATACAAGAGCCAACTCATCAGGAGATGCAGCGTTATACGTAATTTCTTTAGTTTAATCATCTATGTCTGGAAGCTCAGCAATGACATTATGACAAATTGCTAAACAGTAAAGAGCATCCCACACTCTTTAATTATTTTACTAAAGCTAGATTTGGAAATTATAGTCTTCGAAATCTACATTTTTCTCTTTTTTTAGATTATTTGTGAATGTGCTTATCCTAGATATGCTGCTAATTTTAGGATTAGTACCTTAATTACTGCCACCATAGTTAATGCCTTCTACACAGATTGACTTGAATTCCATTTTATTTTATGTTAAGGTGCCTGTTTTATCAGAAAATATGTGATTTATCTGTCCTAGTTCTTCATTCAAACTACTGGATTAAACAGATACATTATAATAATATTTCTCATCTCTTTAAACCTAGAATCCCTAATAAAATTTAACCAATTCCAAAGTAACTAGCAGCGAAATAGGAATAAAATTAGTAAAAATTAAAACCCAAGTACCCCACTTAATAAAGATAAACTTAGTTATAGATATGTTTATTTCTGAGTCTTGATTTGAATCATGATGATAGAGATAGTCCATTTCATCCTTGCTATCTTTGAACATAAAATATGACAAATAAGCACTAAAAACGCATAATAGCATTTATATTAAAAACAAAACAATAATCAGCTTATTCATCTATCTTTCTAAACTGCTCAGTTTAGGACTTGGCTCTATTGAATTCATCATAACTTTTGTCTCAGGACCTGTGTAAATGACTAGTCCATAAACATATTCAGTATTTCTTAAATCACTACCCTTTAAAAGGACATTAGAGTTATTTAAAGAAACCTCAAATTTATCTTAATATTTAATCTTTCCATTAAATTGGTAAAGATATCTATTAGGTGCTTCATAAGTCACAGATATATTCTATTCTATGTCATCTATTGTTAATTCCTAAACTTCCTTAACACTTGTTTTTTATTTTAGATTAGTTTCACCATCTAAATTCATAGTCTCTACAAAACAAATGCCATTTTCATCACTTACTTTTAGTATTACAATATCAGCAGGTATTTATCTTTTATAATATAATAAATCAATTTATTTTCTAAAAATTAATTAATAAATAGTTTGCTTGCTTTTTATTTATTTTTTGTAATTTTATTTAATATAGAGGGAGAGCACTCACTTTTTATTCTTTATTCTTTATGATTTGCTTATTTAATCTTGATCCTTATTAAATAAAGATTTAAAAAAAAAATAACAACCCTCTTTTTATGATTTGAATACTATTCTAATATATTCACATATTTTAATTTAAATTTTCTATTTTTATTAAATATTTACTATGCTGAGTTAAAATTAGTTACTTATTTTTTTATGTTTAATGTTTTTTGCTGGATTAAAAGCAAGAAGTTTGAGTTATATTCAATATAACTAACTAATTCAATTATGTATTAGAAATTTATTTAATACAAATTATTAATTACTCTTTTCATTTTCCTTTTCTTACTTACTTACTCTTTTGCTTAGATTTGTTTTAAAAATTTATATCTGTTATTTATCAGTAACTATTAACTAATTATATGTTTGCTTATTTATTTATTATTTATCTATCTATCTTTCTAACTAACTGCTAAGAAAATATTCGAACTATACATTTTTTGATTAGCCTATATTTTCATTTTCTTTTATATGAAAAAATATCTATTGAATAAAAATAGAAACCCTTGATATATATGAGTCAAATATTTAAAAATTTTAACAAACTTTTGTTGTTTCATGTAAGTGACTCATGCAGAAGTTAAATTTCTATTGCAAATCTTTCTTTTTAATAATAATAATAAATTAGAAATGGTAAATATTTACTAGTTTTTTTCAATTTTAATCACGTGCCCAGGATAAATATCTTGACTTTAGGTTTAAATAACTTCTTATTTGTCAATTCTCTAAACAAATCCCTTGTTCTCTCTTCTATCTTACCTATGTCTTTTCATATCTTCAAGTAATTCTTTGAATGCTGAAACTCCCATTATGACTGAAAAAGGGAGAAACATGACAGGTTTTCCATCGCTAATAGAAATTGAAGGTATCATTTGCATTAATCCAATAATAAAGAAGTAGATATTAGCTAGCTTACTAAATTGATACTATAAAATTTTAGGAATGAAATTTAAAATTGTGTATTTGCTCGTTTAAATTTTATTGCTCTTTAAAACATAATCTGGAATAAATGCATAAAGCATTCTCTACTTTTTTAAATTATCGCCTCTAGCTCTTCTCTTAACGCAAAACCTATAAGTTTCATATTCTACATTATCATACTAAACTCTATTGTTGCTACTGCTGTTGAATGTCAGCAGTCTAGTCAGCATTTCTGACATTTCTATTTTATTTTTTCCGAATTTACAAGACTTTATTTACTACTAAATAATATCTTTAATTAATAAAGACCTTATTCTACTGCTTCTTGCTTAATTGCTTAATAGCAATTTTTTTGTTTGTTTGATTAGTTTATAAGATTATTTATAGACTACTAGTAAATTTTATTGGTTTGATTGATTGATTGATGGATGGATTAATAAATAAATAATTCAAAAATAATCGATTCTTTTCCAACTAATTGGTTTGTGAATTAATACAAAATCTATGAATCAATCTTTTTTTCTTTCATTCTTTCTTTCTCTCATTCTTTTTATAGATTGAACTTGAAATATTTAATAATATCATTATTTTTATGTTTTTATTGTATTTTTTAATGAACTTTGCAATTAATTTAGTAAAATCTAAATATAGCACAGACTAACATATAGTTTAATAATAATTCCTTAATGTTATTTTTATTATATATTAAATAGAGTAAACTTGCAAAATTCATGCTCAATTCTATTGAAATTTGACAACTATAATATTTAAAATTTTATTTTATTATTTAAAATATATTTTGATTTACAAGGGACCTTTATTTTAGAAAGCTTAATTTGGTGAAAACGATATGATTAGTAATACTTTAGAGATTTGAAATATATTCATTATTATCCAATTTTATTCATGAAAATAACAACATCTTTTTTGTTAATAGACCTACTGATAAAATTTATAAAACACAGAAAATAAATAATTGATGTGCATATTTTTTGGTAAGAAAATTTATTTTTTTTAGGATTTATAAACCAAAAAGCTTTTAATTTTATTTATAGAAGAATTAAAAGGCATATATAAATTAAAGTGTATTTGACACCACTGTGACTTTTTTATCTTTTTTATATATTAAAAAAAAAATTTTTCCTTCTTTATATTTTCCTTTTGGATATTACCCAAGATAGATTTAATTTTATATATAGTTCATATTAGGGTTAAATACAATAAATAAGTTTTACAGTAAAAAAAATCTAAATAATTATTAAATTTTTGATTATCATAATTTATTTAATTTCCTAATATTTTTTAATTTATTTAGTAAAACTATCAAGGTAAATAATTAATAAAGGTTTTTAATAACTTTAAAGTAAAAGCTTTATTGAAAAATAACTCCAAAGCTAAAATTAGTAAAGGATTTATTTATATTTTATTTTTAATATTATCTAAAGATATAAGAATTAATTTAGAAGAACTAATAACAAATAAAAAAATAATATTTAAACAAAAATAAAGTTAAAGAATTAATTAATTATTGTTCAAATAGTAAAATGATTTTCTTTTTTAATTAATAATCAAAGTTGATCACCATTAATAGATCCTGAAAATTTATAATAGTTATCTATTTTTTTTGATTTGCCACTAAGCTCAACTCTAACTTCTTTAGAAGAGCTTGAGGTTTCTGTGAAATCTCCACTTAATTTACTATAAATTTTGCTGTAAGAGTTAATGGACTAATCATACAAAAAATGTGAGAACCTTTAATATGACAAATCCAATAAAAATAATAAAGAACAAGCTAATAAAATAGTCATAACTATTCTAAGGTTTCCAAAAATTATAGTAAAGCTTTCCCAAAGAGGATTATTCTAAGCATATGTTGCATCTGTCATAATATAGTAGCTTAAAATATAAAAAGAAATACTCAAAAATATCCCAAGCACTGAAATGAACGAAAAAGTGTTAGAGAAAGTAATTATCTTTAAGTTTGCATAAAGGGTTATTATTGTGAAAGACACCATTCCAGTTAAAGAAAGTGATGATTATTATCCATTTTAGTCTAACATTGTATTTTCTAAACAGTAAAATGATAAAATTATTATAATAAAACTTTAAAGAAGGCCATTAATTAATGTCTTTATAAATATTTGTGTATTAAACAATTCAAACTTCATTCCTTTTATAATTAAAAATTTTTTTTAATTTAAAATAAATTGAAAATTTTCTTATTTTCTTTTATTTCAAGCAAAAATGTTTGCCATATTTTATTCATTTTAAAGGATTAGTCTACTCTTTATTTTTTAAAGTAACTTACATTAGGACAAAAAAACAAACAATAAATTTTAATTATCCCATTGTTTAAATTAAATTTAGAAAATCGTTAAATATTTTTGTTGTTTTTTCTATTACAATGCTTAAAAGATATGCTTCAAAATATTAATTAAATTTAAAAATAAAAATAAAAACCTTATTTGTAAAAGTTAGAATTGGAGAGTAATGTCCTCTTTGAATATTCCCTATCAGTCAAAGCATAAATTACAATAGGAAGAGCAGTAAAAATGGTATTAAAAAGTTGATAAATCCATGGATCATACAAATTTGTTCCACTGAATAAACTTAATATAGCTCCAAACCAGAATTGAGGTAAGACTAATAAAAGATTTTTAAAGAAATTAAAGAGGACTAATTCACTATTTTTTCTATAGCATTCTCTACCATAGTCAAAAAGTAACTCTTTAAGTTATTTGAATTCATTTACACTAAAATCACTTGCTCTACTAGCCTGAGACCCTTCAACACCTTTAACACCAACACCTAATTAATAAGTATTTAAATCATTAACAATAAAACTAATAGTAAAATGAGGATATAAAATTAATATAATGATTAAAGCATTATTTACCAACATGTGCTTCTAAGATCATGTTCACATCGTTTGCTCCATCACCAATTGCGAGGGTTGGTTTTCTTTTTGTATGTTTTTTTACTAGCGAAACTGCGTGTTTCTTTTAACTAGGAGTAAATCTGCAGCCTATAACGCTTTATACCATCATGGAAAGTTATACAAATTAATAAGAAACTTCCTGATCTGTTTCTATGGTATGGAATGACTCTCCACTTATTATCAATGAATACTTAACATGCTAATTATCTTAAACGCTCTAAAAATAGTATCTAATTTTTTGTTTTATTAATTATAAATTCTTGTCATCTATATCTATTATTTAAGTATCTGAGTCTATAATTTATGCAGAATGACTGATATTTATTGCTGTTTCCTTTTTGTCTCCAGTTAAAACCCAAAACTTTATTCCTGAATTTAAAATAATTTTAAAATTAGGTATTAAATTTTTTTCTTGACATTTTTAAACCAAATTTATGAATTAAAAAGCTTTTCTATTAATTTCTAAATATTTTGAATGAAAACAAAGAATCAGATAAAATTCATTTTTTTTATTGAACTTAAAATTATTTATTTATTTAAATAATTTTTTTTTAATTTGAAAATTATTTCAAAGATTTTTTCATTAAAACTTAATTTGGAAGTTTGAAATAAATTAAACTGACCTGCATCTCTTATTGATTGTATTGTGTTTCCAACTTCATCTTGCAATTTATCTTCTACAGCTGTTACTCCTAAGAAATTTAAATCTTTTTCCATAGAGTCTTATAGCTTTTCTACTTGTTCATCTCTATTTTAAAGGGATCTCTCTGCTTCACTATATTTTTCACTCCATTGATTATATTCTTGTTCAGATAAATCTTTTTTTGCCAAAAATAAAGTTCTCAAACCTTGATTTGCATATTAATTTGTAACTGATTTAGAAACTGATAGATTTTGTTATTAAAACTCATATTCACTTAATCTTTATTCAATTATTGAGTCAGCTCCTTTGCAATAAAGCTAAATTTATCCTATTTAAATTGAAATGATATAAATTTTTTTTAAAATTAAATTTTAATGAAAGATAAACTTGAATTTTCTTTAAAATTTTAACAATGATTGAAATAATTTTTGAATAAAAATTTACCTTAAGAATTTTTTACTATAATACTAACTCTCTTTCTAAAACTGTTAAATTCAAAGAATTTTAAGACTTCGTATTCAAATATTTAGTTTTGATGCTTAATAATATAATATTCTTTTCCATTTTCCTTCTTGCTACCTTTAAAAATGTATCCAGCAAGCTTAGCAAAAGAAATAAGTGCTAGTTCGTCTGGAGAAGATGCGCTGTAGTGAACATCATCGGAAAGCATAGGATTATTGGAATGGTCCTTTTCAACTACTACATTATGACATAAAAAAATACAGTGTAGTAAATCAATTGTTTTTTAATCCTTTGATTCAACAAGCTTAAAAAATTCATAGTCATCAAAATCTACATAATCAACTTTTTTTTTGTTTTCTTAGTTTGGCACACTACTTCTTTTGTAAAGTTAATTTGGTATTTCTAAATTGCTTCCATAATTGACACCATTAACACAAACATTCTTAAATTCCATCCTATTCAATGTCAAAGTGCCTGTCTTATCAGAAAATATATGATTTATTTGTCCTAATTCTTCATTTAAGCTGCTTGATTGTACTGAAATATTTCCTTATCCTTCTTCTCTCATTAAATTATATCCTTAGTAAAACTTAACAACTTCCAAAGTAACTAACAAAGAAATAGGAATAAAATTAGTAAAAATAAGCATCCATGTTCCCATACTAATCAGCACAGTAAGTATTGTATCTTGCTGAATATGTTCTTAATCTTTTTCTAAGTAATTCAATTATCCACTATCCTATTTTCATTAATTATTTAAAAATAAATTAATCAAGTCTATTCCATTTTAATCAAAAAAATAAACAAATTCATTACAAAAAAAGAGAGTTTTTAATTATTTATTTTAAACAAAAACTCAATAAATTATTTTAATATTTTGAAGAAAATCAATTTTAAAGTCAATAATTAAATCAGAATAATATTTTATTTAAATTGAATTTCTTTTGAACCAAGAAAAACACAAATTTAAATAAAAAAAATAAATTAATTTATTAAAAAGTTGAATAAAATTTAGATTAAAATAATTAATTAATTACATTCATATTTTTGGTTAAAAAGTAATTTATTGAAGCTGAGGTGAAGCATGTCAATATTTGAACAGTAAAAAGGATGACGATTAGTTTGTTCATGGTCTTTTCTAAGCTGCTTAATTTGGGAGCAGGCTCAGAAGAGTTCATCATGATCTTAGTCTCATGGCCAGTGTAAATGACTAAACCATAGACAAACTCAGTATTTTTTAAAGAACTACCCTTAAGAAGCACATTTATACCTTTAATTGAAATATTGAACCTTCCGTCATAAGCCATAGCTCCATTAAAGTTATATAAATACTTATTGGGAGCTTCGTATTGGACCTCGATATTAGAAAAGTTTTCCCATGAAAGCAGCTGGACTTCAATTGGAGCTAGTCTTAACTTTAGATTAGATTCTCCGTCTAAATTCATAGTTTCAATATAGCAAACTCCACTTTCTTCGCTGGACTGTAAAAGGATAACATCAGCAGGTATTTACCTAAATGTATAAATAAATAAATTTATTTATTTAAAAACAATAAGTTCTACTTAAATTTGATTAAAAGAAGAAAATTAATGGATTAATTAATTAATTAATTAAATAGATAGATAGATATTTATTTAATCTTCTTTTGATAAAAATCAAAATTTAAAAAAAATTTCTATCTTAAATTAAAAGTCGAGTTAGTTAGTGAGTAATTGACTGACTGACTATATAGAATAATAATATATTTAGAATATTTAAACTTTATAAATTAAATATTCTAAAATATATTTTAACTAACTAACAATATAACTAGCTAGTTTAATATCTTAAACTTATTCCTTTTTATCAAAACTTTTATGTTTTTTGCTTGCTTTTTTACTTTTCTTTTTTATTTTTTTATCTTCATTTATTGGTCTTTAAAATATTGAAATAATGCTTTAAATATACTATTAATGCTTATCGAAAGAGTTTTTTAATTCTTCACTCAACTTAAATAATAAATTTGTAAATTCAAAGTTTAATGAAAATCATTTTGGTCAAAGATAAAAAGATGATATTATCTTTTAACGCAAATAGCTGGATAGCTGCTATACTTGGTTTTTATACTAGATATTAATTTGGATCATTTTAATAGAAAAATTACTCGTTTTTCATAATTTTGATAACATGACCAGGATGGAGCTGGTGACTGTGAACTTAACTGAGATTTTGACCTTCTCTTTAAATAACAAGATGGGAGTTTTCTAAGTTATCCTAATCTTTACGCTTTTTGTCTTCAAATATCTCTTTAAGAGCCGATATAAATAGTATTACGCTAAATGGCAAGAACATGATTGGCTTGCCATCACTCATTGAAATGGTTGTAATGCATTACATAAGACCTATAATCAAAAAATATACATTGGCTAACTTACTGAACTAATATATTAGCATTTTTGGTAGAAAAGTTATAATCGTGTATTTGCTTGTTGAAACTTTATTTGAAACTAAATCATAATCAGGTATCAAAGGATAGATTGTCCTAGTTTTTCTCAATTTGTAACCTTTTTTGTGCTTTTTAAAAAAACAAAATTTGCTATCATACTCAGCATTGTCATATTTCTACTTCATGTAGTCCATGTTTGATGAACTATTTTTTTTACGTTGCATAAAGCTATTAAGTAAAATAATGGGCCTAAAACAGCTGTAAAACAATTATTACTTGCTTATTTTTGCTTACTTTTAATAATCTAAAAACAATGCAGTATATTTTATATTAATAAATATTAATTTCTTAATCAATATTATTTGTGATTTTTTGTTACCAGTTCAGCTTAAACTGAATCTTTTTATCTTTTTCTTACTTTCTTTTAGAAAATTTAAATTACTATTTGGGTTCTCTCCATTTTGTTACAAGTATTAATTATATTTAATTTAAATGATAAATTTTTATATTCCCTATTAATTTCAATTATTATTTATATTTATTTATACATACACACACACATTGAACTCTCACATTTTTAGTTTATATTTTTATGTTTTGTTTACATTTTCACTAATAGTAGAAGTTCTAAGTATAAGAAACGAGTTAATCGATCCAAAACATCTCTTTTACAAAGTTTTGCTTTATTTAATATTATATTTTATTTATTTTTTATTTTTTTAAAGTATTTTGAATCATTCTTAATACTTATAAATAGGTTTTAATCAAAAATTATTAAAAACTAAATTCTATCATAAAATTTAAATTATTTTATCATTTATTATGATAAATTGGTAAAAATTTTGTTATTTTTTAATCTTTTACATAAATTAACATAATTAATTTTAAAGATTGAGTTTAAGATATTAGTCAATTAATAATAATAATTGTTATGCTTATAATATTATTTTTTAAGTTTAAAATTTATACATTTATTTGAAATATCATAAAATTGCCTTTACATTTGATATGTCATGTTAATTATCAATTTTAATATTCTTTATATATTTGAAATTTGAAAGAAAGTAAATACCCTATTTTTTTATTTTTAATTACTTAATTTATTGATTAAAAATAATCATTAAGTATTTTGCATTTTTTAATAAATATGCAAAACCTCACTGATTCATTTACTCAGCTACTATAAGGTATTAAGGTAAATATGGTAAAACAAGTAGATATTTATTTAAGTATTTTTCAAGCCAATTTTTTTTTCTGAGTTTAAGAATTATTAGAAAAGTTTGACATTTATTTATTTTTTTTAAGGTTAAAAATAATTGTTAAGTTTTTTATAAAATAAAAATATGCAACAAATAGAAAATCAAATACAAATACCAAAAGATAAATATCCAGTATGACCTTTGATTTCTTTGGGTCCACTTGAATATACTACTTTAGTTATTTATGGTCTAATAAATTATGGGATAGGTTTGGAGCCATTTTAATTGTTTTATTATTTGTTTCTTTTATCTTTCTTATTGTTTTTATTTTGCTTTCCTTTTTTATTTGCTTGATCAGCCTCTTCTTGGCTTTCTTCTTCATCTTCTCCTTGTTCATCATCTTGATTGTTTTCTTCATCATTATTTTCATTTTCATCTTCTGCTGCTATTTATTATTGCTAATCTTCCTAAATATTTTCTTACTCTTGAGCATTGTCTCCAACTTCGTCTCTCTTTCTTTTGTTATTGATAAAATTAGGGTTCAAAACTTAGAAGGCACTCTAAAATGTTCTCTCTCTTCTTTCAAAAGGTCTTTAAATGACTTCGATAGTGACAATTTAAACGAATTTCTAGATTCTCATTTCTTCACAATTCTTCATTACCTATTCAATGCAAGGAGAAAAGCAGCAAAGTCTGCCACCTTTTTTAAGCACTTGCTTAGCATGAGTAATAGCCTCATAAGGTCTAGGCAAATCCAAAAATACAGCATCAGCACTGTGTTCTTTAAGATTGTAAACTCTTTCGCCGGGAATAGGCATGAAGCCATTTGATAGAACATCTCTCCAGATAACATCAAAATTTTTCAATCCTTGTGCAGCTAAAACTTCAGCACCATTTTTAGCTCTAGCTTCGTTGAATTCAAAAGTGTATAAATGACCTTCGTCTTAGATAGTTCTTGCAATAGATGAACTGAGACTAGCACTACCAGTACCTATTTAATTAGTAATAAATAAATAAATAAATGAATTTAAACATAAATTGGCATATTTGAATTAATATTTATTTAGAATTGTTTTGGCTAATTGTTAGTAAGAACTTCTACCTGATTCGACGACTATTGAACCTGGTTAAATATTCATCTTAGAAATGACATAAGAAATATCAGCCTAATATAAAATTTAAGTCAAATGAGATAGAGTATCAGTGATTAAAACAGGATCAGGTCTAAGTAAATAAATAAAAGCATTCTTCTTCAAGTTAAAAATCTATGATTAAAAATAAAGCAATTAATTTATAAATAAATTATAAATTAGACATTCTTGTTAAATAAAAACAGGCATATTTAAAATATGTTTTAATGTATGAAGTAATTTGATTCTTTACCTTTTGACCAAATTGCTTTCCTACTACTTCAGAATGTCCAAAGTAGCCAAATCTGTTTTAAAAGAATCCATTTTCAACGATTGTTTACATTTTCATGCTATTTACACTTTCATAAAAAACAACTTAATCTCCATATTTAATTGTGTTTGAAAGCAGTTGCTATTGGTTATCGCTCTATTTAACTTCTTCATTTGCAACTTAATTTGCTGACTATTAACTTTGCTCATTTTAATTTTTAACTTATTGCTCGGTTTCAGCATTCTAAGCTTAAATCTCTCCTTCCATCTTTATTAATATGTCTTTTTCTGTATTTAATTAATTAGACTTTTAGCACAAAAAAGATATTGAAATAATATTAATAAATTTTTTATTTTTAATCTTCGTTCCTCAAAGATTATTTATATATAAAACAAGCAAGCAAGCAAGAAAGCAAAAATCAAAATTTTAATAAATTGTGAATATAATAATTTACATTCAATTTATTAATGAATCAAAAATAATAAATAAACTTCTAGATGCTCTTAACTCTCTCTTTCTCTCACTAAATCTTATTTTTTTGTTTGTTTATTTATTTATTTAAAAAGAAATCAATTATTGTCATGCTCATTTATAATAAAAATATCGTTAATTAATTAGAATATTTATAATATTTTATTTTATCTTAATAAAAATGAAATAAAGTAAATAATATAAACATTTAATAAGAATTCCTAATTAATTAAAAAAATAACCTTTAATTAGATTTTTTTAAACTCGTTTAAATTGAAACACCAAAATCAATCCATCAACCAATAAATAAATAAATCAAAACACACTGAAAAATTTCTTTACTAAATTTATTTATTTGATAATCTATTTACTGTGGATTTCAAAATAATTTAAAAATGGAAATTTTATTGAAGAATAAATTAGACAGACAAGATATATAATTTATTTATAAATCAATTGATATTACAGATTGATAATATTTATTTTTTTTTAATTGATTTTAAATATCAGAACTATTTAAAAGGAGGTTTATTAACAATAAAGTAAGATAATAGATAGATAGGAGATATAATTCAACTAACAATATTCGCATATACAAACAAGCAAGCAAGCAAAAAATCAAATAACAAATAAATAAATAAATTAATAAATCAATCATTCTTACATAAATACAATCTATAATATATTTTTTATTCATAGATATATAATAAATAATACAACAATAACAAACAAATAATAAATTATTCTATATTTTAGATATGAGTTAGCTTTAGATTAAGAAGAATACAAAGACACTTTCTTTAAGTTAGGCGAGAACTGAACACAAATCTTAAGGGTAGCATCAATTTAATAAACAAAATTTGAAGGAAAATTTGGAGCAGCCTTCATAATCATAATAGCCTCAAACTCTGCATCAACATCATATTTAAAATTAAAATCAAGTTTAAAGTTAGCAAATTCATTAGAATTAGCATCAAATACTTGGTGCATCTAATAGAAAATTAGTACCTAAAGTGCCCCAAGAAACAGTTCAAAATTTAAAAGCTAATGTAGGCAGATTGACCATTTTTAAGAAAAAGATATACAAAAGTGAAACTTAGAATAGTGCAAATAATTTAATTTCACATCTCAAGATAGTGAAAAAGCAAAAGCAATTAAGTCGCAGTATCTTCGATAGCACAAATAAACACACACTTTCTATTTAAGATAAAATTAAAGAGCACATTAGGCCTCTCAACCCTAACTAATTTGTGAAATCAGAACAAGGAAAGTGGGTTAAAGTAGCTCAATAACCAAAGAAAAAAATATTTTTATCTAGCGTTAATTAAGGTAATGAAGTCTCTTAAAATAGTTCATAGTTGACTATAAAAGACAGGTAAGCTGATAGCAGCTCTGTTTAAGCTATGGGAAAAAGTACTTAGCTAAAAAGCGAAAATTATATTCATAATAGCATTATGGCTGATGAAGCAGAAGAATTTAGCAGCAAGCATCAGTAAAATTATTAAGGCGACGCCTAAATCCTTGATGAGGAAGAAGAATATTTAGAATAATACAACAACAATGAAATGCACTCATATAGCCATAATGATTTAGCTCACCATCGAGAGGAGCACTTGTCTGTCGAAAGAAATAAACATTAAGATTCTTTTTAAGAATCACACTGTGCATATTTACAAAATGTGCCATTAAAATTTAAAGCAGACGATATTTTAAATTTAGTTAAACAGGAGAAACAAAATATTCTTTATATTGAATAGCATGTAAGCTTTTTATTATATTTTTTAAAAAATGATCACAAATTAGTCATTTGCTTTTAAATAAATATTTTTGATAGATAAAAAATATAAAAAATACTAATTTAATTATTTAAAAAAACATCAAAAAATCAACAATTAAAAAAGCTAAATTGATCAATTTATTTTACAAAAAAATTTATATCATTTGAGTTGTTTTTTTAGATGAAATTGTTTAAAAAATTATTTATTTTTAAAGAAAAAAAATTATTTATTAAATAGGATTAATAAGGCGACTGGCTCATTGGTGTGACTAACGAAGAATCTTCTTACAGAATTATTTCAAGTAAAATAGATAACATTCATCTATCATTTTAATTCAAAATTTAAAAGTGTGTAGAAGTGAAATTTTATATTGAAAATTTAAAGTAATTTAGAAAAAACTGGAAGGATATCAGATACAAGCACATCCTGCTACATTAGAAAACAAAAACGAAATTGAAAATTATGATGGAGAAATCCATCACCACTAATAACTGAAATAAAACGAGTAAAAAGGCACTGAAGTTTAGAATTAGCCAGCAAAAAAATAACAACAAGCTAGATAGCAGCATCATGAAGATTAAAATCACATTAGATCATAAAAAGCATTGATTTCATAGCATCTAAAAGCGAATGATAACAAATAAGCATAAAATAATAACAGCAGCAACATCAGATAGAACTAGCAAAAATTAACACCTTAATCAAAAATCCAAAGCTTTTAAGAATAAAGCCACTACAGCAATAATCAAAGTAGTATCTCTTCAAATAGAAATTAAGAATTCTAATCACAATAAAGTCGCAGAGATTCTGGATTGTATTCAGATAAAATGAAATTAGAAGAAAACAACGAAGAATTCGACGAATATAAAGACGATAATAATAGAAATAGCCCTGCTAGGTCTTACTCTTTTTAAAAACAGAATCATCAAATATCAAATTAAGTTCAACAAAGTTAAATGCAGAATTAGCAGAAAGAAAACATAAATAGATATAGTAATATAAAAAGAAACAGCAGGAATATCCAAGAAAATGAACATCAATATTAAGTAGAAGAAGAATAAGAAGAAGAAGAAGTCAACGATGATCAAGATGATATTCATAATTAAACTCATAATGATGATAATTACTACAAAAATACACCCAGCAAAAAATCAGCTGCTGCAATCGATGATGAAAAGCATCCCTCAAAGTATCGTAGAGATAACTCACACTCATCCCAAAGGTCTAGAAGCTCTAATAGAAGAGATAACCTATCAAGTGAAGAGAGGGATCACAATAAATATAGAAATAGCCACAATAATAGAAACTAATCACCTAGGAAGTTAGGAAAAACTATTGAAAAACATAACAAAAATTCTACAAGGAGAAGTAAAGAATATGAATACAACAGTAAATAAAGAAACAGAGATTCTTCATCTGACAATGAAAGAAACAGTAAATAAAGAAATAGAAATAATAGTGATTAGTATAAAAATCAGAGAAACGATGATAATAGTCATAGATACAATAGATATTCTAATGAAAGATAAAATAACAGTAATAATAGCAATAACAACAATAGCAGTAATAGACACTCTCCTGAAAGGAGACCTTAGAAGTATGGTAGAAATTAAAGTGATTATAATGAAGATCGTGGTGACAGGTACAGAAAGGAAAATAAATACAGAGAATCAGATAGTTAGCGCCACTAGCATTAGTATTAAAATTAGCACAATAATCATAACTCCCATCAATACTACCATAATCATCACCACAGAGATTCTCAGCATTAATCTCACTACAAATCGAATTAGTACTAAAATAACAGCAAGTAAAGGTCAGACAATTACTCAAGTAGAAGATGAAAAAAAAATAAAACTAAGAAATGAATAAATGATTGAATCAATCTAAACAATTTAATAAACGAATAAATTGACCAATTAATAAATAAATAAATGATAAAAATTTAAAATATGTAAAAAATAAATAACTTTCTTTATTCAATTATTATTAAGTTTACAACTTATTTAATTTCAAATTAATTTATATATATATATATGATTTCTTAGTTTGTTTTTATTTCTATCAAATATTTCTTTAATTAATAAGATATTTTTCATACTCATTAAAAAAACATTCAATAAAAATTAGTAAGAAATTTACTAATTAATTAACTTAATTAATTGCATTATAAGATATTGGTAATTAATTAATTATGAAGGCTTATTTTTCAACTATATCACCATAGAAATTTTAGACATGAATCTCATTATAAATTGAAGTAATATTTAAAAAAAATAAGTTAATATCAAATGATTACTCAAGCAAAAGATGAAAATGAATGAATTATATAACAAATGAGTAAGTTGAAAATATTTTTTTTTGTATGAATTTATTAATATTAATAATTTAAATTTCAAATGTCTAAAAATAATTTTATTCCATTCTTATAATGTTTACAACTTATTTATTTGACTTAAAACTAATATTTATTTGATTTCTTATTTTGTTTTTTTTTCTTTCTATTTAGTCTTATTTTAGTTATTAAGATATTTATCATATTCTTTATTTAGTCATTAATTCACTCTAATATCAATTTTACTTATTCAGATAATTGCTTTTATTAAAAAAAATAAATATTTAATTAACTATAATTTATATTATTTTGCTAATAGATATATAAACAGCAATTAAAGATAGTGTTTCTCATAATAATTAATGCAATTACTAACAAATATTTAATTTGTAGCTAATTTTTTCTATACTTCTTCTCTTATTTTAATTTAACAAAAAAAATGATAGAAATAAATAAGTTCCGATTTTAATTGGCTGACTAATTCATTAATGAAAAGTATATTTATTTATTTTTAAAATAAAATTTTTAATTTAACACAATTTATAATGAAAATATGAACTTTTAAAAAACAATAATGTAGCAGATATGCAATTACATATCTCCTCTATTTATTTTCAAAGTTTTTTAATTGATATTTAATTTCATTTTACTCAAATTGATTCTAAGCTTATTACTTACTTAACTTTTTAAATCAAATTAACAAAATAAAATACAATATACTTTTAAAATCTTTCTCTTATTAACAAGTTAGATTTACTTGTTCATTAAGAAATGAATGAATAAATAATTTATTTAAATTTAATAAGCAAATGATTCTATTTAAGTGATTCTTTGTCATTTATTAGAACCAAAATTATTGACATTAACGAATTAATTTTGAATGAATGTCTTAAAAACTAGATAGAATTTTTTTGAATCTTAAAAAAAATAAACTAAAATTCTTGAAAGAGTAAATAATATTTTAGTAAATTAATACCAATAACAGATAACTTTATTCATAAATGAATTAATTAATTCAGGAAAAGGATAAAGCTTTGAAATGCACTAAACATAAAAAGAAATAAATTGAACTGATTCAAGTGATCAACACTGAACGTGAGAATCCAAATAAATCTTTTTTCTACTGCACGAGCTGCATTTTAGAAGATAAATCTTTTGATAATTCTAAATATCTGCAATTAGACGATATTGTAGATGAAGGTGACAAAAGTGTTATCAACAGATGGCCACCTATAAATGACTACTAAATAATTGAATAGCTTATAGATTTATGCATAAGGGAAGATGATACTGTGAACATACAAAGAAAAATAGTAGATTTTTTTGATAAAATGAGACATGATATTCTTTGCAAACTAGAAATCATTCAGAAGAAAATGATTAATTAATCGCTTGAAAATCCATTGTCAAAATAGAAGATAGTTAAATAATATTAAGATATTTCAAATATCATTAATTTAAGATAACTGATTTTAAATCAGGAAGGTTAGAGTACAGAAGAGCTCTAAGAACGCTACAAGTAGCTTGTAAAAGAAATGGAGTTGAAAAAAGATCAAAGTACTAATAATCTTGAGAGTCTTCTTAAACTTAGCTAAGATTTAAATATTAATTTTCAGCAAGCAGCTTAAATGAGGGATGAAATATTGTCTTAAATAGATCAAATTACCTTCTTTGATCAAAATTTTTATTCATCTTAATATTTATAAGCTAAAAAAAGCTCATGTGAGCAAATAGTAGATTAAATCTTAACTTTAGTTTCCAACAAAACAAATTTTTGCTCTGATACTTTTTTATCTTCTTTGAGAAAGCAGCTTCAATAAGCTAATCCTGATTTATTAACATCTATTTCTCACTAAATATTCTAAGGCAATAAATCACCGATAGATTTTGATAGGCTAAACGAAGAGCAGCTAGAATAAATAAGAAAGTATGTTCACCACTCAGTGAAATTAACTAAAGACAAAAATTATGAAAATCTAATTAAAGATTCAGCTTAAATTAAAAATTTTATATCCTTAATTACCTCAGGGTTATATTAATTTGATAATGACTAAAGACTACAGCTCAATTAATTCTTTATTGAAGTTTTTCCTTTTTTAAAGAAACTAAATTTAAACTCAAGAAATAGCAGCAACAGTTTTATAAACAATCAGCAGTTAAAACCTTAATAAAAAGATGCACGGGCTTCATTTAAATTTTGGTGAAATAAAATATTAAGATCATACTATATATATTTAATTTAAAATAATAAATACGATTAATTAAAAAACAATTAGCTTTTAAATAACAAGGAATCATAAAGCAAAAAATTAAAATTTGTATGGAAAAAATGACTTGTTTATGATATATTTCTTATGTATCTTAATTTAAATAATTTTTTACTATTTCTTATTGATAGAGTTTGTATTATTTATCCATTTTAATAGACACTTATCATGAATACGTTTTTTATTACTTATTGATAGCTATTTAATTTTAAAAATTTAATAAATATTTTAATAATTTTTATATCAAATTTCAAAATAAATTATTCAGATCAAATCCCGTATTTAATTATACTGTGAGAATCCTAACCCCTCAAATAACTTAAAAACTTCATCATCATGATATTGTACTATAAGTATTTATATTTAAATCTTTTTCTGAGAAATTATTTTAACCTTAACAAATCAATGACTTATTTAATGATCACTTATTAATAAAATCGGTAATGGACAAATTGTTGGCACAATATATTAATATATCAAAATATTTATGTTTTTTTATTGCTAATCCTGTAATATTTCATTTAATTTTTATGATTTTAAGCTAATTTTACATTTTCTATTTTTTAATTTTTTTATCAACCTATTTTTATTAAATTTTGAAAATAAAAATTTGTTAAAAATGTTTTTTTATATAAAGTTTTAAAAATTGCCCTCCAGGCGAAATGCTTGGAGGGCGGAAAATTAGACTTAATAGGTAGAATTTTTTCTTTCTACCCATTGGCCCATAAAGGCTCTGATTGTAAATTCTCTATTAATTCATTCACTACAATTTGAGTTGTACTTATTAAGGAAATTGCTATTATTAAAATAAATTAATTCGTATTTAATTAATTAAAATTTATGTTATTTTACAAAATAGATAAATAAATAAATAAATAAATAAATATATAAATAAATTGCAATAAAAGATAATATTCCTTGTAATAATGATTGAAATTACTAACTAATATTTTAATTTGTAGTGCATCTTTTCTTCTTCGTCTTTTTTTATTTTATTTTGAATTATTAAAATGATAGAATGAAGAGTGATTAATTAATAAATGAAAAGAATATTTATTTTTAAAATAAATATTTTAATTTAGAACAATTTTGAATGAAAATATTAATTGTTAAATAAAAATAATGTAGATATGCCTAATTAATTAATTATATATATATATACATACATATTCTATTTAATTTTTCTTGATTTCAAAATTTTAAATAATATTTAATTTCATCTTCCTTAAACTGATTCTAAGCTTATTACTTTTTTAACTTTTTTAAATTTGTTTAACAAAATAAATTTCAAAAGACTTTTAAATTCTGGATATTCTTTCTCTTATAAACAAGCTAGATTGCTTGTTCATTAGGAAATGAATAAATAATTTATTTAAATCTAATAAGCAAATGATTCTATTTAAGTGATTGCTTTACATTTATATTAATAATAATTATTAAAATACAGGAATTTATTTTGAGTGAATATCTGAAAAACTAGAATGTTTTGAATCTTTAAAAAAAATTAACTAAATTACTTGAAGGAGTAATTAATAATTTAGTAAGCTAATACCAATTGCAGATAACTTTCTTCATAAATGGATTAACTCATTCAGGATAAAGATAAAATTTTGAAATGCACAAAACATAAAAAGAAGTAAATTGAACTGATTCAAGTAATTGACACTTAAAACCAGAATCAAAACCAATCTTTTTTTTACTGCACGGGCTGCATTTTCGAAGATAAGTCTTTTGATAATTCTAATTATCTGCAATTAGACGATATTGTAGATGAAGGTCACAAAAGTGTAATTAAAAGATGGCCACCTATAAATGACTACAAAATAATTGAAAAGCTCTCTGATTTATGTCTATGGGGAGATGCTAATGTGGGCATACAAGAAAAAATAGTAGACTTCTTTGACAAACTGAGAAGGGAAATTCATTGCAAGCTAGAAATTATGCAAAAGAAAATGGTTGATTAGTCACTTGAAAATACATTCTCAAAGTAGAAGTTAGTGGAGTAATATTAAGATATTTCAAACATCATTGATTTAAGGAATCTGCTTTTAAATCAGGAAGGTTAGAGTACAGAAAAGGTCTAAGAACGCTATAAGGCGCTCGTAAGAGAAATGGAGTAGAAAAAAGATCAAAGTACTAGTCATCTTCAGAGTCTTCTTAATCTTAGCGAAATATTAGTGGCAAATATTAATTTTGAGCATGCTGCTTAAATGAGGCAAAAAATAATGTCTTAAATAGATGAAATTACTTTCTTCAATCAACACCTTGCTTAAAATAATTCTTTAGAAGCTAATAATAGCTCTTGTCAGTAAATAGTAGATTAAATCCTAACTTTAGTTTCCAACAAAACAAATTTTTGCTCTGATACTTTTTTATTATCTTTGAAAGAACAGCTTCAATAAGCGAATCCTTTGTTATTAACATCTATTTCTCGCTAAATATTCTAAGACAATAAATCACCGATAGATTTTTATAGGCTAAACGAAGAGCAGCTAGAATAAATAAGAGAGTATGTTCACCACTCAGTGAAATTAATTGAAGACAAAAATTATGAAAATCAAATTAAAGATTCAACTTAAATGAAAAATTTCACATCCTTAATTGCCTCAGAGTTAGATTTATTTGACGATGACTCAAGATTACAGCTCAATAAATTCTTTATTGAAGTTTTTCCTTTTTTAAAGAAAGTAAATTTAAACTCAAAATATAGCAGCAACAACATTCAGAACTTCCTGCCTTTAATTAATTTCAAGCAATTATATCCTTCCAATTTAGTTATCTAGAAGAATAGGGATAACTCTTCTACAATTACGAGTTAAACGAATGAATCCGCTTACTACTGCTTTTCAGACCTCATTTTAGATGCGAATAAGAAGTATGTTTTTAGGTTTTAAGTTAAAATGAAGAGTCCTATTAGCTTTGCTTTCATCGGGTTAACTAGATTGCATCCACAAGAATTAGCGCATAATCATCCTGTTTTAGATAATCTCAGTCTCATTTTAACTTATGAAAACTCTTTTATTAAAAAGCATGCAAATAGTGGTATTGACAACCAGTTAAAGGGTTCCAATTTTCAGTTTAAGTCTAACGAATTGTTGTTAGAATTAAGAGTAGACTTATCAAATAAAATTTTACAAATTTTAGATTTGCCTAATAAAGAAACTATGCTTGCTTTATCTCAGAATCTAGAATCTCTCCTTCTTTTGGAAAAAAATTTGGTTATATATGTCAGCCTTAGGGGAGAGTAATCCGAATGCAATCTATTAGAAGCAAAGCAAGTTCATTAATTTCTATGATTATTTTAATTAGTATTTTGCTGGAGATAGACTTATTAAAAAAGTAATCATCACTCCAAAAGCGATTTTTTTAAGTGAATATTCTTAATTAATAAAATTAAATATATTTTCAATGATTTATGAGAGGGGTTAAATAGAAGTGATCAAATAAATCTCCTAAGCCTGCAGCATATATAAAAAATACCGTCACATGATGATTTTTATTTTTTATTTTTTTAGACCCTGTTAATAATCTATTTTATTTGTAAAAGTTAAATTTTATATTACAAAATTAGTTTAAAAAAATAAGTAAAATAAATAATGAAAAGAAATTAATCATAATTATTTATTTTGTATTTTAAAGCAGCATTCATAATGCGGGCTTCTAAAAAAATATTAGAAATAAATATTAATTATATCTTTATATAAGCAAACAAAGCCAAATTATTTGTGTTAAATAATATATTGATCGATAGATATAATAATTGATATCAGCTCTTATTTTTTTTGATTTTCTATTTATATTTATTAATTTACTTGTTGCTAGAAAGCTTCAAAAACTATAATATCAAATCATTAAAAATATAATTTATGTACACATTGAATAAATATGTTATAATAAATTTATTACTTTTTATATTGACTTGTATACATACTTACTTATATTCCTTCTGTGATTTATTTAAAATGAATTTTATTTTCATGCAAAAAAAATATTTTCATCTAATTTTAGCATAAGAAAAGTTAAAAATACTCTATAAAAAAATAGCCTATTGAATTCAAAATTAAAAAAAGAATACAATTTTTCAGACCATTTTTTGATGCTGTTCAGATTTGATTGAAACATGAATGAGTACATAAATTTAATAATTATTAATTATAAGAAAATATAAAAAATTTTTATTTAGAATGACATGAATAATTTAAACACCAATTCTATCTAAATAGTTATTATGTAATTTTCTCAAATAATAATAATAATATAAAAGAGAGCCAATTAATTAATTATTTTGTATAAGCGTTGAACCTGATTATTTTTTTAAAAAGATTAAGTAATACTTTTCTAAATGAAGATTTACTTATCCTAAATAACTAGATTCTTTCTTGCTTTCCAATTTCAAAGAAAATATAAAAAATTATAAAATTGATGAAGCAAACACTATTTTTTATTTAATTCACAATTTTAAAAAAGAATACAGTTTTTCAAACTATTTTTCAAGCAGTTTAGATTCGATTGAACCATAAATACATAAACTAAATAATTATAAATTATAAGAAAAAAATATTTATTTGCAGAATGACATGAATAACTTAAACATAAACTCCAAATAGTTACTATTATTTAATTTATTCAAATAAAAGTATAAAAAGAGAGTCAATTAATTAATTAATTATTTTGTATGAGATGCAAACCTGAACTGATTTTTTTAATCTATTTATTTAGATTTGCTTCTTATTCTTAGATTAGTAATTGCAAGATTATCAAAAAATATAATCGACATAAAGCATTTAATATAGATCTAAGATAGGAAGATCATACATTATATTATAGACAAATATTGTAGAAAAAATATAAAGAATATTGATTGATTGATACTATTAAGATTTTTCATTCAAAAACTATTTGCAAACACCTTTAAGATTATCAAAATATTAATGGCTCTAGAAATACTATTAGTAAATTACTAAAAGGAATTGTATGTATAAAAACAAATAAATATGGAAGAGCATCACTAACCCATTAACTGAAAAATATAAATTTAATACAAATATTAAAATTTTGTATAAGATCAGGATTATTAATTACTTTTATTTTGCAAAATATTACAAAATGCAAAACTTGCAAAATGCAAAATTTGCAAAACATTATAAATTCATTTTTAAATATATTTTTATTCACAAGAGAGTATAAATAAACCCTGCTTAGTTTATACCTAAACTTTTGAGAAAGCGCATTAGTCATTTTGATTGTTTTGTTGTGATTTATAAATATAGATATTTGATAAAAGGAAACCATGAAAAATATGTAAATATAAATAAATTTTTGCATTCAAATGATCTATTTATTATTTAATTATTATAAAAATAAATAAGTTCCCATATAATATATGAAATTAACTGAGAAACAAACAAACAAACAAACAAACATAATTTAATAAATGATAATTTTCTTAATATAATTGCAAAATCAACAATCTCGTTTTGAAAATATTTTAGCATTATTATCGAATTAATTTTTATTTTCTTTTTATGAAAAGAAAATGCAAAACATAAAGAAACAAATAGAGTTATCTATTGAAAATATGCATGAAAAAATTTTTCGTAAATATTCAATAATGATCAATAAATCAAAATTTTTTTATTATAAAACTGAATTTTTAATAAAGCCATGTTAAGATATTCCTAAATTATAGGATATATTAAACTTCTTTTTACTGTTTTAGGTATACGTTAATTCATTTCAGTAGCTGCAAGTTAACTAAAAACTTGGCTAGACATAATAAAAAATCACTTTCTTTAAATCATTTTCTAACTTTCTTTATATGATTTTCTAACTTTCTTTCACAAATGAATACATGACATAAGACAAAGGACATGAGATAAAAATTTTTGCAAAAAATAATGTTGGTGTTGATAAGTAATATTTAAACAAATAATCAATATATTGAAAAAGTATGATCAATAAAATATTTTTCATTCAAACAACAAAAAATAAATAGAGAATTTATAAATAAAAACTAATATCTTTTAAAATAGATTATCATATTATGTATTGATAATATTTATTTTTTATTTTAAAAAATGGAAGAATTCAAGCAAAATATTATTTGCTTTAGCTTATTCAAAAACTCAAAAAAAAAAATGTTTTATACAAACTATCATGCTATAGATGAATTTCAATAAGAATGTATCTATCTACCTTTCTTTCTTTAATACATGCATGTTCGATTATATAAGAGCAAAGTTAAGCTAGATATATATTGCTCTTTAAAAGAAAAAAATTAAATAATAATGAATGAATAGACTAATAATTAATTAATTTTTGTTTATTTGCATTGAAGACAAATTTTCATAAGAATTAATCAATATCCTTGTTATCAGATATTGAAGACAAAATTAGATAAGAATTAATTAGCTTTATGATTAAGTGAAGCAATTAGTAAATGGATAGCAGCAAGTCGTAGTGATTTTTCAATGATGGAGATTGTTATTTTTAGCTCTGTGAAAAAAATAATTTTAAAAGGAGTTGTAATGAATGAAACTTTAACAATATAATATCTATTTAAGTTAATATTTTATTTGATAATTACATAAATAAACAAATAAATAATATTAAACATATTACATTAATACAAAAAATGAGGTTTGTTGATCGATCTAAACAAGCTTTAAAAAAAACAAAATTTTCATACTATTTAAACCAATCAACGAATATATTATAATAAAATAAATATAAGTACTCAGTAAATTATAATATTATTTTAAGCAAATTTTAGGAATTAAAAATATATATGAAATAGCTAACATATTTAAATTTTACAGAACATAATGCCATTTATTTTTTTATTTTTTGAAAAAAAATCTGTTAATAAATGGCAATATAAAAATAATCAATAATTGATACAAGTATAATTATTTTAACTCAATGAAAGAAGTAAAAAATGTTAAATTTTATTATCGAATACATACATATACAACTAACTAACTGACTTTTTCTAAATAATTGTTTTAATATTTATTAATTATTATTGCATAATTAATATTTCTGAAAAACATAAAATTATTTAAGCAAGATTGTAATAAAATAGAGAAATAAAATATTTTTATGTTCTTAAATATCATCTAATAAATATAGTACCCTCAAAAAAAGTGAGGATAATAGGACTTACATGAAATAAGATGCAGTTAACATACAAAACATAATATAAATTATATTCATCATTTTTTTTTATTTATCTTCTATATTACTATCTTTATGAAGCAAAAACAAAAAACAGATAATAAAATGCTCAAAAATTGATTAGTGATTTTAAATGATACATTTATTATCCGAAAATAACTAAAATATTTTAAATTTATTTTGTAAAAATATAAGCATCATTTTAAATAAATTTGTTTCACATTTTATTATTTTTTATTTTCTATTGTATATTTATAGATGAATGTATGTATGTATGTATGTATGTATGTATGTATGTATGTATGTATGTATGTATGTATGTATGCATGCATCAACTTTGTTTATTTGATAAAATAAAAAGAGGAAATGTTATCATTCTAAACAATATTAGAAATATGACTAAATTTGTGTGCTGAGCTTGCAAAAAAAATAAATGTTCAATACATCTAATTCAAATATCTTCTATAAAATATAAATTTTTGTTTATATTATTGTTTGAATATATATTTTTTTATTTAAATTAATATTTTAAAAATATTTTATTGATTTCCAAAATTTTTAAATAAATTCTAAGTTTTTCTCTCCTTCAAGAAAACTTATTTTTTTGTTTAAGAATTTATTTGTTCTTGAAATTATACAGGGAAAAGCATTTTTTTACATATTATATTTAAGATTCAATAAATAAATAAATATGTATGTTTGATTTAGTTAAATATTGCTTAAAAAAACTTTTTATTATTAACTTTATTATTTTTGCTTGCATTAGATTAAGATATTTGCAATAATAAATTAATAAAAAACCAGAGTTAAATTTAATGAAAATAATTTTATAATGATTATTTTTGAAAATATAGATTTTATGAAAACTATTTTCATGTATAGACTTTTATTTTTCTATTGAGATTAAATTTATCTTCTTTGAATATAACATTCTTTTACATACAATTGATATAAATAATTAAAAATTTAGTTTTAAATTTCTTTTATGAAACTTACGTATTACTATCTATTGTTTAAAATATTTTTTTTTTATAGGCAAAGAAAAATTATTCTTAACATATTCAACATTTTCATTTAAAATTACATAAATGAATATATTTAAAAAAGTGAAATGATACAAAATAAAATATTAAAAATTTTATTTAATATTTAACATAGAAATAAATTGCATAGAAAGAATTTATAAATTAATTAATTAATTTTTAAGTAAACCCTAAATCTTATCAATTTTAAAATTATTTTTTTATATTCATAGTAAAACAAACTTCTAAAATGAAAATAAAAGATGTATGTAATAGCTTGAGAAAGAGTTATTGATAATTACTATTATGAAATAATTTGTCTACAATATATTTAATAAGATTTGTTAATTAATATAAATTTAATTTATATTTTTTGTGAAATATAAAAAAAGAAGGTTGGTTAATAATTAATTATCAAATAAATTAGAAATTCTGTCTCCGAAAGACATTAATTATCATTTTTTTTTATTGCCTCACATTTCTTATTTTATGGCAATCTTTCTGAGACTGACTCTACTTTTTTCTTCATATAAAAAGTAAAAACGACAATTAATTATGCAAATTAACTTTGAGATATACAGGTAGTAGTGGCATTATGGAAAGTATTTTTATATTCAACAACCTAAAATAAGTATTAGAAGATAAAAAATCAAAAACATTTCATTTTAAAATAAATGTAATATTTTTTGCAATAAAGCTTTGTAAAAGTAAAAATTTTTAAATTAAACTTGTCTCCTCTATATTTAATCAGATTTCTTATAAAATTTTTGAAATTAGATTTAATAAGAAAAATAAATAAATAAATAAATAAATAAATAATTAATTAATTAATTAAATTCAAAAAATTGTCTCCAAAAAACATCATCAATCAAACGAAATTTTTAATTGAATCCTCTGCTTTATTTTTAAAATAAAAAATGAATGAAAAGAAAGAGGGTTTTTATATAATTTTTTAAGATTTCAAGAAATAAACCTATTTATTTATTTTTTTCCTAATTAAATCAGTCTCCTTAATATTTAATCAAATTAAATCGAAAATGCTTTGTCTGTTTGTTTATTTATTTATTTGTTTGTTTGTTTTTTTGTTTGTTTGCTTGTTTGTCTATTTGCTTTTTTGTTTTTTATCTGTCATTTCTGAAGAAATTATTTTTTAAAAACAAGGAAAATTAAAATTTTAAAATAATTTAATAAAATCAATATGAATTTTAGTTAGTCTATCTAACTTGAATAATTTAAGAAAATTACAAGCTCTTAAAAAATATTTATTAAAAACACAATTATTAATTAGGTAAAATTAACTAACTTATTTAAAACTTGACTCTGATGACTCAGCAATATTTAATCAAATAAATTTTAATACTAATTAATTACTTTTTTATTAATTTCAAACAAGAGATAATCAATCCATAATTAATTATTGAAATTAATTAATTAAAATCTTGTCTCCAAAATAAATAAATAAATATCGAATATTTGTCTCCAAAAGATTTAATCAGATAAATAAGAAAAATTTATGCTTAATTAAAAATTTTACCAAACAGTACCGTACGTACGTATATTAGTATATGAAAAGTTTCTTTTATTTAAATAAATGAGCAAAATGTTTAGCTATTCAAGCATGCATTTGTTAATGAAAATAATGGAAAATATTTTGTGTAAATTTGGTTGCTATATTAATATTTTATTTTAAGCTCCTGCGGTTTTTTTAATGTTATAATTAATAAATGGAACTAAACCAATTTTGAATGTTTTAAGATATTTTCTTTGATTTATCTATCTATATATTTATATTTTTTACTTGAATCATTTATTTTAATTAAAAAACCTTATTTTACCGCTTTAATATAAATCTGAAGATTTTAGGTACAAGATAATATTAAATAATTAATTAAAAAATCTTAAATTGATAAATTTGTAAAAACACAAACAAAAATGAGAAAATTAATAACAATCACTCTTGTTTTGGCTTTAGCCAGTTACTCATACGCATAACTCCAATGTCCTGCTAACTCCTCTTGGGTTTCTGGTTCAAGTGCTTGTGTATGCAATCCCGGATATTATGGTACTAGCGCTTCAGCTTGTGTATAATGCCCAAGTAACTCTTGGTCATCTTAAGATTCAAACACAGGATCAAGCATTAAAGCTTCAGCTTGTAATAAATGTGCTGCTGGATACTATCTTACTACAGCTGCTGTTACAACTGCTGGTTCTGAAGCTCCTGCTGGTTGCACAGTTTGTCCTACTAACTCCACTCCTACTACTATGTCTACTTCCACTTAAACTCCTTAAAGTTGTGATAAATGCTTACCTGGCTTTTTCTTTGTAACTGCTGCTTCTGCTACTCCCGCTGCTGCTTCATGTACCACATGTGGTTCTCCTGGTGCCGTAACTTCAACTTATCCTACATCAGGTGCTGCATAAAATCTTGGTAATTGTGATACCTGTTCATCAGGTTATTGGCTTGCAACTCCTGCTGTTACTGGTGCTACTCCAGCAGCTGCCATTTGCACATAATGTTCAGGTGGTGTGACTGTCTCAACTCCAGCTACTACTCCTGCTCAAACAGTTGCTGCTTGCGATACCTGTCCTGCTGGCAAATATGTTGCAACTGTTGCTGGCGCTGCTGCCGTTGTTTGTAATCCATGCCCTGCAAATTCTTATTCTAATGCTTCAAAAAATGCAGGATTTTGTACTTGTTATGACACTAATGCTCCTGCATTATCTGCCTAAGTTTCTAGCTGCGCTTGCAAAACTGGTTATTTGGGTACAGTTGCTGCTGCTCCTCTAGCTGCTAGTGGATGTGTTTTATGCAATGACCCTAGTGCTAGTCCTTCATTAGTAAGCGGTGCTTGCGTATGTAAAGCTAATACCTATGGTACCCCAACTAGTAACGCCGCTTCTGCTCCTAGTACTTCTACTTGTACTAATTGCCCAAGCAATACAACTTCCCCTGCTGGTACCACAGCATAAACTGGTTGTACAACAACTCCTGCTAGCAGTAGTAATTCAAAAATCTTATTGCCATTAGTAACCTTGCTTTTCTCTTTGGTTCTCTTGCTTTGAGCAAAATTTAATTGAATTTAAAAATAAAGTTTCTTAAAATTTAATTTTATTTTGAAAATTTTTTTGTCTGTTGGTATATATAATACATACATACATATTTGTTATATACACTAATGATTTGAAAAAATTTATATCTAAATCAATCAAATCAAATCCACCGCAATATTTCATATTTATTTTTACTTAATTTATTTACTACTTATTATCTCAAAAAAAAAGATTTTATTATTTAATAAACTAATCTAATTTTTTTGGTATTTTTAAAAATTAGAGAAATTAATTAGATATTTTCGCAAAATACCAATATGATTGATAGCATAAATAATTAGAGTTAGTAATATTAAATTTCCTTTAACTAGAAAGAAGATATTACGAATAGAAATTCAAAGAGAACATAATAGCTATTTTTAAATACAAACACTTTTACAAATTCTTAAAAGAGAGTTTGTTTTTATACTCTTGATATAATATTAATCGTATGTATTTATTTCATTTGTAAACTTAATTAGTCAAATTTATTTCTATTTAAGAAAATAACCAAAAATAAAATGAACGGAATAACGAATATCCAAGCTATTAGAAATGAAATGACTAAGTAATTACTGTATTACTTGTAATCATTTTTATAGCATTCATAAGATAAATTTGCTAAGATGTATTTCTTACTTCCAAATTATATACACGAAGACAGAAAAATCAGTTATAAAAGCAAATCTTGCTAAAAATATAATATCAAAAATATTATGATCGAAGTGTATATTTTATGATAAGGAAATTTCCTTAATTTTTATACTTTTTTTCCTATTAATAAGGAAACTAAGAAAGGCAAAAAGTGGATCACAGGGATTACCAAACAAAAGAAAAGTTTTAAGTAGATTGATTATTGGAAAGCTTTAGTTTAAATTTAATAAAAAGCACTCTATAGAACTCACCTAAGTATCTAAAGTCCCTCCCAGCAAACTTGGTAATCCAGTTATTGCTAATTTAAATTAAATTAGATTTAAAACTAAATTTTTTGAATTCTTAAATTACTTTTAGATAAGCTTAAATCAAGTTTTCCTTGTGAACTAATAATAAAAATGTAGTTCATAAATAATTTGATGTAAACTCCTGTTTTATTTTGTCTTAGGCTTAATACTTAATTTTCATATAATGTTTTTTTAATTTTAAGTTTGAAGAAAATTGCTTTCTTTTTCTGTGCTTTTTGATTTGTAGAAGTATTTTGTAAAAATAGCTGAACTCTTTCTTCTCATCAGTGCATTTTGTTCCAATTTTATAACTGCAATCGATAAGGACAATAGAGCCCAGAGATTTATGTAGACCAGCTTTAATACTTACTATTTTGATTGAGAAAATAAAGCACACTCATATTAATTGAAACTTTGCGTGTATCTATCTATCTTTCTCCCCACTAATTAGCATAAATCTTATATTTAATTGAAAATATACATACATAAATAAATAAATAAAAAATGCATAAATTTTACATCACATTCTTAGCATAATTCCCCATTAGATTATTTCTTGCATAGTTTATTTACATAAGAACCTCCTATACAATTGCTTATAGAATAAGAGCATTGCAATACTTTGTCATCCAGCATATTTGATCTCCAATAACCACCCTTCCATGCATTTTATTTTTTCTCCTTAATTACAAATTGCTCCATTCGGACAATCTAAGCAGATTTGTGGGTCGATTGAGTAAGCTCCCTATACACAGTCAATACACTCTTAATAATTATTATACTTGCTGATGAGTTCACCTGCTGAACAATTTCTAAAATGTATTAAGACTTCAAAAGTCTCTCCTTAAATGAATTAATTTGTGTTGGGATCTACTTATTTAGTATAATTTGAAAAAAACTCTACGTATGCAAATGAGCCAGGAATTCCTATAATTTAAACTTGATCAAAAGTTATCAAACTCAATCAACTATGGATTTTGATTCAATTAATACTTTGATGATTATTATCCTCTAATATAATAACTGCTTGAGTTTATTGTTTGTTTTATTGCTAATTTAAATTTAAACATAATAAAGGATCTTCGCCATATTATGGTAGAACTACTTCATTTTAGCTATTCAAAATCTGAAATTAAATTGTTGAAAGATTCTACCCACTTTTAAAATTATCAATAAAAATTTAGCTATTTATTAATCTTGCATTAGCTGTTTTAGTTAAAAATTCATTTCGATTTACAAAATGAGTTTGCTTGCTTGGATAAGATTAAATATTTAATCCATCCATATTTCTGTGATTTTTTATTATCAAAAACAGTTTCTTTATCAATAAATAAATAAATAAATAAATAAATGGAAATAAACACTATGAATAGATTGCACCTCAAAAAGATTTTTGATTTTCTATGAATTAACACATATTAATAAATATTTTCTTGTTAGCATCATTCATTCAGAATTTACATGCAAAGCTCCACCATAAATACATACATAAATAGTTAGATAGATAGATAGATAGATAGATAGATAGATAACCATTTTTGGATTTGTTTTGTAAAAATGTTGAATTGTTTATGATAATTTAATAATTCTAAAAATAAAAAATAAATAAATTAATCAAATACATTAACTGAAAGGGTTAAATAATTTAATTACATTTGCCATATATAGCTCTTTGATTATAAATTGAAGTATTATTTTGAAAAAAAAAGTAGTCGTGTATATAGCTTATTTAGCTTATACTCAAACTAACTAGTAGCACTAACTAGTTAATCACTCCCCCTTGAATTAATTCCCTATGTAAATATCAACCCAAAAAGTTTAATTTATGTCCCAACTTACTGACTGACAGACCTTATCGTATCATTTTCTATTATATATATTTACTCAATCAAATTTAATCACTTTTTCAACTTTTATTTCTACTTAGTTTAAAAAAGCTAAAAAATTACTTATTTAAATACAAACAAATATATTCAATTAAATGCTGTTTTTTTATTTGTTTGTTTGTTTGTTTGTTTGTTTTTAAAAGAGTAAATTGATTTTATATAAAATTAAGATAAATAAATATATGAAAAATTTTGAAATAATATCTTAAAAAAATATCTAAATCAAAATTGAATGGATAAATATGTGTGTTTGATTTACTTATCACTAAATTCTTTTTATTTCTTTGAATTGTATGGAGAAATATGTAACACTAAACTAATAAAAAGCCTTACTTAAAATGATTGATATTTATTTGATCAATTTTATTGATTATTTCTATAAATAAATTTAGATTTTAAGAAAATAATTTTCATGTAATTTTAAAATGATAAGACCTAAAGATGTATTTATTAGCTTTAGAAAAGGTTATTTATTGATAATTGCTATTATGTGGCTAGTTTGTCTCAGATATATTTAATTAAGCTCGTTTGTGTTCATACATCTAAGAAAAAATTTTAGCAATCTAATTTAATTACTTATTTTTTCAACTTTTACTTCTACTTAGCTTATATAAGCTAAAAAATTAGTTATTTAAATGCAAATACATTCAATTAAATGTTTTTATTTTTTAAAAGAGTAAATTGATTTTATATAAACTTAAGATAAATAAATAAATATATGAAAAATAAATATTGAAATTAGCTCTTAAAAAAATAACTAAATCAATATTTAATGAATATATATGTGTATTATATTTACTTATCACTAACTTTTTTTTATTTATTTGCGTTATATGGAGAAACATGTAAAACTAAACTAATAAAAAGCCCTACTTAAAATGATTGATAATTATTTTATAAAACCAATTGATTATTTCTACAAAATAAATTTAGATTTTAAGAAAGTAATTTTCATGTTGTTTTAAAATTATTAGGCTTAAAGATGTATAAACTTTAGAAAATTTTATCCATAATTGCTATTATGTGGCTAATTTGCCTCAGATGCATTGAGTCAAGATTATTTTCTTACATCTTAGAAAAAAGTTTAATTAATAAATCTGATTAAATATAATAATTAGATAAAAGTAAATTAATTTCTGATTAAATTATGTTTTTAATAAAAGAAATTAATTATCATTAATTTTCTATTGAACATATTTCTTAATTTCAATGGAGTCTTTGTTTGACTGACTGACTGACTTACTGACTTTACTTTTTTTCTTTAAATCAAATTAAAAAATGTTGTGCATAATACATATTAATTCTAAGATTTGTATGTAGAAGTGAAATTATGCAAAATATTTTTATTTTGACAACTAGCAAAAACTATTCGAAGAACAAAATTGCAAAAAACAAACTTCATTTAAAAATTGTATTTTTTTTCAAAAATTAAATTAGTTATTTTGTTAAGAAAACTACAAATCAAACTTAGGAAAAATATTAATTAAATAAATAAGTGATTATTCATTTGATAATAGATATCTTATTAAAAACTTATCTCCCAATGACTCTGCTATATTGAATAATATTTATATATTTATCAATTATAGGACACCTCGATTATCACTTTACTTCTCAATATGTAGCTAATGATATTTATGTAAGTGATAACTTGATTGTTATTTCATAAAAATAATTAGCTGAATAATGAATAAATACTATTAGTTATTATTGATTGTTACAAACAATAGTCTTATTTAAGTAGCCATTACTTAATTGATTATTATTTTTGTATTGTCGACAGAAGTAATTTGTCATTACTGATTTTTTGCTATTTTAATTAAAGGTTATTTATTTCTTGTTAGATGATTTTTTTGATGAAAATATTGTATATATATATTCTATCATAAAGAAAAAAACAAAAACTGAAAACAAACGATCATTAATCAATATTATCATCATCTTAAAACTGTAGGATAATATTTATACTTGCAAATAAATAAATAAATCTACATACCTCTTTTCTACTTTTCAACATTGAATATTCTACTAGCCGCTTCTTTTTAATTAAAAAATCCAAAAAGTATCTACTTTCCTAAAATTCTTATTTGATGAAAACTACCAAAAAAAAAAAAACACATATGTTGGAGAATATAAATAAATAAATGTATATTGTTAAGAAATGGTAAATTTTATTTTGACAAACTCCATACCCAACCCAACCCAAAAAGTTTAATTTATGTACCAACTAACTGAAAGACCTTATCGTATCATTTTCTATTATATATATTAACCCAATCAAATTTAATTACTTTATCAGCTTTTGTTTCTACTTAGCTTATATAAGCTAAAAAATTAGTTATTTAAATACAAACAAATATATTCAATTAAATGCTGTTTTTTTGTTTGTTTTTTAAAAGAATAAATTGATTTTATATAAAATTAAAATAAATAATATTTGCAAAATTATGAAATTAGCTCTTAAAAAAATATTTAAATCAAAATTTAATGGATATATATGTGTGTTTGATTTACTTATCACTAACTTCTTTTTATTTCTTTGTATTGATTGTATGGAAAGATATGTAACACTAAACTATAATAAATAGCCCTACTTAAAATGATTGCTATTTAATTGATAAATCCTATTGATTATTTCTGCAAAATATTTTTAGATTTTAAGAAAATAATTTTCATATAGTTTTAATTTGATAAGGCTTAAATATGTATTAGCTTTAGAAAAGTTATAGATAATTGATATAATGTGCCTAATTTGTCTCAGATTCATTCAATTAAGTTTGTTTGTTTTGATACATCTAAGAAAAAAATTTAACAATCTAATTTAATTACTTACTTTTTCAACTTTTACTTCTACTTAGCTTATTTAAGCTAAATAATTATCTCTTTAAAAACTATTTCATTCAATTGAATGCTGTTTGTTTGTTTGTTTTTTAAAAAAGTAAATTGATTTTATATAAAATTAAGATAAATAAATATGAAAAATAAATATTGAAATTATCTCTTAAAAAAATATCTAAATCAATATTTAATGAATATATATATATGTGTCTTTAATTTACTTATCACTAACTTCTTTTTATTTATTTGCGTTATATGGAGAAACATGTAAAACTAAACTTATAAAAAGCCCTACTTAAAATGATTGATAATTATTTTATAAAATCAATTGATTATTTATACAAAATAAATTTAGATTTTAAAAAAGTAATTTTCATGTTATTTTAAAATTATTAGGCTTAAAGATGTATAAACTTTAGAAAATTTTATCCATGATTGCTATTATGTGGCTAATTTGCCTCAGATTCATTGAGTCAAGCTCGATTTCTTACATCTAAGAAAAAATTTTAATTAACAAATCTGATTAAATATAATAATTGGATAAAAGTAAATTAATTTCTAATTAAATTATGTTTTTAATAAAAGAAATTAATTATCATTAATTTTCTATTGGAACATATTTCTTAATTTCAATGGAGTCTTTCTGTGACTAATTGACTTTACTTTTTTTCTTCAAATCAAATTAAAAAATGATGTGCATAATACATATTAATTCTAAGATTTGTATGTAGAAGTGGAATTATGCAAAATATTATTACTTTGACAACTAGCAAAAACTATTCGAATAACAAAATTGCAAAAAACAAACTTCATTTAAAAATTGTATTTTTCTTTAAAAATTAAATTAGTTATTTTGTTAAGTAAACGACAAATCAAACTTTAGAAAATTATTAATTAAATAAATAAGTGATTGTTCATATGACAATAGATATCTTATTAAAAACTTATCTCCCGATGACTCTGCTAAATTAAATAATATTTATATATATATATATATATCCAGCATAGGATGGATACCTCCATTATCACTTTGCTTCTCAATATGTAGCTAATGATATTTGGCTATATTAATTTTATTATTATTATTTTCTTTGCATTATTTGAAGAAATATGCATCTATTATATAAATTAATAAAAAGTCATTCCTATCAATTCTATTGATTATTTATCAAAAAAAACGATAAGACTTAAAGATGTTTTGTTTTAGCTTTAGAAAAGGTCAATAATAATTGCTACCATATGGCTAATTAATTTCTAAATTTGTTTTTTTACATTTGAGAAAAAAATAAAGATTGGAGACAAAATTAGTGATAAGTAAAAAACAAATTAACAATTCTGCTTTTAGTAGAAAGAAATTGTAATTTATTTTCAACTGGATATTATTTCTTAATTTCATGGCAGTTTTCTTAAACGAACTGACATTTTTTCTTCAAATATAATTAAAAAATACTATGGATGATAATACAAATTAATCTTTAGGTTTATATGTAGAAGTGAAATTATGCAAAATATTTTAATTTTAGCAACTAAAAAAAAGTATTCGATGATAAAAAACTTCTTTTAAAAATTATAATTTTATATTCAAAATTATATGTTTATGAAACGAACAGCCTTATTTAAGACTTCATTTCTTATTTGATTATTTATTATTTTTGTTAAGCAAAGTATAATTTATATGTTATTATATTTTTGTATCCTTTAATTTGAAATATTTAATAAGAAGTAAGCTTATTTTTAATATTCCAAACATTAAAAGCTTAAAAACTATTTGTAAATGAATGTAAAATTTGTAGCCTTGCTAGATGCACTCAAGGTCAGCCACATCCTCTAATTTTTTACCTAACCATACCTCTTTTTAATTTTAAGTGGCTTCTTTAATAGATAGTTGGTATCCGTTTCGTCATTTCCAAATACAAATTTGTAATTTCGATGGTTGGCTGGCTTACCAATCTGTTGTCGATGTGCGGAAGGATTTCTTGATTTAATTTCTAGTTCGAACTATTTATTTATTTTTTTGTAAGCTCTTTAAACTTTTCCTTTTAATTATTCTATCTATATTTTTCGCTTGAATCATTTATTTTAATTAAAAAAACTTTGTAAAAGCTGCAATATAAATCTGAAGTTTTTAGGTAAAAGATTAATAATAAATAAATAAAAAATTAAACAATTTTTAAGTTATAAATTTGTAAAAGCATAAATAAATATGAGAAAATTGATAATAATCGTTCTTGTTTTGGTTTCATACGTATAAAGTCAAATATGCCCTTCTTACGCCTCTTGGGTTGCTGGTTCTACTAATGCTTGTTAATGCAATAACGGATATTATGGTACTAGCCCTTCAACTTGTAAGGCTTGTCCAGATAACTCTTGGTCAACTTAAGGTTCTACAAATACAGGTCCAAGCATTACAGTTTCAGCTTGTAATCAATGTGCTCCTGGATATTTTGTTAGTACAGTTGCTGTTACTACTCCTGGTTCTGAAGCTGCTGCTAAATGTACAACTTGTGGTACTACTCACTCCACTCCTAATACAATGGCTACTACTCAATAAACTATTTCAGATTGTAATACATGTATGGATGGTTATTACTTAACAGTTGTTGCTGTTACTGGTGGTTCTGCTGCTGCTGCTACATGTCAAGCATGTGCTTCTTAAGGTGCTATCACTAGACTTCGTGCTACAGATACTCCATAAACAGCCAATGATTGTAATCTCTGTTTACCAGGTTATTGGGTTTCAAGTGCTTTTGCTCAAGGAGGACCTGCTATACGTTGCACAGCTTGCCCACCTGGTTTGACTAACTCAGCTTCAGCTACTGGAGCTACTGGTCTTCAAACTATTGCTAGTTGCGATACCTGTCCTATAGGTTTTTATGTTACAGCTATTGCTTAATCTGGTGGTCCCGTTTCATGTGCTCCATGTCCTCCAAATTCTTCTTCTCCTCCTTCAAAGAATTTAGGATTTTGTACTTGCTTTGATACTAATGCACCTGCATTATCTTCCTCAGTTACTAGCTGCGCTTGCAAAACTAATTATTTTGGATCTGTTGCAACTGCTCCTCTAGCTGCTAGTGGATGTGTTTTATGCAATGACCCTAATGCTAATTATTCATTAATAAACGGTAAATGCGCATGCAGAGCTAATACCTATGGTACCCCAACTAGCAACGCCACTACTCCTCCTACTTCTTCTACTTGCTATAATTGCCCAACCGATGCAACTTCTCCTGCTGGTACCACAGAAAAAGCTGGATGTAATAATTCAAAAATCTTATTGCCTTTAGTAACCTTGCTTTTCTCTTTAATCCTCTTGCTTTGAGCAAAATTTAATTGAATTTAAAAATAAAATTTCTTAAAATTTAATTTTTAAAGTTTTTTTATCTGTTGGTATATATAATACATACATACATGTTATATGCACTAATGATTTGAAAAAATTTATATCTAAATCAATTAAATCTACCAAATATTTCATATTTTTACTTTACTTACTATTTTTACGCTCAAAAAAAAAATATACTGCAATTATTAAAGTATTATTAATTTTTTAGAGCAACACAAATTATTATTTCAAATAATAGCCCAGAAATACACAATTTTATTTCCATACCCAAAATGTTTATTTTATGTCCTAACTTACCCTGTATATCATTTTGCATTAAATATATTTATTTACTCAATCAAATTTAATTACTTTTTCAACTTTTTACTTCTACTTAGCTAATTTACTTATATAAGCTTAAAAATTAGTTTTAAATACAAATATTTTCAATTAAATTCCATGTTTTTAAAATAGAAAATTGCTTTTATATAAAATTAAGATAAATAAAAAATATGAAAAATTTTGAAATAACTTCTTAAAGAAATATCTAAAATAAAATCCAAGCTTTAACGAATATGTTAATATGTGTGTTTGATTTACTTTTCAATAAATTCTTATTGTTAATTTTTCTTCTTAGCATTATATGAAGAAATATGAAGCGCTAAACTAATAAAAAGCCGTACTTAAAATTATTGATATTTATTTTATCAATTCTATTGATTATTTCTACAAAATAAATTTAGATTTTAAGAAAATAATTTTCATAATAAGGCTCAAAGATGTATTTGCTTTAGAAAAGGTTATTGATAATTGCTATTATGTGGTTAATTTGTCTCTGATACATTTAATCAAGCTAATTTTCATACATCTGAGAAAAAATTTTAATTAAAAAATCTGATTAAATATAAAAATTAGATAAAAGTAAATTAATTTCTGATTAAATTATGTTTTTAATAAAGGAAATTATCATTAATTTTCTATTGGAGCATATTTCTTAATTTCAATGGAGTCTTTCTTTGACTGACTTACTGACTTTACTTTTTTTCTTCAAATCAAATTTAAAAATGTTGTGCATAATACATATTAATTCTAAGATTTGAATGTAGAAGTGGAATTATGCAAAATGTTTTTACTTTGACAACTAGCAAAAACTATTCGAAGATCAAAATTGCAAAAAACAAACTTCATTTTAAAATTATATTTTTTTTCAAAAATTAAATTAGTTATTTTGTTAAGAAAACAATCTTTAGAAAAATATTAATCAAATAAATAAGCGATTATTCATTTGATAATAGATATCTTATTAAAAACTTATCTCCCGATGACTCTGCTCTTTTAAATAATATTTATATATACATTCAGCATAGGATACCTCCATTATCACTTTGCTTCTCATTATGTAGCTAATAATATTTATTTAAGGGATAACTTGATTGAAAGTAATTTCATAAAAATAACTAACTGAATAATGAATAAATATTATGTGGTAAAAAAAAGTTGAGCCACTATACCAGCTAAAACATAAGTGAATATGCATTTAGGTTATATAGGATATAATATTAGACAGCTAATTTAATAAATGTGATAAATTAATGAATGAAAAATCTGTTAAATGGGGGATATAATTACTTTTATAAAAATGAGTAAACACAATTTTTTTATATATTGGATAGAATAATAATTTCATTTAAGAGGAAGGATATCGATTAGACTCAATCAATTTATGAAAATTCTATTCAGCACTTTAAATGCTGTTTTGAATAATTTTTCTAAGATCCTTTTATGATAAAAATGTAATTTGAACAAAGTCTTTAAATTTTTCAATATCCTTTTTTTATTTATTTATATTTTTTTAAATTTTTTAAAAAATATTTATTATTCTACTCAATATTTATTTCCTATTAAAGAAATAATTAATTGAGTATAGAATACCTCTATATATGAAGTTGAATAGGACAAGTTTTTAAATCTTTAAGACCAATTTTCTAAAAGTAATAAATTAAATAGGATTAAAATAGCAAAAATAAGTGTTTATAAATAAAAAACTAAATGTATTTGTGATAAAATATAATTTAGATGGAAATTGAAAAACAACAACTAACTGACCCTATTATGTCATTATATATTATATATTTACTCAATCAAATTTAATTAATTTTTTAACTTTTTACTTCTACTTAGCTTATTTACTTACATAATCTAAAAAATTAGTTAATTAAATATGAATATCCTCAATTAAATACTATTTTTTTAAAATAAATAGTAAACTGCTATTATATAAAATTAAGAAAATTTATGAACAATATTGAAATTACCTCTTAAAAAAATATCTAAATCAAGATTTAATAAGTATGTGTGTTTGATTTACTTTTTACTAACTTCTTTTTATTAATTTTATTATTATTATTATTTTCTTTGCATAATATGGAGAAATATGTAAGTAACTCTAAACTTATAAAAAGCCCTACTTAAAATTATTGACATTTATTTTATCAAATCAATTTATAACTTCTACAGAATAAATTTAGATTTTAAGAAAGTAATTTTCATGTAGTTTTAAAATGATAAGGCTTAAAGATGTATTAGCTTTAGAAAATGTTATTCATAATTGCTATTATGTTACTTATTTGTCTTAGTCAGATGCATTTAATTAAGTTCGTTTGTTTTCATACATCAGATAAAAAATTTTAATTAAAAATCTGATTAAATATAAAAAAATAGCTAAAGTAAATTGGGTTCATAATTTTTTTTCCTAAAATTAGTTATTTAGTTAAGAAAATGACAAATAAATCTTTAGAAAAATATTAATTAAATAAGTGATTATTCATTTAATAATAAATATCTTATTAAAAACTTATCCCTTGATGATTCTCCAATATTAATAATATTTATATTTATATATATATATATCAAGCAAGGAGACCTCAATTATCACTTTGCTTCTCATTATATAGCTAATGATATTTAAGTGATAACCTTATTGTAGTTTGATAAAAATAATTAACTGAATAATGAATAATATTAATTATTATCTACTGTTTTAATGATATTTTAACTAATGGTTATTCTTTGTTATTTTATTTTTTTGAAGAAAATATTCATATATATTTTCAAATAAAAAGCAAAAATAAAAATCGAAAACAAAAGATCATTAATCATTATTATCATCATCTTCAGACTCTAATTCTCTAAAATTTTTATTTAACTATGCCATTTATATCATCTTCTACTCACACCAATATTTTACTAGCCTAATATTTATTTTATTGTTTATATTTGTTTAAACCGTTTTATAGGTAAATTTTAATCCTTAAATTATTAATTTTGTTCTTTTTTTTATTTCTATTAGTATAATTATATATTACTTTTTAATTTCTATAAAATAAAATTTAAATTTAAATTATTTATTTTAAATTAAAAATTAAACAAATAAACATATTAATATAAAATAACATAAAATTTAAAAATTAATTGATTAATTTATTTTTTATATTACTAGAATTTTTTCAAATATGACTAACTGGCCATCTCTAATCCCTACTATATTTAAGTATTTGTTTTAAATACAAATAGAAAGATTAAATAATGAATGTTAAATTATTTTTTATTTAATATCTCTACATAAAACCAAATTTATAAATTAATAATTGATCATTAATTATTATATTTGTTCTTTTTATCCATTATAATTAATTAATTAAATAAATTCCATAAATTGCTATTAAATTTTTTTGAAAAAAAAATAAATGATATAATAGATTAAAAATTATTATAAATTAGAAGAAGTAATTATTATTTTTTTTATTAATATCTTATAAATTTATATAAATTAATAAAAAAAGTTTTTAAGCTCTTCACTTTTATCTCATTAGGTTCTCCTTATTGATCTCAAGTATATTTTATTTATAAATATTATTTTTATTATTATTAATATTTTTTATTTTTTAACTTTCAATTTATCTAAATAAATAATTTTTGTTATAGAAATTATCATCATTATTCATTGATTTTTATTAAAAGAAAAATTTTTTAGCTATTTTGACTTAATTTTCAATTCAATTTTCAATTATTTTTTATTATTTGATATTTTTTCTTCATTTTTTGCTTAAAACTTACACTTAATAAAAGTAGTTTATTAGTTTTGGATTGTAATATTTTTAATTATAAAAGTTAATTTAAAACATTAAAGTTCTTTTAATTTATTTGGTTTATTTTCCTATTTCTTTTTATTGTGGTTTCTTATTTTTTTCATTCTTTGTTAATTTTATTAATTAATCTTATTATTTCATATTTTTTCTTCATTTTTTTCTTCTAATTAACTAGAGTGAAATGCCTATTTAATTTGTAAAAGGCAAAATGTATAATATCTTAATAACATAATAAATAAAGCTAAATTAGCTTTAAACAGCTTTATTTTTGAGTTTTTAGAATGCTTTAAATTCACAAAATGTAAAGTTTGAAATAACATGATATTATATAAAGGAAAAAGTATTATCTATGGCACTTTTTTCAATATTTTTTAAAATAATCATTTTATTCCAAAATTTAAAAAAATGTAAAAACACAGTATATAAAACTCGCTTTTTAAAAATTTGTATGACAACTTACTCTATTTAATAATATATTTTTTCTTCAATATTTAAAAAGTAACAATGAAATTGGTGACGAGAGTGCATCAGGCTTAGGTTCTGCTTTAGAAAAGTGTATTAATCTCTCAAATTTAACACTTAAAATTCGGTAAAAACAGTTTATTTGTTTTGGATTGTGATATTTTTAATTATAAAAACTAATTTAAAACAATAAAGCTCTTTTTTCTTTTTCTTTTTATTGTGCTTGCTTTTTTTTGTTCTTTCATTATTAATTTAACAACTCACTCATCATTTTATTTTCAACTTTAACTTTTATTATTAATTCATATTTTTTCTTCATTTTTTCCTTCTTATTAACTATTTAATGATATTTTATTTCTTCAATATTTAAAAGTTACAATAATATTGGTTACAAAGGTGCATCAGGCTTAGGTTCTGGTTTAGCAAATTGCATTAATCTCTCAAATTTAGCACTTTATCTTGGGTAAAAACAGTTTATTTATTTTGGATTGTGATATTTTTAATTATAAAAACTAATTTAAAGCAATAAAGCTCTTTTTTCTTTTTCTTTTTATTGTGCTTGTTTTTTTTTTGTTCTTTCTTTGTTAATTTAACAATTCATCATTTTATTTCCAATTTTTGCTTTTATTATTAATTAATTAATGTTATTATTTCGTATTTTTTCTTCATTTTTTCTTTCTAATTAACTATTTAATGATATATCTTTTCTTCAATATTTAAAAAGTAGTAATTACATTGGTGACGAAGGTGCATCAGACTTAGGTTCTGGTTTAACAAAGTGTATTAATCTCTCAAATTTAACACTTGATCTTGAGTAAAAACAGTTTATTTGTTTTTAATTGCGATATTTTTAATTATAAAAATGTTAATTTAATAACTCATCATTTTATTTTCAACTTTTGCTTTTATTATTAATTAATTAATTAATTAATCTTATTATTTCATATTTTTTCTTCATTTTTTCCTTCTAATTAACTATTTAATGATATATTATTTCTTCAATATTTAAAAAGATGCAATAAAATTGGTGACGAAGGTGCATCAGTCTTAGGTTCTAGTTTAGCAAAATGCATTAATCTCTCAAATTTAACACTTTGTCTTAGGTAAAAACAGTTTATTTGTTTTGGATTGTGATATTTTTTATAATAAAAACTAATTTAAAACAATAGAGCTCTTTTTTCTTTTTCTTTTTATTGCGCTTGCTTTTTTTTGTTCTTTCTTTGTTATTTTAACAACTCATCATTTTATTTTAAAATTTTGCTTTTATTATTAATTAATAAATCTGATTATTTCATATTTTTTCTTCTAACTAACTATTTAATTATATTTTATTTCTTCAATATTTAAAAGTTAGAATCGAATTGGTGACAAAGGTGTATCAGTCTTAGGTTCTGGTTTAGCAAATTGCATTAATCTCTCAAATCTGACACTTGAACTTAAGTAAAAACAGTTTATTTGTTTTGGATTGTGATATTTTTAATTATAAAAACTAATTAAAAACAATAAAGCTCTTTTTTCTTTTTCATTTTATTGTGCTTGTTTTTTTTTGTTCTTTCTTTGTTAATTTAGCTCATGATTTTATTTGCAACTTTTGCTTTTATTTTTAATTAATTATTCTTATTATTTCATATTCTTTCTTCATTTTTTCCTTCTAACTAACAATTTAATGATATTTTATTTCTTCAATATTTAAAAGTGGTAATGTAATTGGTGACGAAGGTGCATCAGACTTAGGTTCTGGTTTAGCAAAGTGCATTAATCTCTCAAATTTAAAATTTGATCTAAAGTAAAAACAGTTTATTTATTTTGGATTGTGATATTTATAATTATAAAAATTAATTTAAAACAATAAAGCTCTTTTTTCTTTTTCTTTTTATTGTGCTTGCTTATTTTTTGTTCTTTCTTTGTTAATTTAACAATTCATCGTTTAATTTTCAGCTTTTTTATTTATTATTAATTAGTCTTATTATTTCATATTTTTTCTTCCTTCTTTCCTTCTAATTAACTATTTAATGATATCTTTTTTCTTCAATATTTAAAAAGTTGCAATCAAATTGGTTACAAAGGTGCATCAGGCTTAGGTTCTGGTTTAACAAAGTGTATTAATCTCTCAAATTTAACACTTGATCTTGAGTAAAAACAGTTTATTTGTTTTTAATTGCGATATTTTTAATAATAAAAACTAATTTAAAACAATAAAGATTTTTTTTCTTTTTCTTTTTATTGTGCTTGTTTTTTTTTGTTCTTTCTTTTTTAATTTAACAACTCATCATTTTATTTCCAACTTTTGCTTTTATTTTTAATTAATTATTCTTATTATTTCATATTCTTTCCATAATTTAATGATATTTTATTTCTTCAATATTTAAAAAGTTTGAATGAAATTTATGACGAAGGTGCATCAGTCTTAGGTTCTAGTTTAGCAAAATGCATTAATCTCTCAAATTTAACACTTTGTCTTAGGTAAAAACAGTTTATTTGTTTTGGATTGTGATATTTTTTATAATAAAAACTAATTTAAAACAATAGAGCTCTTTTTTCTTTTTCTTTTTATTGCGCTTGCTTTTTTTTGTTCTTTCTTTGTTATTTTAACAACTCATCATTTTATTTTCAACTTTTGCTTTTATTATTAATTAATTAATCTTATTATTTCATATTTTTTCTTCATTTTTTTCTTCTAACTAACTATTTAATTATATTTTATTTCTTCAATATTTAAAAAGTTGCAATCAAATTGGTTACAAAGGTGCATCAGGCTTAGGTTCTGGTTTAGCAAAGTGCATTAATCTCTCAAATTTAACACTTGGTCTAAGGTAAAAACAGTTTATTTGTTTTGGATTGTGATATTTTGAATTATAAAAACTAATTTAAAACAATAAAGCTCTTTTTTCTTTTTCTTTTAATTGTGCTTGCTGTTTATTGTTCTTTCTTTGTTAATTTAACAACTCATCAATTTTTTTTAAATTTTGATTTTTATTATTATTAATTAATTTATTTTTTCTTCATTTTTTCCTTCTAATTAACTTCTTTTTAATTATATATTTTTTCTTCAATATTTAAAAAGTAAGAATTAAATTGGTGGTGAAGGTGCATCAGACTTAGGTTCTGGTTTAGAAAATTGCATTAATCTCTCAAATTTAACACTTGACCTTCGGTAAAAAGAGTTTATTTGTTTTGGATTGTGATATTTTTAATTATAAAAACTAATTAAAAACAATAAAGCTCTTTTTTCTTTTTCTTTTTATTGTGCTTGCTTTTTTTTTGTTCTTTCTATCTTTGTTAATTTATTTAGCTCATCATTTAATTTTAAAATTTTACTTTTATTATTAATTAATTAATCTTATTATTTCATATTTTTTCTTCATTTTTTCCTTCTAATTAACTATATAATGATATATTTTTTCTTAAATATTTAAAAAGTTTTAATAAAATTAATGACAAAGGCGCATCAGGTTTAGGTTCTAATTTAGAAAAGTGCATTAATCTCTCAAATTTAACACTTAAACTTAGGTAAAAATGATTTATTTGTTTTGGATTGTGATATTTTTAATTATAAAAACTAATTTAAATAATAAAGCTCTTTTTTCTTTTTCTTTTTATCGTGCTTACTTTTTTTTTGTTCTTTCTATCTTTGTTAATTTAGCTCATCATTTAATTTTAAAATTTTACTTATATTATTAATTAATTAATCTGATTATTTCATATTATTTCTTCATTTTTTCCTTCTAATTAACTTTTTAATGATATATTTTTTCTTCAATATTTAAAAGTTGCAATAATATTGGTTACAAAGGTGCATCAGGCTTAGGTTCTTGTTTAGCAAAATGCATTAATCTCTCAAATTTAACACTTTATCTTGGGTAAAAACAGTTTATTTGTTTTGGATTGCAATATTTTTAATTATAAAAACTAATTTAAAATAATAAAGCTCTTTTTTCTTTTTCTTTTTATTGCGTTTACTTTTTTTTTGTTCTTTCTTTGTTAATTTAACAACTCATCATTTTATTTTCAACTTATGCTTTTATTATTAATTAATTAATTAATTAATGTTATTATTTCATATTATTTCTTCATTTTTTCCTTCTAATTAACTATTTAATGATATAGTTTTTCTTCTAAATTTAAAAAGTAAAAATGCAATTGGTGACGAAGGTGTATCAGTCTTAGGTTCTGGTTTAGCAAATTGCATTAATCTCTCAAATTTAACACTTTATCTTTAGTAAAAATAGTTTATTCGTTTTGGATTGAGATATTTTTAATAATAAAAACTAATATAAAACAATAAAGATCTTTTTCTTTTTCTTTTTCTTTTTATTGTGCTTACTTTTTTTTGTTCTTTCTTTGTTATTTTAACAACTCATCATTTTATTTTAAACTTTTACTTTTATTTTTAATTAATTAATTAATGTTATTTTTTCTTCATTTTTCCTTCTAATTAAATATTTAATGATATATTTTTTCTTCAATATTTAAAAAGTGATAATTTCATTGGTTACGAAGGTGCATCAGGCTTAGGTTCTGGTTTAGCAAAGTGTATTAATCTCTCAAATTTAACACTTAACATTGGGTAAAAGCATTTTATTTGTTTTGGATTGTGATATTTTTAATTATAAAAACTAATTTAAAATAATAAAGATCTTTTTTCTTTTTCTTTTTATTGTGCTTACTTTTTTTTTGTTCTTTCTTTGTTAATTTAACAATTAATTATTTTATTTTAAAATTTTGCTTTTATTATTAATTAATTAATCTTATTATTTCATATTTTTTCTTCATTTTTTCCTTCCAATTAACTATTTAATGATATCTTTTTTCTTCAATATTTAAAAAGTAACAATGAAATTGGAGACGAAGGTGTATCAGTCTTAGGTTCTGGTTTAGCAAATTGCATTAATCTCTCAAATTTAACACTTTATCTTGAGTAAAAACAGTTTATTTGTTTTAGATTGTGATATTTTTAATAATAATTAACTTTTTTAATGATATATTTTTTCTTTAATATTTAAAAAGTGGTAATTACATTGGTTACGAAGGTGCATCAGGCTTAGGTTCTGGTTTAGCAAAGTGTATTAATCTCTCAAATTTAACACTTTACTTTCGGTAAAAACAGTTTATTTGTTTTGGATTGTGATATTTTTAATTATAAAAACTAATTTAAATAATAAAGCTCTTTTTTCTTTTTCTTTTATTGTGCTTACTTTTTTTTTGTTCTTTCTTTGTTAATTTTACAACTCTTCATTTTATTTTCAATTTTTGCTTTTATTATTAGTTAATTAATCTTATTATTTCATATTTTTTCTTCATTTTTTTCTTCTAATTAACTATTTAATGATATATTTTTTCTTCAATATTTAAAAAGTAACAATACAATTGGTGAAGAAGGTGTATCAGTCTTAGGTTCTTGTTTAGCAAAATGCATTAACCTCTCAAATTTAGAACTTTATCTTATGTAAAAACAGATTATTTATTTTGGGTGGTGATATTTTTAATATAAAAAACTAATTTAAAACAATAAAGATCTTTTTTTTTCTTCTTTTTATTGTGATTAATTTTTTTTTGTTCTTTCTTTGTTATTAACAACTCATCATTTTATTTTAAACTTTTACTTTTATCATTAATTAATTAATCTGATTATTTCATATTTTTTCTTCATTTTTTCCTTCCAATTAACTATTTAATGATATCTTTTTTCTTCAATATTTAAAAAGTAACAATGAAATCGGAGACGAAGGTGTATCAGTCTTAGGTTCTTGTTTAGCAAAATGCATTAATCTCTCAAATTTAACACTTTATCTTGGGTAAAAACAGTTTATTTGTATTGGATTGTGATATTTTTAATTTTAAAAACTAATTTAAAACAATAAAGCTCTTTTTTCTTTTTCTTTTTATTTTGCTTACTTTTTTTTTGTTCTTTCTTTGTTAATTTAACAACTCATCATTTTATTTTAAACTTTTGCTTTTATTATTAATTAATAAATCTTATTATTTCATTTTTTCCTTCTAATTAACAATTTAATGATATATTTTTCTTCAAAATTACATTCAGTAAAAACAGTTTATTTGTTTTGGATTGTGATATTTTTAATTATAAAAACTAATTTAAAATAATAAAGCTCTTTTACTTTTACTTTTTATTGTGCTTACTTTTTTTTGTTTTTTTCTTTGTTAATTTATCAACTCATCATTTTATTTTCAATTTTTGCTTTAATTATTAATTAATTAATCTGATTTTTTCGTATTTTTTCTTCGTTTTTTCCTTCCAATACTTTTTTTTTGTTCTTTCTTAGTTATTAACAACTCATCATTTTATTTTAAACTTTTGTTTTTATTATTAATTAATTAATGTTATTATTTCATATTTTTTCTTCATTTTTTCCTTCTAATTAACTATTTAATGATATATTTTTTCTTCAATATTTAAAATGTTTCAGCTAAATTGGAGAAATGGGTGTATCAGGCTTAGGTTCTGGTTTAGCAAAATGCATTAATCTCTAAAATTTAACACTTGATCTTGAGTAAAAACAGTTTATTTGTTTTGGATTTTGATATTTTAAACTATAAAAATTAATACAAAACAGAAAATATCTTTGAATTTATTTGATAGCTTTTATTTTATTCATTTTTTATCTTATTATTCCACTAATTTTATTTGATTTATCAATTTAAGAAATAATTTTAATTTAAAAGTTTATTCTATTTGATATTTATTTAAAATTTACACAAATTTATTTTAAAATTTTTAGCAAAATGACTTAATCTTAAAAATTAAAAGTTATAAGCAAGTGTCTTAAATTAAAAAGATTAGTGGTCTTTGAGATAAATAACTGATGAAAAAAGGATGAATAAATATTAAATGTTTGAATAATATTAATATTTTATTAAAAAATAAATTGAAAAATTTTTTAACCTAAAATAAAAATAGATAGAAATATTTTATTATTGTTTATATATTATAAATATCATTAATATTTTTGTAAGTAAGTAAGTAAGTAAATAAATTATTTATTAAAAATTAATTAACCTAAAATAAATATAGATAAATAAATTTATTATTTTTTTTATATTTATAAATATAATATTTTGGTCATTTAATAAATAGTTTATCAAAAAAAATATTTTGGAATTAATCCTTAAATTTGGGTTAAATTTATTCAAATAAAGTAATTCCTCTAAAATCAGCAAAAGAGATTTTACCAACAACAATCAAATCTTATATTAATTGCTATTTAATACTTTATCATATTAAATTATATAAATTTGAAGCTTCAATCTCATAGTTATAAATTAGAAGAACTATTAGTTTAAATTTATTCTAATTAAAGCATAAGTAAAGATACAATAAAAACGATAAATTTATTAATTTATTTGTTTGTTAATTATTTATTTTAAGAGTGTTTTTATAACTTATCAATCTAGCTAAAATATACAAATACAAATAACCAACTATTCCAGCCAGACTAACTTACAGATATTTTTGGAAGAGAAGCCGATGAACTCGTAGAAACTAATTGTATTATTTGTATTAATATTAAAAGAAATTAATAAATATGTACGATTTTATCTAATATTTATTTAGTAAAGTTTACTTTGTTTATTTTAGTAAGAACTTGAAAGAAATCTTTAGAAAAATTATTATAGAATTTTTTATGACTAATTTATTTTTATTTTTTATCTTTGAATTTATTTTAAATTTAATAAAAATAATTCGAAATATTGCATTTATTTTTTTATTTAATCAACTGAATAATTTTCTATTTTTTTAGAATGGTTCTAGTTCTATTAAATTCTTGAATTTGTCAAATTTAGCTATTTATTTTTAATTAATTAAATTAGAATTATTTAATTAATAATAATAAAGAGAGTTTGATTAATTACTTTAGTATGAATACATAATTGATTATTTTTCTTCAGATATGCTATATATGGAATTAATCATTTGCTGTTGTTCTGATTATTAAGTTACTTATATCTAAGCAATAGGATTTTGAGATCTTTAAGTAACAACACGTTATTAACTTTGTTCTAAAATAAATATTTTTTTTAATATGATAAAAATATAATATAAATTTACAATTGTATCGACTTTTTATTTGGATAAGCTTATTCTATTTATCTTCGAAATTATTTGAAAGAAATCTTACAAAAGATTGTTTGAATTTTTTTTTTAATACCTAATTAATTTTAATTTTTTATTTTGGTATTTAGATAACTTCTTAATCTTTTTTGTTTTTAGATAAAGTCTTCTTCAATTATTAAAATAACCCTATAAAGAAGTTCTAAAGCTTGTGATAAAATATCCTCTTTAGTATTACTACAATAAAGATAGCATTTATGAAGATAATAATAGCATATGAAATATATTGTTAGTATATAAATGTATTATCAGTAGCAAATACTGCTAAAAAAACAGAAACTGAGCATACCAAAGTCGAATAGTAATCAATTTAGTTTACTTCTTCCTCTCTGTAAGGTTTAATTGCTTTTACCATCCAATTGTATAATATGATAGATAAGAATATTAAATTTCCTTTAACCAATGTATACTGAGAATAGAAATTCAAAGATAGAATAACAGCTATTTTTAGGAAAATTTTTGAGAATTCCCAATAGAAAGCATGCTCTTTGTATTCTTAATACAAATATCCATATTTAAGCTGTAAATTTACTTGATTTAATTATTTTCTATTAATAAAAATCATCAGAAAAAGAAAGAGAGGTATCACTAATATCCAAATTATTAAAAATGGTAAAACCAAAAAGTAGGTGTACTTATTATAATCAACTGCATAACATTAATATGAAACGTTAGCTAAAATATATTCATTATTACCCAATTTTATACAAGAAAACAGCGATATCATCTAAGTCAATAGATCAGGCTGATAATATAAAACCAAGAAAATACATGCAGTGTATATTTTGTGGTAAGGAAATTTATTTAATTTTTAAGTTTTTTTTTCTAAAATAAGATAAATAATGAAAAGTAGAAAATGAAAGACAGGTATTACAAGAGAAAACATCAGTTTTAAGTAAATTATTGGAACAGAAGTGCTTAGATTCACCAAAAAGCATTCAATGGTATTTATAGATGAGTCAAGAGGTCTTCCAATCAAACTTGGAAAACCAGTAATTGCTTTTAAAAATTTAAATAGAATTTAAACTAATTTATTTTCAAAAAAAATTACCTTTGGAGAAATTTAAATTAAGTTTACTAAGAGAGCTTATAATAAAAATATAATTCATAAATAGTTTAATATATATTCCAGCTTTGTTTGAAACGAAATCGTTTCTTTAAACACAGTATTATTTTTTTTAATTTTTTTCGCTGTTTGTCATTGAACTTATTTAAGACCATGTAAAATATTTTGACAATAATTTTGATGTCCTTCTCATCAAGATACTTTCTTCATTTTTTTATACACTAAACAATAAAGAAAAGATAGTCCAAATATTGATAAAGATAATCTTTGCTAATTATTTATTTTATTCAGAGCAAAGTTCGCATTCATATTAATTTTTTGACTTTGAGTACTAATCTTTCCAATAATATCCATAAATCTAATAATAATAATAAAAATTAAATTAATCAATATAATTTTAAAAAAATATGATTTACATCACATTCCTAGCATAATGCTCCTATACTTCCTCTTTTACAGACATTATTTCCATAAGTTCCGCCTATACAGTTTGCTTCAGAGTAAGTGCATTAAATTAGTTAATCATCTAACTCACATGATCTCCAATAACCCTATTTGCATTTTAAGCTTTAACCTTCTTAGCAAATACCACCTACTGGACAATCTAAACATACTTTAGGATCTATTGAATATGTACCTTACGGGCAATTTAGACACTCCTAATAATTATTATATTTATTTATAAATTCACCAACTGAGCAGTTTCTAAAATTAACTTGTATCTCAAATTTGTAATTTTAAACAAACTTATTTGTATTAGGATCTATTTAATATATTTTATCTGAATAAAATTCAACTATTCCTACTGATCCAGGAATTCCTATAATTTAAACTTAGTCAAAAGTTATAAAACTCAGTTAAGGAATTTAATTCATAACATACGTAGCATTTTGTTATCCTCTTATATAATAATTATCTGCATTTTTAGTTTTATTACTGATTTTAATGAATACTTAATAAGGATTTTCACCATATTGAGGTAATACTAGCTAATTTTTATTATCCATCATTTAGAAAAATATAGTGGAAAGATTCTATCCACTTTTGAAATTTTCTAAAATAATTAAATTATCATGAACTATTTGTGAGTTGAGATTTTATTCAAGAAAGTCATTTCTGTTTAAAAAATAAAGCTAAGTTGGGTAACTAAATACATTTTATCCATATTGGGATGCTTGATTTTATGCAATAGTAGAATTAGCATCAATATAAGGAGATAAACCTTTAAAATATATAGAGCCACCAATCTTTGCAGAATTTTAAACCAAGACAGATTTCTAAATGCTTACAACTTAGTACTAATCATTCAAAGATTCAGAGAAAATATATAAAGCTCCACCGTATCCATTTATAGAATGATTTTCAATAAATGTTGAATTGAATATGGTAAGTTAAAATACCTAATTTTTAAATAAAAAAATGTTAATTCAAATATTAATTAAGATAGATTTACATTTCCAACATAAGATTACAAGCTCAAAGCACCTCCATAATAATTAGATGTGTTGTTAAAAAAAAGGCATCCTCCAATTTTGTTTATTGAATTTAGACTTGGGCTATCTATTTATATGACTCCACCTTAAACTCCCTTTTTTAAAAAAAATTTAAACTTAAAATTTTAAAATAATATTTTGAAAAAAATTACTTTTTAGCTTTAAAAGATTGCATCTTAAATATTAAAGGTAGAATTGATAAGTTACAAAGATGTCCCACTGCATTTATAAGTACATGAGATTTCAGAAAATAATGAATTGTCACTTATTTAAACATTACTAGAAGAAGAAATGATTAAAGAATTTTAGTTGTTAGGCAAAATAACTCCTTAGAGCATTCTTTTAGTTTAAGGTAGTTCATATTATTAAATGTCTAAGAAAGTAGAATTAATTAATTATAAAGACCCTAATTATATCATAATTAAGCTTTGAGAAAATAAAATGTTGCTAAATTTAGTATTCTAAACAATAACTTATGAATTATAAGAATCTATAAAAAGGGGAAATTATTTTTCCATATACTAGTTCCAGTAAGTACAATTTATTATGTTTACAGAGGAATTCTAAGAGAGTATCAAAGACTAATAAGTCTATAAGGAATATTATAAGTATTTTTCATTAGTTATTTTATTGATATTCTACAGAGTTAATTATGATGCTTATATTTTTATAAAGAACCCATGCTGCTATCCAGTAATATTGTTAATCATCCCTGAATCAAAAGTAGCTTAAATATTATTTACAGTCTATGTTTAATTACTTTATGTATAGTTTAAAATAAAAGAAGTTCAGATAAAAATTTAGCATTTAAAAGCTAATAAAAAATATTTATTAATCAATTTAAGTATTATAAAAAAAATAAATAAAAAATATTAGGGATTATATCCAAATAAAAAGTTATTTGGTGGTTTTCTATAATTTTAAAATTTTACCAAAATTTTTATAAAAATTAAAGTAAGTTTTAATTGATCCATATGTATTAATAATATAAGATAGTTAATTTTATCTTTTTGTTATCATAATTAAAACTATAAAAAAGTTTAAATTTGAAATAGAAAAGCAAAATTACCTAAAACTAATGACAGCAGAGGATTTATAAGAATTATACATATTTTAAAAGTTACAATTGAAGCATCTAAAGGTTAAGTTAGAGTTTGGGAGGTTGAAATAAAAAGCACTTCCATCTAATACTGAGTATCCATTAGTAAAATTTGAATTTTCTATTTAAGTATTTAATACTGACTTGAAAGATTCCATAAAAATAAAAGACCCTATTAAACTCACTGAGTTACTAAATGAACTATTTTAGATATTTAAATATTATATGTTTGCTCTAATGAATCCACCTTCATTTGTTATTTTTTATGTTACCTGATTTTGAATGAGCTAATCTTTTAACTAAAATGATGAGCGGTCAAATGTAGTACTAACTATTGTAAAATTAGTAGCTTATATGTAGATATTATTATATACAGAATTACTAGAGCAGTTTAGAAACTTTGATTATTAAATTATTGTTAATCCTTCCACATTTTAAATCCATAGAGAAGTCACAGAATAAATTAATACAGAGCTAGAAGAGATCAAATTATTTTACTAAAATGTACAATTTGAAATTAAAATAGTTGTATTTTTTCCTTAACCGATAATCAAAATAGGATTAACTTATGAGCTAGGTAAATTTTGTAATAATTGCAAATTTTAAAAAACTGAATTTGTGATATTTATTTCAGTATTCTAATATTATTGGTTACTAATTATTAAAAGTGATTAATCTTAGATTATTTTATCTTAAAAGTAAAGCTAATCTAAAGTAAGTTTATTAACCTCTTAGATGCTAAGACAACCTATGATCGTCTATCCTTGGTATAATTAATTTAATAAATCAAGGCAATTTAGTATTGATACATTAACTAAAGTAGAAAACTTCAATTCCATTAAAGAAATTTCGTAGTGGTTTGTGAAATTAACATTTTAAATGATAATATTTTTTATTTTTTCAGTTTGAATAAGGAAACTATTTTCAATTTATGAACTAATACCATTATCAGTCATTTTAAAAGAAGAATATTTGTTGCGATAAAAATTTGCATTTTAAAGGATAAAATTGTGATCAGGTTCAGATAGCTAAGAATATAATGCACTAAATAGAATCTGCTTAGAATTTATGAAGAAGGAATTAGATGTTAAATTTATATTCTTAAATGAAAAATAATATTGAGACTATTATAATGAAGGCATTGAAGAAAAAAGCTTTATATTTGTTAAATTATTATTAATGATGTTAACATCAGTTATATTAAATTATCCAGCAGAGAATAGAGATGAAATGCTAGAGATATTAAAATTACCAGTAGAGTTGTTATTTGTTATACTGATAGATCTGCCTGTAAAATAGATATCACTGGTTGAAGTCATAACCGTAAATCCTGGATTCAAAGAGCAGCTATCAATTGTAAAATTTTACATCAAGATCTTATTTTTAAAAATTGAATGAATATAATTTAAGCATAAAGTATTCTATTAAATAAATATTTTAAATGAACAAATGAATATAAAAAAGTGGAAATAATTAATTAATTACTTATGTTGAGTTATTGATCAAAAAAAGTTATGGCACTTAATTCAAAGTTTAGTTAAATAAATAATAGTTAAAGAGTTGTAAGTAGCTATTATCAATTTATATTAGATAGCAATTTTTATTGGAGCCTGTATTTTACTATTAAATTTATATGTTGTCGAGTATTGCAGATTGTAAATTTGATAAAATAATTCCACACAGTACCTGAGGCTAATTTAGCAGATTAAAAATAATTTATATATCTTTTAATTTCACTTAGTTGTAATTCTAAAAGCTAAGTTAATCAAAAGCCATAATTTAAGTTTAAACACCCTATTGACTACTTTGCATAGTTAATGAAATTAGGTTTTAAAAATCAATATTCAAAAATTAATCTTTTATCTGTAGAGTTTTTTATGATTAAAGATAAATATTTGCATTTATATTTACAACACCCTTAATTGTATCTCTGTAAAACTAAGCCTATTAATTTAATTTATAAATATGTTATTAATTTAAAATTTAATTATTATTATTATTACTTTAATCAAAATTTTATATAAACTCAATTTCTAAATATTTGAAAAAAAATCTTAAACATATTAAATCAATATTGAATATTTATTTATAAATTTTTTAAAAAAAATAACTGTATTAAAAATCTATAATTTTAAAAAATATGAGTATTTTTAAAATTGCTTTGAACATATTTAATACCTTAAGTAGAGCAGTAAATAGGTTATTTGAGCTGGTATAAGGTTAGTTTATATCACCAATACCATAAAATCCGTTGTTTTGCATAGTTTCGTTTACCTAAAAATAGAAGTCATATTAACAATTAAGGCAATTTTAAATATCTTATAAGCAAGAGTCAATCGGATAATAAACATCTCTATAGCTATGCTGAATCCATAAAGTTTTTGGTGAAACGAGTTATATGAAAATAATTTATTCCAATATTTTTGATGATCCAATTTACATAAAGAAATCAAATAAAGCAGTTTGATTGTTAAATCTATATAAATAGGCTTATCCATTATTACTACCAATAGCAATTAATCCAACCGATTCAAAAACATTTACAATACTACTCGATGATCTATCAGATTAACTTAGGGTTTAAACAGTTTTTTTTTGAAAGTCAATAACTTAAGTAAACAAATTCTGACATACTGTAATAAAATATTTATTAATAGAATTATCACTTTATACATTATGATATATATTTCCATAAAGACTATCATGACAGTTTTCTAATTTTTAATTTAAAATAAACAAAAAATCAGTAAATATCAACTTAAAATTAATAATAATTAACATTCAAATAAATAAATAAAGTAAGAAAAAAAGATAAAATTAAAAAAAATTATTTACATAATTCAATTTTCTCAAAACAATTTTGTGTCTATAGATCCCATCTAAATAACATGCCATTTCTTGTAACTCCAACAATTTCTTATTAATTTTTATCCATTAAAGAGGTTATTGCATACATAGATTCTAAGCTATTTTCACTTTACAGAGGAGATTTTAAGCATAATTGAGAATTGGAATCTTTAATATTAAAGACTAAAAATATGCAACCCAGAGTATTATAATTATAAGAAATGCCTATTGGTACCCAGACAGTATTATTATAGAAAAAAGGATCTAAATTATTAGTCATTGTATTTGCACGGATGTTGAATGGAGCTAAAGATATGTACTTAATTAAAGCAATGAATTAAAAATAATTTCTTTATTAATTATTTAAATTAAAGTGTATTTTACTTAGTAAGGCTATTAAATAGGGATTAGTTAAGTTGTTGCAATATAAATATTTGCAGTATCAGCAAATCCTCCTTTATTACAAACTAATACAAAGCATAATGGACAACCTTTAACTTAAAAAAAAGTTCCATGCTTCATAATGTAAGGAAATGGAGGGTCATTTTTTCTAAAAATTCTTCTGTTTTAATAGTTCCTATCAGCAAGGAAAAATCCATTTGGATTTATATAAACAAAGTATTCCTTATTTTATATTTCAACTATATATCTCCTGTTATTTGCATCAGAATAAAGCTCTTTTTAAGAAAAATAATTTTATGAGAAATTATTTTAATTTGTTTTAATAAATTAAATATTAAGTTTTTTAATTAATTAAATAATTAATAAATTACAGAGTATAGGCTAATATATTTATGTAGATGCGTCATAAATTAAAGCAGCAAATTCATATCCTATTAGGATTTTTGATAGGTTTGGCAAATAATACCATCCATAACCTCCTGGCTTGTTAGTGAAAGTCCATTTTATAAATGTAAGGTGTATATTATTATTTGCATCTACTTAGAAATCTATATATGCTTAAAATAAATTAGTAGTAAATGTCATTAAAAGAGCATCTTTAGAATTTGGATCACCTTTATTTTTAGGAATGATAAGAGTTTCATTTGCATAAATACTTGGATTATCAGGCATGAATTCTATTTAAATTTATAAATTTTTTGATATTATTAAATCATTTTCATTATTGAAATTTCAAAGCATTAATATAATTTATTACAGAGGGGTATTAAGTTTATAAAATAATAATTTTTTCTTTAAAGTTTGTTTTTTATATTATTTAAACAAACATTTTTAAAGATAATTTTTAGTTATAATACCCTCCCTTAATTAGATAAATTATAAAAAAATATTGAAATTTTTTTATTTTTAATAAAGGTTATTAAAAAAGAATCTAACTGTTTATATAGTAGCTAGAGAATATAAAAAATATTTACTGTGTTAGAAAACAGTAGGAAAATTTGGTTGCTAAGTATCACTAACTTAGATAAATTGCACATTTAAGTATTAACTTCCAACAATAATTAAATCATAGCTAGGATGTTTGGCTACAGTAAATTAATTATTCATCTAAAAAGGCAAATAAGCTGTATTTATAAAATTAATTGAACGAATAATAATTATAAAAATAAAAGATATTTTTCTAAATAAAATAATAGCATTTCTTATCTCATTTATCTTTTTATCTGAAATATTAAATTTTAAATATAAATTATCTTATTTCAAATTAAAAAATAATTATTAACTAACTAAGCTTTAACTTAATTATATTTAATTTATAAAAAAGAATAGAATCATGTTGTTATTGTTAGTTAATTCTACTTAATTAATCTTAATATATTTATTTATTTATTACTTTACGAAATGTATCCATAAAACAATTGATCTAATGTATCTAAATTTAAACTCCAAACCTAAACTCCCGAAGTTGTAACAACAAGTAAAGTATTCTATTACTTAAGATTCTTAAAATATAGGCTATACTGATTTACCATTAGCGAGTAATATTGGGAAGTATAGGCATCCATAATCATGATTATATCAAGAGTAAGTTAATTTATTAAAAATATCTGTGTTTCTGCAGTTAAAAGAGCAAATTAGGTATTAGGTATTAAATCTATATTTTAAATATACTAAAGAGCAATTTATTTTGTTGGAGTTAGATTGTAAGGGTTTGCAAGTAAAACTTGAGCATTATTCCAAAGAAGTATTTGGTCTATTTATTCAATATAGAGCATTTTTTGAATCTCAAATGAAGCTTTTTTTCATAATATAATTAATTATTGTGAGTGATGATTATGAATAATTTAATGTATTTACGTTTAATAGAATTTAGCACTTAAAATTCAGTTGACTATAGATCTACATAATAAATTATATTATTCTATTATGATACAGCGCTAGCAGTGTTAATAAGTACTATGCTTGTTTTAGGGATCAAAAGGAAATTAACAGGTGTGAATAATTACAAATGTGCGACACCTATTGAAATTAAAAAGTGATAAAAACACTGTTTTTTAATCAAATTTACTCTAAAAAACAACTAGATTTGGGCATTATATACATAACATGCTACTTAAATTTAAAAATATAACTCCTAAAACATAGAATAATTTGATTAATTTTATATTTTGACCATTAACTTTCATCATAAAACAAATTGTCTCTTTTTGATAAATTAACTATTTATTTATTTATTATCTTTTTAACAATATCTTACTAATTAAATTTCTAATAAATATTAGCCTTAATTTGCATATAAATTATTATGGGAAGTAATACAAACACATAATCTGATATAAAAACACAACAACAAATAATTTTGTAGAACAAATATTTTGCCAAAGGATTTAGTTAGATCTTAGATTTAATTTCAATTAAAATCTTGATCAGTATTTCATTTCTCATTAAATTTAATCTAAATGTTTTCAAAGCACTTTATTTTCATTTAAAAGATTTGTCAGCTAGATGAATAATTTGGAAATTGAGTAAATTATGTAAAAGAATAGTTAGATTTTCGAACAATATATTTATTTACAATAGATTCTTTTTAATTTTGACCTCAATTAATTACTAACCTTAATATTTTATTCAAATGAATTAAAGATTAAAATTAACATTTAATAATCACATAAAAATGTTTAATTGTTTTTCCTCAAACAAAATTAGTTTTTAAAATATCTTAATAATAATTTTATTAAAAATGACTTAATATCAATTAAATTTGAATGAGAATTAATAATTTATATAATAAATTTTACATTTGTAGATTTCAATTATCTTTTCATAAAAACTATTAAAAAGTATTTAAGTCTAATTTAAAAGTAAATTCTTTTTAATAGTAAAATACTCCTTACAATTAAGTGATTGATTTTTCAAATAGATTATATTAATTATGAAGAAATATGAATAAATAATTTTATTTATTATTCAAAATAAACTTTAATTTAACCATTTTTTCGTATTATTTTATTTGTTCAACATATCAAATATTTTTTATTAATTCACTAACTTCTCCTTTCTTGCTAAATCAAGCAAGTATTTGAGAAATTTCAAAACAAATAAAACACAAACTCCTGCAGTAAGAAGTATTTAGTTAGAATAAGTATATCTAAAAAATATTAAAGATTAATATAAAAGTAATTTCTTTATATAATAGTAAAATGATAGTGCAATTGAATGATTAATTTTTAATATAAATCATATTATTTTTTATCAAATATGAATAAATAATTTTATTTGATAATTTTTTATGATTATTTTAAACTTTCAACATATCAAATATTTTTAATTAATCAACTAATTTTTCTTTCTTGCTAAATAAAGCAAGCTTTTGAGAAGTTTCAAAACAAAGAAAGCTCAAATTCCTGCAGTAAGAAGCATTTAGTTATGTGTTAGTATATCGAACAAATATCAAAGATTAATTTAAAAGTAATGTCTTTTTATTTGTAAAATACTAGTTACAATTGAATGATTAATTTTTAATGTTAATCATATTTATTATAAACAAATATGAATAAATAATTATATTATATTTATTATTAAAAATAATTGTTTATTTAATTATTTTTAATATTACTTTATTCTTTCAAAATACCAAATATTTTTTCTTAATTAACTTCTTCTTTCTTGCTAAATAAATCAAGTTTTTGACAAGCTTCAAAGCAAAGAAAGTACAAACGCCAGCAGCAAGAAGCATTTAGAATAAGTAAACGGCTTATTCAATTTTGAATTAAGAAAAATCAAATTAAGAAAATATTTGCTTCACCCTCAAACCTACTTTACCATCTTTTAAAATAACTTTTTAACCAAAAATGTAAAACTAACTAGTAATATGATCTGAAGATATTTCAATTTTGGACTTAGATAGCTTTGAAGTAAAAAGTTTCAGCAGCGAAAAACTAGATAGAGCCAATTTGGTTAAAAAGCTATTTTGTGGAGAATAACTTGTTTGTATTTTATTTTCATAAATGAAATGGTCATCTAATTAAATCCTAATAATGTTTTCTGGAATTTCTACTTACCAAACGTCAAAACATTATTCATTAGGATCTGTTTCTTAGTTGCTCTAATTCTTGTTTTTAATATATTTATTAAAATAATAAGAGGTAGTTACTGCATAAATTATAGTATTCTATTCTAATTTGCTATTCAAATAAAGCCTAAAACCATTTTTTTATAAATTTTCAACATTTTCTCTTCCAAATTTTTCATCTTTTAAAGAATTTAGTCTTTATTATTTTAATTATTTGTATTTGCTGCTCAGGTAGAAAATAGAAAAGCCATCGAAAAGAATCTAAAAATACAACTAATTGAAGCTATCATAATCTCTATTCCATCTACCTAAATCAAATAAATTTCTAGCAAATTCTCTCAATTTTTCGCTTAAACCAGATAGCCTATCTCTAAATTTACTTTTGAATGCTTTATTTTCAGGATTCCCTTAATTTTCTTCGCCTTTTTATGAGGGGCCTTAATAAAGTTTACTTACATTAAAATTAGAATCACTTATATTAATAGAAGAATCTAGCTATGATGATGCTTTTGAAATTGAATCTTCATGCAGATTTAAACCATTTGTTGATTAAAGGAGCTTCTTTTCTTCATCCTGGTTGTTAATGTTGCTCAAAAATGTATAATTTGGTGCGTGCTCTAAAACTTAGCTTTACTTTTCAGCTTTTAAATCACTTTTAATTTCTTCGCTACTGCCACTGCTCATTCTATATTCTTGCTATACTTATTTAATATAATTTAAATATATTATAAAAATATTCTAAAAAAAGAAATCATAAATTTATTTTAACTAATTTACTCAATGATAAAAAAATAAATAATAACTTAAAAATTATTTTCATATAAAAGCTTTTTATAAATACATTTAAAATACTTTATAAATATTAATAAAATAATTTGAAAAATACCAATAATTAAAATAGTTGTTGCATAAAAAATATAAATAATTTATTTCAATGTTTTTATAAATAAAACTTAAAATAATTATGGAATATCAATATAAATTTAATTAGCAATCAAAACAAACTAATAAAAAATGATTTTTTATGAAAATTTAAAAAAATTAAAAAACATATTTTTTTTATAAATATTAACAAAATAACTTAAATATAAAAATATGATATTGCTTTAATTTAAAATATTATTGAATAAAATTAAAAATAATTAATTAATTTCCATATTTTTTACATAAAAATCCTAAGATAGTTATCAAGTAAATATACTTGAAACAGACAATTTCAGCTATAATAGGAATTAATACATATTTTATTTTTAAATATAATTTTTTTTTCAATTATGTTAAGGTATCAGCAATTATGAAGGGAGTATTCATTATTAAATAAGTAGTCTGAAACATATTTTCTCTGCGTCTTCATATCTAGAATTGAGATAAAAGCTCCTGATATAACAATCACAGTATGAGGAGTGACAAGGTTATCATCAAAAAATAAAATTTAGTTAACTATTAATACATTTTGTATGAGGTAAATTTGATAGTGTGCTTACTACGTTTTTTAATAAATAAATAATAAATAACTGATGAATTTCAAAAATCAAATTTATTTTAATAAGATTTTAGTGTTTTATTCAAAATAAATGAATTAAGAAATTTAAATTAAAATCATAAAATAGCTTTTTATTGGATCATTTAATTTGTTTGATAAATTTTATTTAAAAAAATTCTGTTCATTTATTAACCAAAAATTGGAAGAAAAAGAAAATAATAATGGAATAACAAAATACAATCTATTTTTAATTAAAAACAGTAAATATGTCTTATTCTTAAAAGATTTTAGCTCAAATTTTTATTTAAAATAATAAAAAGTTTCTAAGCTCGAATTTATCTTCACACAAATATGTCCACTTAAAACTCATGTAAATAGAATATATTAAATCACTTAAAGATAATTCATTAATTAATGCAGATTATTTGATTGACTGATAAATATTATTAGAAAGCTGATTTGTTAATTAATTAATTATTTTTTGATGTTATTAAAAAATTAAAAAACACATAAATAAAATAAAAGGGATTACAAAATTGATTCTAAAAAAGATGTAACTTAATTAGCATCTGCGTTGGCTAAGTGTTCTTAAGCTTCAAATATGACTATTGATCTTTAGTAAAAATAAATAATTTATATTTATAGTGTTAACAAACAAATCAGGAAGCTAAATTTTAAAGCAGACCAACAGAAATTGCTTGAATTCTATAAATGTTCTCTTCATTTATTATTCAATTTACTAATAAAATATTTTACAACTAATGTCATAAAAATTTATATGAATTTTATCATAACAATTTCTGTGTTTGAAATTTAGATTTTATCAGTTTATTCATCTTTAATTCTAATTATTAATAAAGCGAAAACAAAATTGGATAATTTGGAGGATCTGCTATAGGGACTGCTTTAGCAAGCTGCTTAAACCTATAAGCAATTCAATTAATCTTAATGTAAAAAATTTATTTCAATTAAAAAAACCAATTTTAATAAATTTTATTTTATATAAAAATTTTTTTTTTTAAATAATCAATTATTTTTTTATTTTGATAAATAATTTTGCTATTTATCAAAACAAAACAGATCTTGCAATTTGGGTGATTAAGGCGCAGTTGGATCTTGCTCTGGTCTAGAAAACTGTAAAAACTTAAAATAGCTAAATCTGAGTCTTTGGTAATAAATTATATATCAGATTATTTTTACTTATACCAAACTTTAGCTGCATGCTTTTATTAGTTATTCTAAAAAACAAAATAAATAAATAAATGAAGAATTAAATTTAACTTTTAAAAGTAATTTTCTAAAGATTGAAAATCATAGAAATTAATTAATATACTAAATCTATCTATTTATCTTTTATTTTTGATATGTCTCCAATTTTATGAAAATTTTTAATAGATTTTTTTAATTTAAATTAATATTAATTAATTCTTTTTTATTTTTTTAAGTTTGAAATATTTTAAATAAATTATTAACTTAATATTATACAAAGTCAAAATAAAATTGGTCCAAATGGTGCTTATAATTTGGGTTAAATATTATAAAAATGCAATAATTTATAAGATGTTGAAATAGATATGAGGTAAAATAGTTCTATTAATTACCTCTGATTATAATAATTTGAATAAAAGTAAAAACTAGATTGGTGATTTGGGTATTTCAAACTTTTGTTCTTCGTTACAGAGCTGCTAAAAGCTTTCTCGTTTGAGCATTTGGTTAAAGTTAAAATATTAATTTTTATTTTATAATGTTAAACTATTAATTTATTAATAAAAATAACAAGTATTCCTTATTTCAAAAAAAACATTTTTTAATTTAAAGATAAAATAGTTAAATTTGATTCTAATTAAAAATATTAGTTAAGGTAGTATTAGCTCATCAGGCATAAATAGTTTAAGTTAAGCTTTAGTTAATTATCCCAGCTTACAAATTCTATATCTTATTTTCAAGTATTAATTTAACTTATTACTTAAATATTTATTTTATTTTATTTATTATTATTTGCAAGTGAAAATAATATCACAGACTCTGGGGTAGATTAGTTGGGCTAAGCCTTACAAAATTGCTAAAATCTAATCTACTTATTTCTCCTATTAGAGTATTTCTATTTTATTTATTTTCAAATATTTATTTCAATAAAAATATTTTTATTATTCAAGAGTTTACTTTTACTTGTTATTTATTTTTTTAATAAAATCTTTTAAATTAATTTGTTACTTTTACCTAAATAAAAAAGAGAAAATTCAATTTACTCATAATGTCAATAAAGAATCTACAGGCGAATAAAAAAAGTTAAAAAATTAGTTAATTATTACATTTCTTTTGATAATGGTCACTGTTGTGAATGTGATTATGAGGAAGAAGCATATTACGAATGAATGAGTTAATTTAAACATTTCTAAAATAATTCCTATTTTAAAGGATTAAAATATTAATCATTTTTATTCATACTTATCTATTCAAAAATTAAAATATATTTAATTTTTTTGATTATTAAAAGTAAAAAACCTAAACAAATAAATAAACAACAAATTAATTATTTTTATATGAAATTTAAAATTAAAAAGAAATATTTTTTTAATTTTTAAAAATATAATTACAGTAAAACCTCGTTAACTTGCAACCCGCAAATTCAAAAATTTTCGATTTATCGAGGTTTAAAAACATGTAATTAAAAGTAAAATTTTTAAATTTATTATAAACCAAATAAATACAAATTACATTAAAATATATAAAATACTATTATATAAAATTATTTAATATCATATTAATATCTATTAAAAAGGTAAATAGTTATATGTATAATCTATCACTATTTATCTAACTATTACAAAAAAAAAAAATTTGCAATTAGCAATCAATATTTATTTTCTTCTAGTATAGATTTTAGTTGATTATAGTTATATTTATTTTTTATTTCTTCTGCTGCTTATTTATTTTATCACCTTTTGTCAAATGCTTATGACCTCATCCTCTTTATCTTCCACTACTTTTATAAATACTAATTCAGTTATTTATACAAAATTCAATTTTGCTTTTAATTAAATTATACATACTAACCAATGCATACATATGTGCAATAATTAGCATACTAATTACTTAGCCTACTTAAATAAAATATTGAAAAGTTAATTAATGAAAGACAGACCAAACCATTATTTATTTAAAATCAAATAATTTATCTATTTTTAGTTTTTTACATATTTATTTATTAAAACATTCAATTTAATTACTCAATTTTTAGTATAATTTTTTTGATTTTAAAAAAATTAATTAAATATTTTACTAATAAAAATATATTTATTTGTTTATTTCAAGTTTGAATAATATTATTTTATTTTGTAGTTTGTAAATTTTCTTCACCATTTTATTATATTTTGACTTCTTTTGATAAGATTTGAGACCATTTAATTTTGAATGAACAGAAAATAGTAATTATTAGTGCTATAATTAACTAAATTAAATAAATGTAGAAAATATTGTTAAATCCTATTTATTCCTTTAGTTTCAGGACCAAGAAAAACTGAATTAAATTTGCTATGCTAAATCCATACCAATAAGACCCAAAAAGCTAAGAACCTACTTTAACTCCATTAATCTAAGCTGAAAAAACAGGGAGCATAGCCAAAAAACCTCCGAAACATGCATTAACTATAAATACCCAAACAGCAAAGAATTCCTTACTTTAATCTGTAGCTTAAAAAGATGAGCATACGATAATTTAAATGCAAACTAATGCAGCAAGAACTTTTTTAAATTAAAATTTATCTAACAAAGTAGCCCAAAAAGGTCTTGAAATACCATTAGCTATGCCTCCAAGCGAGCCTACTAAAGTCTAAAAACTATCTGTTTTGAACCCATAATCTTTTGCTACAGATTTGTAGTTTCCATTGATCAAAGCTCCAAATCCTAGGCAAAGAATACAAAGGAAAATAGACAAATAAAATTTAGGCTATTTGAGTGCAGCCAAAACTGATGGTGCTCCTTGTTTATCCAACAGATCAAGCTACGCTTATTCCTATTAAGTGATTTAAAGGGCTTTTTCCAGAACTTATTCTTTGTTTTCTAGATCTTATTCAATTTCGTTTAGCTTTTAATCAGGCAAGGTAACAAAAAAATTAACATGCATCTCTTTATTATGATTCTGACCTTCCAAATCTATTAACTCTGCTATTTTACTGAATCCATACTCTTTTTTTAATGAAGATGAGCTTACCAATTTGTGAACTTACTATGTTTTTTCAATTATAATATCCTAATTTATGCTAGGAAGTATAGCTTACTCATCAATTTTATGAGTAATTTAAATTTAATTTTATAATATTATTTCTTCCTTCTCAGTTATTTTTAACTATTTTGTAATAATTTCTTAACTTTTTCTGAGTTGATCTAGCTTATTAATTGGGTCTAATTTCTAATCTTCACAGCAATCAGTTTACTAATTTAATTCTTATTATTAGTTTTTAAACTATTCACTTTGAATTTCTTTTATTTCCTTTTGAATAAAATCAAAATGATTTTGGAAATACTTTTTTTCTTTCTGTTTCTTTTCTATTTCTTTTTTAATTTACTTTTCTTCTTCTCCAATTTAATTTGGATGGTAGCAGACCATTTATGATGCAACAACCGACACACTTAGGAAAATGTAACCTATTTTTCTGAGAGATTCAGGTACATTTTAAGCAACTGAAATGGAATCCCCATCAAAATAAGAATATCCATCGCTGTTAGAGTTTTATTGCAGTCCATCAGGATTGACAAACTAAGGAAATATCAATCCGAAAATGAAAGAACATAGCGCAAATCCGCAGGTATTGATGCCAGATACTAAGCCTTTATTATTAGGAAAATGTAAGTATCCCATATAGATAGGAACGAAATAAATAGTGCCTGCAGCCAACCCATTTAAAACCCCATAAACAATAGCAAATTAGTAAAATTTTTGAGTGTAGCTTGAAAGAATTACCATCAATGAGGCTATCACAGAACTTATCAGCAAACTAATTCTCGCTTATCCAAAAAATTTAATAGCTTTAATTCCTAAAGGAATACCAGTGGCTAAAGACGCGGTCATCAAAGGAAAAACTGCTCCTCCAACACTAAGAGATAAATCGTGATCTTCTTTCTACCTGAAATAAGATGTAACATAAACATTTATTGATCCCCATAAAAAGATTGAGCCTGTCATAAGCATGACAAAAAATCCTCCTATTAGAGTTAAAACTCCTTTAGTTTTCATACTTAAAGAAAACATCAAACTATTTATATTTGTTATAGTAATCTTTTTGTAAATGTTAATTTAAAAAAATCTATACATTTAATTAGATAGAATACAATCTGGATTTGAAATGATAGAAGTATACTATACTTATTATTATAATAATTATGTATGGAGCTAAAATCTCAAAGGCAAATTGAATAATAATACTAAGAATGATTTGATTAACTATTAAACTAAATTTGATGGTCTTTGGTGATAGATAATATTAGTAATATTAATTATCTTCTATTACAAAATTTACAATTCATTAATAAATTTAATTATTGAATGAATAGCTAGACTTAGATTGCTAATTCAATAGATAAAGAAAAACTCCTCTACTATTTATAGAATTTGTAGATTTCTCATAGAAAATATTTTAACAATTTATAATATAACTTTAAAATTTATATGTAAAAACTCCTTAACGTTAATACTTGCTATGTATTTTAATATTTAAAAATAGCTTTGTAAAATTAAAAGAAGAAAACTCGCTGGCCAGGTATTCTTTTTAAAATCTATTGGCTTAATTAAATTTTATTAAGACCAATAATACATTAAGGTGTTTATTTGGAATCTCTTTATCCTTAATTTCTAAAATTTAATTACTTTTCTATATAAATTAATACTAATAAAAACTGTATTAAATTCAAATAGATTAGTCCGGTATTTCTAAATTCATTGAATTATTCCAAATGAAAAAATTCTGATTCTTTATTTACAATTTCATCATTTTACCAAGCTATCTTTCATATATTTAGTCATCATAATAACAAATTAATAGGATAACAAGTGAAACTCAAAAAACTTTTATTGCTAAAGTTGATACAATGGATAAACCAAGATTTCACCAAAAAGCGCTATGAATTTTATATTGCTATTATATTAATTTTAAAATTAGCTAATTTTTAATTTTTTTTTAGATATAGAATAGCTTATTTTTTATTTTTTAAATAATCCTTTTGAGCTTGAGTTAGTTACTTATTTATTTTATAATATTTCTTTTAAGTATTACTAAAAAGTTTTCTTTAATAATTAAAATTATTAAATTAATAAGCGAATTTCTAGAAAATGCATTTTTATTGAATATTTTAATTAACTTTAACATGCGTGTTATTGGTTTTTTAATTCTTAATTGATAAAAAAAACAATTTAAAAATTACTTTGGAAAATATTGAATTGCTCATAATTAATTAAAAAATATTATCTAAATTAAAATTATTTAATAAAAAATTTATTAACTAAACAAAAATTATTTTTAATTAATTAATACAGGTTTTTATTAAATTTATCTAATTTTTTATTTAAGATTTGATACAATCAATCAATTAAAAAAAAGTAAAATTTGATTTCTCCCTAAGGTCTTATTTAAATCATAGTATCTAATTAATTATGATAAATAAAAAAAAAGAAGAAATATGATTGATGGATAAAATTTAAGATGAAAATATAAATAGCATATAAAAGCTTGGCATTTATATAATTTAATAAGATATAATATAAAACTAAACGTTTCAAATTATTTGATCATTTTTGGAGAAACCTTAGGGTTTACTTAAGAGGAATTAATTAATTTATTTAAGTAAATTTAATTTTTTATTTTTATTAAATAATTTATTTACTAACAAAAATATTAATGATATCTATTTTTATTTTAGGTTAAAAAAACTTTTTCAAAATATTTTTTAATAAAAAAACATTTAATAATTTTTCATCCTTTTTTAGCCACTTGTTTATCATTCAAATTCTGTTTTAAAGACAACTAATCTTTTTGATTTAAGACACTTGCTTATTACTTTGAATTCTTATGATTTATCCATTGACCTAAAAATTTTATAATAAATTTTTGTAAATTTTAAATATCAAAACATAATAAACTTTTATTTTAAAAATTATTTCTTAAATTAATAAATAAAATAGCATTAGTGGAATAAAAAAGATAAAAAAATAAATTAAATAAAATCTATCAAATAAATTCAAAGAGCTTTTTTGTTTTATATTGATTTTTATAATTAAAAATATCAAAATTCAAAATAAATTAACTATTTTTACTCTAAGAAAAGTGTCAAATTTGAGAGATTAATGCAATTTGCTAAAGCAGAACCTAAGCCAGATGTACCTTCATCACCAATTACATTACAACTTTTTAAATATTGAAGAAAAAATATATCATTAAATAGTTAATTAGAAGTTAAAAAAATGAAGAAAAAATATGAAATAATAAGATTAATTAATTAATAATAAAAGTAAAAGTTGAAAATAAAATAATGAGTTAAATTAACAAACAAAATACAAAAAAAAGCAAGCACAATAAAAGAAAAAGAAAAAAGAGCTTTAATGTTTTTAATTTGTTTTTATTATTCAAAATATCACACACCAAAATAAATAAACTGTTTTTACGAAAGGTTAAGTGTCAAATTTGAGAGATTAATGAAATTTGCTAAAGCAGAACCTAAGCCTGATGTACCTTCATCTTCAATATTAGTAAACCTTTTTAAATATTGGAGAAAAAATATATCTTTAAATAGTTAATTAGAAGTTAAAAAAATGAAGAAAAAATATGAAATAGTAAGATTAATTAATTAATAATAAACGTAAAAGTTGAAAATAAAATGATTAGTTAAATTAACAAAGAAAGAACAAAAAAAACAAGCATATTGATTTTACATTTTATTTTTATCAAATTTTCAGGCTCTTTAAAAAGAGAGGAAACTGGGTGTATGCAAAATAATCAAAAAAAAAACAAAAAAAAAACTAGACTTAAATTTATCTTTAGTCTTTTCATTATTAATTATGAGAACGAAAATGATTGTACACCTTATAAATACATAATTAAATATATATATACACATTAAAAATAAAATTAATTTTAAGTCGTATTCTGAGTGCATTTATATGTGCGAGTATTTCTATTCTATCACCAATTGAATTGCAACTTTTTAAATATTGAAGAAAAAATATATCAATAAATAGTTAATTAGAAGTTAAAAAAATGAAGAAAAAATATGAAATAATAAATAAGATTAATTAATTAATAAAAATAGCAAAAGCTGAAAATAAAATAATTAGTTAAATTAACTAACAAAGAACAAAAAAAAACAAGCTCAATAAAAAGAAAAAGAAAAAACAGCTTTAATTTTTTTAACTTGTTTTTTTAATTAAAAATATCACAATCCAAAACAAATAAACTGTTTTTACTTAAGGTCAAGTGTCAAATTTGAAAGATTAATGCAATTTGCTAAAGCAGAACCTAAGCCTGATGCACCCATCGCACCAATTTAATTGGACCTTTTTAAATATTGAAGAAAAAATATATTATTAAATAGTTAATTAGAAGTTAAAAAAATGAAGAAAAAATATGAAATAATAAATAAGATTAATTAATTAATAAATAATAAAAGCAAAAATTGGAAATAAAATGATGAGTTAAATTAACAAAGAAAGAAAAAACAAAAAAAGCAAGCTCAATAAAAAGAAAAAGAAAAAAGAGTTTTATTGTTTTTAATTAATTTTTAAAATTAAAAATATCATAATCCAAAACAAATAAGCTGTTTTTACATAACGCAAAGTGTCAAATTTGAGAGATTAATGCAATTTGCTAAAGCAGAACCTAAGCCTGATGCACCTTAACGGTCTGCCGGTCCGCCGGTCTGCCGGTCAGCCGGCATCTGGGGCATATTCTTGATATCACATATATATAAAAATAATAATTTTTAATTTTTAATATTTAATAAAATAAATAAAATTTATATTATCATAAAAAGAAAAATTTAATTTAAGATGTATTCTGAGTGCATTTATATGTGCGAGTATTTCTATTCTATTCTATAACCAATTTTATTGTTACTTTTTAAATATTGAAGAAAAAATATATCATTAAATAGTTAATTAGAAGTTAAAAAAATGAAGAAAAAATATGAAATAATAAATAAGATTAATTAATTAATAAAAATAGCAAAAGCTGAAAATAAAATAATTAGTTAAATTAACAAACAAAGAACAAAAAAAACAAACTCAATAAAAAGAAAAAGAAAAAAGAGCTTTAATGTTTTTAACTTGTTTTTTTAATTAAAAATATCACAATCCAAAACAAATAAACGGTTTTTACTTAAGGTCAAGTGTCAAATTTGAAAGATTAATGCAATTTGCTAAAGCAGAACCTAAGCCTGATGCACCCATCGCACGAATTTAATTGGACCTTTTTAAATATTGAAGAAAAAATATATTATTAAATAGTTAATTAGAAGTTAAAAAAATGAAGAAAAAATATGAAATAATAAATAAGATTAATTAATTAATAAATAATAAAAGCAAAAATTGGAAATAAAATGATGAGTTAAATTAACAAAGAAAGAACAAAAAAAAGCAAGCTCAATAAAAAGAAAAAGAAAAAAGAGCTTTATTGTTTTTAATTAATTTTTATAATTAAAAATATCACAATTTAAAACAAATAAGCTGTTTTTACACAAGGCAAAGTGTCAAATTTGAGAGATTAATGCAATTTGCTAAAGCAGAACTTAAGCCTAATGTAACTTAATCACCAATTTAATTCTCACTTTTTAAATATTGAAGAAAAAATATATTATTAAATAGTTAATTAGAAGTTAAAAAAATGAAGAAGAATATGAAATAATAAGATTAATTAATTAATAATAAAAGCAAAAGTTGAAAATAAAATGATGAGTTGTTAAATTAATAAAGAAAAAATAAAAAAAGCAAGCTCAATAAAAACTAAAAAAGTAAAAAGAGCTTTATTGTTTTTAATTAGTTTTATAATTAAAAATATCACAATCCAAAACAAATAAACTGTTTTTACGAAAGGTTAAATGTCAAATTTGAAAGATTAATGCAATTTGCTAAAGCAGAACCTAAGCTTGATGCATCCTTTGCGCCAATTAAATTAGATCTTTTTAAATATTGAAGAAAAAGTAAATAATAAAATAGAGTAAGTTGCCATACAAATTTACAAAATAGCGAGTTTTATATACCGGTTTTTACATTTTATTAAATTAAAATTTTAAATATTTTTTTCGAATTTTTTTTCTTTTGAGTTGTAAAATTTTTCAAAAAAATGATATGTTATAAGAATATACAGACAGTATGTATGGTATGAAAATATTATTTGAAATTTTACATTTTGTAAATTTAAAGTTTTCTAAAAACTAAAAAATAAAGCTGTTTAAAGGTAATTAATTAAGCTTTATTTATTATTTTATTAAGATATATTACATTTTGCCTTTTGTAAATTAAATAAATAGGCATTTCACTGTAGTTAATTAGAAGGAAAAAATATGAAATAATAAGATTAATTAATAATTAATAAAATTAACAAAGAATGAAAAAAAATGAAATCAAAATAAAAAGAAAAAGGAAAATAAATAAATAAATAAAATAAATTAAAAGAACTTTAATATTTTAAATTAACTTTTATAATTAAAAATATTACAATCCAAAACTAATAAACTGTTTTTATTAAGTGTAAGTTTTAATACCAAAAATAAAAAAAAAATATCAAATAATAAAAAATGAATAATAAACAATTAATTAAAAATTTAATTGAAAATTAAGTTAAAATAGCTAAAAAATGTTTGTTTTAATAAGAATCAATTATTTAATAATAATGATAATTTCAAAAACAAAAATTATTTATTTAAATAAATTCAAAGTTAAATATATAAAAAATATTAGTAATAAAAAAATAATATTTATAAATAAAATATACTCGAGATCAATATGGAGAATCTAATGAGATAAAAGTGAAGAGCTTAAAAACTTTTTTTATTATTTTTTTTAAATTTAAAGGTAATTAATAAAAAAATAAATAATTACTTCTTCTAATTTATTATATTTTTTAATCTATTATATCATTTATTTTATTTTTCGAAAATATTGAATAGCAATTTACTGAATTTAATTAATTAATTAATTAATAATAAATGGATAAAAAGAACAAATAAAATATAATAACGAATTTTCAAATATTAATTAATTAATAAATTTGGTTTTATGAAGAGATATCACATAAAAATTAATTTAACATTCATTATTTATTCTTAATATTTGTATTTGAAACACATACTTAAAAATAAATATAGTAGGAATTAGAAATGACCAGTTAGTCATATTTGAAGCCATTCAAGTAATTTATTAATTAATATTCTAAAATTTTATAAAAATAATATTTATAAGTAGATTTTTCTGTTTTAGCTCTGTAATTAATAATAGGAATATTTATAATATCTCTAATTATTCTCTAATCACATTAGTTTTTTTTTGCAAGCACATTTTATTTAGGTATATATATATATATATTGCATCCACAAAATAAGTGCATTTAATACCAACTTAAATAACTTTTTAAAATTTATAAAAATTAATCATTTTTTCTTGTAATTTATTATTTACTATAATTTTTTACTATATTTTACTCAAATATCATTTTATAGCCAAATATTTAAAAATTATACTGATATATATTAATTTGTTTTACCTTTTTCATGATGATTATTTAATTTAAAAATTGCAAATAATTTAGTGTTGATTCAAAATTTTATAAAAATAAATGTCGAATGAAATACGAAAATGAATTTATTAAAAGTAAAACTTTTATCAGTGTTTGCTAAAATTATTAAGAAATATAAATTCGATATGCTTGATGTTCTAGATTTAAAATAATAATCAATTATATTTTCTTTACTATATATAAATGAGCAAAAAAAGAAAATGTAACAGACTTAGTTTTTAAAAGCTGCATTACTCAAAAAAAAAAAATATAATTAAAAAGATCCCAAATTTCATTTATTATCGATAATCATAAACTCATTTTAATTTAAAACACAATTTTAGAAAATAAATTTATACAAATTAAATCATTTCTCTGCTTATAACTATCAACTCTTAAATTTTGGAAAAAATTCCTTTTGAAAAACTCTATTTCAAGATTTCAAAAAGGAAAAAGATCAAGAAATACAAGGATCAAAAATTATATTTAAATATTAATCTAATTAAATATATATGAAAATCTTTTATAAATTTGCATTTTGAATTTAAAAAAATGATGTCCTTTATATTGTTTTATATTTGCATTGATTTTTAAAAAGGAAAAATTTGTAAATCAAAGTGTAAATTTACTCATGTAAACGGAATGATTTATTAATTCGATTTTTTAGATTTGATTACTCACTTTCATTTCAAATTTTTTTCAAAAATGTGGTTATTTTTTAATTAAGATTTCAATAGATTTATAGAAAAGATTATTAATTAAAACTTCTCAAAGGGAAACTTTGAGTAAGTATAGCACAATAAGTGCTCTTTTTAAATATTGAATGAATATTCTATGAAAATCATTGAGGCTTTTCTAATGCTTTTATTTTGTCTTAGGCTTAAAATTGTAATTATTTCTTTTTCTAAGCACATAAAACTAATAAAGATTTAAAAAATTATAATCCGCATTATCCTAAAATAAACAAAAAATATATTTAAAATTATTCTTTTTTTATTCAGAGACAATAAAAATGATTAAAAAATCATCAACCATAAAGATAAAAGGAATTTTGACTATAATAGCAGGATTCCTACTCAATATTACTAATGGCTCGATATTTTTATGGGGAACTATTAATATCTACATAACATCTTACTTTAGGTAGAAAAATGATCCAGATTTATCTCTCAGTATAGGAGGAGCTATATTTCCTCTTATGACAGCAGCTTTTGCTACAGGAGTGCCTTTAGGAATTAAAGGCATTAAGATTTTTGGATAAGCTAGATATATATTGCTAATAAGCTCAGCTATTTCCTCTCTTTTGGTTATTTTTTCTAGTTACGCCCAGAAATTTTATTAATTTGCAATTATCTATGGAGTTTTAAATGGCTTGGCTGCAGGGTGCATTTGTTTTATTCCTATCTATATGGGATATTTGCACTTTCCTAATAACAAAGGACTTATCTCTGGAATTAATACATGTGGATTCTCGTTTTGCTCATTTTTATTTGGATTGTTGTTTACTAAACTAGTCAATCCTGATGGACTTTTACAGAATTCAAATCCTGACGGATATTCATACTTTGATGGTGATTCCATTTCTGTAGCGTAAAATGTGCCTGAAGCTCTAAGAACAATTGGATACATATTTTTGAGTGTTTCGATTTGTGCTTCCTTTCTCGTATTTTATCATCCTAATTAAATTGGAGAAGAAGAAAAAAGACTTAAAAAATAGCTTTAATTAGCTTAACAAGAAAAGAAGCATTTATAAGATAACTTGATTTCAATAGAATAGGAGATAAAATAAGTTGAATCAAATAATGAATAAAATATAAAATAATTTTAAGATCAATAAGCTTAGCTTTAAAATTACTAATAACATAGTTAACACTGTTAAGAGATGCTGATACACAATCAATAAATTATTGTCTAAAAGATAAGAATATCAGAAATTGAGGAATAAGTTCTACAAGAAAAGATAGAAATATCTCATAAAAAAGATGAATAAACAAGTTAAGCATACGCTAATTAAATAATTATTGACGAAATTCAATGCAATGTAGAATATCCTACTAATGTAAGAGACAAGAAAACTAGTGTAGAAAAGGATTTTTAAAAGATGCTTGAGCAGATGTAAAACGAGCATTAAAATCATAATAAGGAATAACATATCAATGTAAATGTGCAAGAAAATGAGATAAATGCATAAACTGCCTCAGAAGACTTAGCAAAAAAAGAAGAACAAATCAAAGAAGAATTAAAAATGGCTAAAAAGTAATAAGAAGAAATAGACGAACTTGACAAATTAGGAGCGCCTAACATTTTAACAGCATTAAAATAGCCAAAATTCTACTTGTCTATATTTTTAGCTATTCTTTGTCTTAGTTTTGGATCATTAATTAATGCAAACTATAAATCAATAGCCAAAGATTATGGATTCAAAAGTGACAGTTTTCAAGCAATAGTTGGTTCTCTAGCTGGTATAGCAAATGGAATATCAAGACCTATTTGGGCAGGTTTGTTAGATAAATTCAAATACAAGAACTTGTTAATACTAGTTATTTGCTTATAGATAGCTACATGCTTATCTCTCCAAGCTACTAATCAAAGTATGGTGTTTTTTGCTGTTTGGGTTTTTTTGATATAATTTTTCTATGGAGGAGTCTTGGGAATGTTACCTGCATTTTCTGCTTAACTAAACGGTGTAAAAATAGGTTCATAGCTATTTGGTTTCTACTTTTATGGATTCAGCATTGCAAATCTGATTTAATTTATATTAGTTTTAGAGTTAAAAAAAGAGATAGGTTTCAATAATATCTTTTACATTTGCTTAGGTCAACTAGTTTTGGCACTAATAATAATTAATTACTTTTAATTTAAAATAAAATGGTCAAAATACTATTTAGTATAGAAGCAAGAGACATTGAAAACTTAATCAAATGAAAACATTTAAATAAATACTATAAGCAGCGAAATAAATTAATTAAAATTAGTTGTAACAAGCACATAATGAAATTAAGAAATAAATGCATAATAAATAGCTTCAATTTAAATAAGAAATATTTATTTGTAATAAATTTTATATTAATGTCAAATATTTATTTTATTATATAAAAATATGCTAAAAAATACTTATAAATATAAAATTTTAAAGTTGTTTTAATTACTTAAAGCTTTAAATCTAAAATTTGCTATAAACCAACTCAATCAAATTAATTAATTAATTGATTCATTTTTTTAAATAAATATTTTATTCTGATCCATTTTTGGTAGAGTAATTTTTTTAAAATGCTACTTTAGTAAATAAATCACTTATTTTTTCATATGCTATTTTTTATGTTTTATTTTATTAAAATTTAATGAAATAATATTTATTTAATTTTATTCATTAATTTCAATCTAAAAATCATTTTTATTTCAAAACTTAAAAAATATTAACAAAATAACAATTTTAATTTTTCTAAAAAAAATAAATTAATTATCAAAATAATCTTTTTGATTATTTTTTATATTTTCTATTTCAAAAAAAAATAAATTATTTTACAATTAAATTTTATTTATTTCAAAATTTATAATCTTTGTTTTGCTTTTTTACTTTGCATTAGTAATATAGCATTTAATATCTTTTTCTATCACTCGATTTGACTAATTAATTAAAAGTGATGTATTAAAAAATAAAATAAAAGTGCTGCAAGAAATTATCATATTTTCAGAGTAACTTGTATGATACTTAATTAGCAAATAGAAGACATAATCTTTGAATTAAAAATACGTAATTTGTTATCGATTTTATTAATTTTGACTAGAAATTAATTAATATTTTCTAATTTATATTAAAAGATTATTGAAGTAAAAATATCAAAGAAAGCTTAATGAGAGGGAGGGAGGGAGGTAGCTAACTTCTTACATTTAAAAAAAATGAATATTTAGTTTGTTAATGAAAGAAAACTTGCTTTCTATTATAATTAAAAAAAATTGTATATCCTGGTTTAATTTGCTAAAATAAAGAGATTTTGGAGAAGTGTATTTATTAATGTAAATTTAGTTTTGCAAAGAAATAGATTTTATATATCTTAGATTTCATTTATGATTAATAAATCTATTCTAAAAAGGAATTTGATTACATATTAATTAAAGCATGTCATTTGAATAAATTTATAGAAAGCATAATTAATTAAGAAATTTCAAAGAAAAGCATTTATGTAATTATAAAGAAATAAGTATGATTTTTAATTATTAGGTGAACGTTCTAACAATATCAATTAATTAAGTAATTGATTTTTATTTAATTTATGATTTTATTTTATCTTTGGTTTAAATAATGCATGCATAGAGAATGATTTCAAAATAAATATATAATTTCATTTATTTCAGTTAAAAATTAATAATAAAAATAAACAAAATAATTTTCATAATATCTTTTTTACTGCTTTTATTTAAAAAAGATTCTAATGGTAAAGTGTATGATGTCTAGTAATAGGATAAAAGGAATTTTGACTATTATTGCAGGTTTTGTCCTTAATCTTACTAGTGGCTCTATGTTTTTATGGGGAACACTCAATATCTATATAACCTCTTATTTTAGATAGAAGGATGATCCTGATTTATCACTCAGTATCGGAGGAGCTATATTTCCCGTCATGACTGCTTCTTTTGCTACAGGAATACCTTTAGGAATTAAGTGTATTCAATTACTAGGTCAAGCTCGATACGTTTTATTTATAAGTTCTGTTATTGCCTCATTAACAGTAATTCTCTCAAGCTATGCAGAGAAATTTTATTAATTTGCAATTATCTATGGTGTAATAAATGGTATAGCTTCTGGTTGTATATGTATTGTCCCCATTTACATGGGATATCTTTATTATCCTAACTACAGAGGACTTGTTTCTGGAATAAACACATGTGGATGTGCTCTTTGTTCTTTCTTGTTTGGTATACTTTTCACTCAATTAGTCAATCCTGATGGACTTTTGTAGAATTCAAACTCTGATGGATATTCGTATTTTGATGGCGACTCCATTTCAGTAGCTTAAAATGTGCCTGAAACTCTTAGAAAAATTGGGTACATTTTTTTGAGTGTTTCTGTATGTGCATCATTTCTTGTATTTTATCATCCTAATTAAATCGGAGAAGAAGAAAAAAGGCTGAAAAAATAGCTCTAATTAAAATAACAAGAAAAAAAGCAATTTTAAGAAAACCTTTAAACAATAGAATAAGAAATATAATAAATTGAATTAACAATTAACAATGAATAAAATTAAAAATAATTTTAAGAGGAACAAGTTTAACCTTTAAGAAATCCAAAATTCAATCGACACTCATAAGAAATACTGAGATAAAGCAAGCAAATAATTGTTTAAAAGATCAGAATTTCAGAAATTGAGTAACAAGTTCTACAAGAAAAGATAGAGATTTCTCATAAAAAAGACGAATAAACAGGATTAGTTTACGTTAACAAAGTTATAATAGATGAAATTAAGGAGAATTAGGATAAAGTTAATGTAACAAAAAACAAACAGTTCTCTGAAAAAGACTTTTTAAGAATACTCCAAAGAATACAATCAAATGAAGACTAAAGTTATAATAAAGAATAGCATATTAATTAGTATGTGTAGGATGATGATTTAAATAAAGAACTAACAGAGGAAGAATTAGCAAAAAAAGAAGAGTAAATTAAAGAAGAGTTGGAAAATACAAAGAAAAACTAAGAGGAAATAGATGAACTTGATAAGTTAGGAGCTCCTAGCATTAAAATAGCCTTGAAGTAACCCAAATTCTACTTGTCTATTTTATTAGCTATTCTTTGTCTTGGTTTTGGATCACTAATCAATGCAAACTATAAATCGATAGCAAAAGATTAAGGATTTGAAAGTGACAGCTTTTAAACTCTAGTAGGCTCTTTAGCTGGTCTCGCTAACGGAATATCAAGACCTGTGTGGTCAGGTTTATTAGATAAGTTCAAATACAAACACTTACTAATAGTTGCTCTATCTATATAAATAGTAACTAGTTTATCTCTTCAAGCAACTAATCAAAGTGAGGCATTTTTCGCTATTTGGATTTTTATAATTCACTTTTGCTTAGGAGGAGTCTTGGGTATGTTACCTGTATTTTCTGCGTAACTGAATGGAGTTAAAATAGGTTCATAACTCTATGGTTTTTACTTTTACGGATTCAGTATAGCAAATTTCGTTTAGTTTATCATAGTGTTGGAATTAAAAAAGGAAATAGGCTTCAATAATATATTTTATATTTTCTTCGCCTAATTATTTTTGGCATTCATAATAATAATCTGCTTTTAATTCAAAATAAAGTGGTCAAAATATTACATGGCAAAGAAAGAAGAAACACTCAATACATAATCTAATGAAAATATTCCAAACAATGTCATTAATAGTGAATAAAATTAATTAAATTTTATAGTTACTAATTAAGAATGAAATTAATTAACTAACAAACAAACAAACAAACAAATAATATTTATTATTTTAATAAACAATTTTTCAATATATATGATAATATTTAAATAAATAGCAAAATTAATTGACCATTAATAAAATTATTTATTATATTTTACTTTACTTTATTTCTTGTAAATATCTGTTAACTAATCTTCTAGAAAAATACCTTTTTAAATAATTTCTTACAATTTTATCTTCTAAATTATTAAGAAATTGATAGTGACTAACTAACTAACTAACTAAATAACTAAAAAATATAATTATGTTACTACTCCTCAATAACATATTTTATAAGTATTAAAAAATAAAATGAAAGAATAGTAGATTAGAAAATACGCTATTATTTATTTATGTTATTTATCATATTTTGTATTAATTTTTATGATAGAACTTTTATAAAATTTAAAAAACTTTATTCAGAATTAGATTTCTACTTTAACAATTTGCATCTATTTCTATCTATTTATTTTTTATCCTCCTAAAACACTTAATTACTTTTAATTTTTGAAAGAAAGATTTCTAATAAGAATAACTTGTAAATTTAATCAAATAATCTAGGCCGTTCTAATTGTTTGGTTTCTTAGATTTAATTACTCTTTTATAAGTCTATTTTCAAAGTATATTTGGTTATACTTTAATTAATTCATAAGAATCCTATCAAAAATTATTAAAAAATAGATAGATTATTCATATAAAATCAAATCAAGAAAAATAGATTGATTCGTTTAATGTAAGTAATATGCAATAACTTTTTATTTTAATTCAATCCAAAAATGTTCTAACAAAATTAATTTTTTTATTCAGACATGTTTCAGTGTTTACTGCATTTAGTATAATTGTGTTATAGCTTCATTAAAAAATATAAATTAAACTTTATGATAAGCTTTTCAAAATTATTTTTACTTATCGCTTAAAATAGATATAAAATAGTAAATAATAATCGAACAAATATAATAAATGTATTATTATTATTCTAATGCCAATATTTTTTTAATTAATAAATGAAATTTTGTTTTTACTTAAAGAACTAAAACTCTACTTAAAATCATAAACTAATAGGGAAAAGACCATAAAAGATTATTCATATGTCTTATATTAATATATTTCCTCTAAATTTCTATATTTTTGATACCTTTAATAGTAAAGAATAATAAATTCTTTAAAAAAATAAATACAAAATAATTTGTTATTATAAATTTATTAGAAAGAGCATTTCTTATGATACAAAAAAATAATAATTTATTATTACTTATGGAGCTAATGATATATATATCCAATATATTTATTTTATTTTCTACGATATAAGATAATTACAAATTTAAACATAGCAAGAATTATTTTATGATTTGAAGTGTATGAACTGCTATTGCTTCCATTCTTAATTAGCTACCTAAAAAATGTTATGATAAAATAATAATAAAATCAATTGAATTGAATAAATGGTGTTGATATAAAAATGATATTTTTTACTCAAAAAGAATCATATCAAAGTTAATAAGACTGTTATCTTTTAGTACACCTATTTTTGCTTTTTATCTCATATAACAATCTGAATTGAATCTGAGTGAGAGAACTTGTTATTATTATTAGAATAAATTATGATAAATTAATTTTTTATTTTTTCTTTAAATTAAAAATTTCAAAATATTTTTTAAAATATTAAAAATCAATCTAAATTTTTTATGAATAATTGAATGACAATTTATTTATTTTTTAAATAATAAATTTAAAATTTACATACTTATAAAATATAATTTAAATAACTCAATCAAAGTAGATTTTACAAAAATGGTTCAAGCAAGTTTTTTAAATTTCACAAATTAATTATGATAAAAAATAAAAAAAATTTTTCAAATTCAATTTTAAAACAAAGTCATTAAAATTAATATGACGAACTTTTTTCTTTTTATTAGATTTATAAGACGGATTTTGCAATAAATGTTAAGAAATACATAATTTACTTACAAATAAGTATTGTAATTAATTAATCTATTTGGGTAAATAATTTGATTACAAATATATTTTGTAATTTAAAAAATTAAATTAAGGCTATTATTTTTCAATTCTAATAAATATTGATTTACATATTTTTTATGTAAATTTTTTAGGCCTTTTAAAAACAAACAAACAAACAAATGAATCTATTTTAAATATGGACTTTATATTAAAAATATGTTTAAAAAATATCAAATAGAAAATTTAATAATTTTAAGATAAACTTTGTTTATTAAATAATAAAGAATTGCCAAGAATTATGTCGTTAAACAGGTTAAAATTACTTCATTCTTATAAATAAGAATTTAATGTAATTAAAACTAAGTAAATTTACTCAAATAAAATAATTAGCTCATTAAATTTTGTTTTTTAAATTTAATTACTGATTACAAATCTAAATTGTTTTGATTATGATTTTTACTTGATTAAATCTAAAAAATATAAAATAGATAATTATTTAATTATTCTTAGAAAGTTATTAGTAAGTAAGTAAAAAGCTATAACTTCATATTTTTATTTTAACATGAATGTTCAAAGAAAATTTTCCATGTCTAGTTTTATTTGAATTCAAATTATCTTTTAAATAATTGAAAAAGAATATAAATAATAAAACTCAATAACTTTTAAAATTAACTTTATTTATAAAAAAAAATATTTTCGATTACATTTTATTTGGTGAAGAAATGGAAATAACGAAATAAAAGACGAATATAAAAATAAAAGGTATATTGACTTTAATTGGAGGATTCTTTATTTTGCTTATGAATGGCTCAATTTTTTTATGGGGAACACTTAATGTTTATATTACATCTTATTTTAGATAGAAAAATGATCCAGATTTATCACTTAGTATAGGTGGAGCTGTATTTCCTTTGATGACTGCTTCTTTAGCTACTGGAATACCCTTAGGAATTAAAGGTATCAAATTATTTGGATAGGCACGTTATAGTTTGTTATTAAGCACTGTAATAACTTCACTTATGGTAATTCTTTCTAGCTATGCTGAGAAATTTTATTAGTTTGCTATCATTTATGGAGTGATTAATGGCATAGCCGCCGGTTCTATTTATTTTGTTCCCATTTATATGGGCTATCTCCACTTTCCCAATAATAGAGGTATTGTTTCTGGAATTAATACATGTGGATTTGCTCTTTGTTCTTTCTTATTTGGTTTATTATTCACACATTTGGTGAATCCTGATGGTCTTTAACAAAACTCAAATTCAGATGGATATTCGTATTTTGATGGTGATTCGATTTCTGTTGCACATAATGTTCCTGAAGCTCTTAGAACGATTGGATACATTTTTTTGGGTGTTTCAGTTTGTGCATCATAACTCATATTTTATCATCCTAATTAAATCGGAGAAGAAGAAAAAAGGCTTAAAAAATAGCTTTAATTAAAATAATTAGAAAAGAAGCACTTTTAAGAAAATCTGATTACTATAGAATAAGAAATTAAATAAATTGACTTATTTAACCAACAAAATATAAAATAATTTTAACCTGAATAAGCTTAAGTTCTAAATAATTAAAAATGTGATTAAAGTTAACAAGATTTATTGAGGTAAAGTCAACAAATCTTTATTTAAAAAATAAAAATATCATAAATGGAAGAAATGATCCTTCAAGAAAAAATAGAGATATCTCATAAGAAAGATGAGTAAACAGGATTAGCTTTTGCCAATCCTACTCTAATAGACGAAATAAAATAAAACTCAGAAAAGCTAGCATTAAAAAAAGATAAATAAGCTATTGAAGATGATTACTAAAAAATAATATAGCTAATGTAAAATGAAAGCTTAATTCATAATAAAGAATAACATGTTAATTTATATGTTTAAGAAAATGATGAAAGCATCGAGCTAACAAAGTAAAATTTAACCAGAAAAGAGGAGGAAATTAAAGAGGAATTAAAACATACGCAAAAAAAATAATAAGAAATTGATGAACTTGATAAATCAGGCGCTCCTAATATTATATTGGCCTTAAAGTAGCCAAAATTCTACTTGTCTATATTTTTGGTTGTTCTTTGTCTAGGTTTTGGATCTTTGATAAATGCAAACTATAAATCAATTGCAAAAGATTATGGATTCAAAACAGATAGCTTCTAAACTCTGGTAGGCTCTCTAGCTGGTATAGCTAATGGAATATCAAGACCAGTGTGGGCTGGTTTACTAGATAGATTCAAATTTAAAAACTTGTTAATACTGATTATTTGCATTTAAATCACTATAAGTCTATCTTTCCAAGCTACTAGCTAAAGTGAGGTATTTTTCGCTATCTGGGTGTTTATAGCTCACTTTTGCTTTGGAGGAGTCTTGGGTATGTTACCTGTCTTTTCTGCCTAATTAAATGGTGTTAAAATAGGATCATAATTATTTGGATTCTACTGGTATGGATTTAGTATAGCAAATTTAATTCAATTTGTACTAGTTTTGGAATTAAAAAAACAAATTGGTTTCAATAATATCTTTTACATTTATTTCGGTTAACTAGTTGTGGCATTTATAATAATGAACTACTTTTAATTTAAAATTCAATGGTCTAAATATTACCTAAACAAAAAGAAAGAAGAAACATTAAACACTTAATCTTAAGAAAATATCCAAACAATTGGTATCAATAGTGAGTAAAATAAATTAAATCTTGTCGCTATCACTTAAGTCTGAAATCGATTAATAAATTTATAAAACAAAATACATGTAATTTATTTTATAAAAATGTAAATAAAATATTTGATTTAATTAATTCAATACATAAAAAATTATAATTTAATACATTCTTCGTTGATGTTTATGTCTTCATACTATCTACTAAAAACTTTAAAATTCCAAAATTTTAATTTATTTTAATGAACTTATCATTTAAGTATTTATTTAATAACTAAAGATATCTAATTAATTAATTTCTTCATATTAATTATCAAAAAATACAAATTCTATCAATATTTAAACATCATCCTAATAAGGTTACAACACTTAGAAAAGCCAAATAGGAAATACATTCGATTTTAAACAATTAATTTAATAAAAGAATATTTAAATATAAAAACAAAAGAGCAATGTAATATTTCCCACATAACAATTTTAAAAACTAAACTAATTGATAATTAATATTTAAACATCTATCCATACAATTATTGTATCAAATAAATACATTTTATAAGTATTATGTATTTTATTTAATTACATACCTATAAAAATATCCTTTAAATCTATTTTCAATAGGACAGGGTGGGGATCATCTTGCAAAATATTACTTCATAGTAGATAGATAGATAGATAGAAAAGCAAAAAACATTTTTTAAGCTAATACAAACAATTAATTATTTACCCCTGAAATTACTTAATTTTTAAGTTATAACTGTAAGATTAATTATTTACATAGACAATTAAAGAAAGAACATAAATTAAATTTAATGATTATTGCATGATTAGTATAATTTAATTATATGGTAAAAAATCTAAAATTAACAAATAATATCAAATTAATACATTAATAAAATTAGATTTCCATTTAAAAATATGTAAACAGCTAGGCTCTCAAGAGATTTAAAAATAGTCTAAAAAAAGCTGTTTATTATTATACTATAAAGTTTAAATTACTTATTTACAACGTATTTATATAACATTTTTTATTTTCTATTATAATTTTATTTTTGTAAATTCTTAAAAATAGCCGCCATCTCTTTTTTTGTGTGGATAAAAAATAACTTAATTAATTTGGATTTTTGTTCAAATAGGAATTTCTATCTGAAATTCATATTCTGTAAGATTGAAAAATATACAATTACTAGCAGTCTAATTTGACTTTAAAGATTAAATTCAAAATAGTAAGAAATATAATTTATATTTAAGAATTATATTTAAAATTTAGTCTAAAAATCACCAAAAGTAAGAGTTATATATTCGTCTCATCACTTAATTTAAATTAGTTAAAATAAAAATGGTATTTCAACTCTCAATGAAAGCAAAAGGAGTTTTAACTCTAATAGGAGGCTTTATACTTCTTTTAATGAATGGCTCAATGTTTTTATGGGGTTAGCTTAATGTTTATGTTACATCTTATTACAGATAAAAAGATGATGCAAATTTAGATCTTAGTGTTGGCGGTGCCATTTTTCCAGTTATGATGGCATCATTTGGAATAGGTCTTCCTTTAGGCATTAAACTGGTAAAAATATTTGGTCAAGCTAGGATTAGTTTGCTCATCAGTGCTATCATTTCTTGCTTAATGATAGTGATTTCAAGTTATACAGAGAGGTTTTACCAGTTCGTGATTGTCTATGGTATTATAAGTGGGTTAGCATAAGGTTCTATTTATTTTGTACCAATTTACATAGGTTATTTATACTTCCCTAATAATAGAGGCTTAGTTGCTGGAATTAATAGCTTTGGCTATGCCTTAAACTCTTTCTTATTCGGGTTACTGTTCTTTAAGCTAGTAAATCCGAATGGACTTCCTTAAATTAGCAATCCTGACGGATACTCCTATTTTGAAGGAGTTTCTATTAGTGTAGCATAAGCTGTACCTTAAGCTATAAGATCTATAGGATACATTTTCTTGAGTGTTTCAATTGTTGCTACATAATTAATTATGTATCATCCAGATCAAATAGGCGAGTAAGAAAAAAGACTAAAGAAGGAGTTACAAAAAAAAGAAAATGAAATGAAAGAATTACAGTAAATTTAGCAAAAATTAGAATAAATTGATATCTAATCCATCAAAAAAAATAACTTATAAGATTAAGAGTAATTCTAGTAAACAGATATTATCTAATTAGATTAATTAGTGGTTAATAAAAAGATTGAAATCATTTAATTAGAAGAAGAAATTATCTAGTAGAAAATCTAAATTGCACACAAAATAGAATTACAGAAAGAATGTGAATATATCAACCCTTAAATCCTTAAAAAGCTTAAATTAGAAGAAATTTAAATTAGCGAAAACAAATAAAATGAAATCTTTCATCACCAAAAATTAGTTGAATTAATCATTCTTGATACCCCAAACAGAAAATAACATAAAAACTCAATTTTATCTGAAGTATCTACAAAACCATCAGATTTAGAAAAGTATTATGATGAAAAGGAAAATCAAATGGAAGCTGATTTATAAGAACTTAAAAAAAGAAATGCTTATATTGAAGAATAATTAAATAGCCTTGGTCCTCCATCAATTAAAGTTTGTTTCAGACAACCTTAACTTTATATGTCAATATTGTTAGGATTCTTAGCTGTTGGATTAGGACTAATTATTAATGGTAACTACAAATCTATAGCTAAGGATTATGGATTTACAAGTGATAGCTTTTAATCATTAGTAGGGTCTCTTGGTGGTGTTGCTAATGGTTTCTGTAGACCACTGTGGTCTCTTTTGCTTGATAAGTACTCTTTCAAAAGAATTTTATAAATTCTGCTACTGATAGAAATAATAACTTCTTTAACTATGCAATTTACAAATGTTAATAGAATCTTCTACGCTCTTTGGGTATTCATAATACATATGACTTTAGGAGGTGTCCTTGGAATGTGGCCTGTCTTTTGCTCTTAGATTAATGGTATCAAGATTGGTTCATAACTATATTGCTTTTACTGGCTTGGATTTACAATTGCAAATCTCTTCTAGTTTATGTTAGTAATGGGGTTAAAGACTAAAATTGGATTCAATAATATTTTATATATTTATTTTGCTTAGGCTTTAATTGGATTACTGTTAATGACTTTCTATAATTTCAAAATAAGTTGGGCAAAGCATTATAAGGAAATCCCTAAAAACTTATAATCCTAAATTTCACTACAAAAATAACAAACACTTGATAACTAATTAAGATCAACTATATCAAGCTGAATAAAATTTAAAAAATAAAAAAATTATTTTTTTAGTATTTTAAAAATATAAAACATACAATTATTAAATAAATTAAATCAAGTAAAATCCTTCAATGTAATTATATAAATTTATATTTTATGCTTTGCTTGCTTTCATATGAATCTTCTTGGCTATATTTTTTATTTATTGATAATTAAGTAATTTTAAAATATTTTAAATACTTTTAATTTTAATTTTTTTAAATTTATTTTTTCTAATAAATTTTTGCTAATTTCTAGTCCTATCCTAACTTGAATCTGTAGATTAATCTAATATATCATATTTTTTGAGATGCATCAAAACAAAAAATATAACTGAATTTAGAATAAATAAATAAATAATTAAATAAATAAATAATTACTTTTGAATATGTTTTAATTTTATTTTATGGAATAATTAGAAAATAGGAGGGAACTAAAAAATTTAAGACTTTACATTAAATAAAAAAGGATGGAAAAATGATTTATTTAAAAAAAAATTTCTTTAATGTTTTATAGGAAAAGTAAATTTAAATATCACAAAAATTTTTTAATTTAGCTATAATTAAGGAGTTAATTTTTTTAAATATTTAGGTAAAGCAAAAGATATTTTTTAAGCTATTAAAAATAATTGATTATTTACCACTGAAATTAATTAATTTATAAATTATAACAAATAGATTAATTTTTTACATGTGCAATTAAAGAAATATTAAATTTAATGACCAGTGCATAATTAGTAAAATTTAATTACATGGTAAAAAAATCTTAGTACATTAATAAAATAAAATTTCCATTTCAAACATAAAAACAGCAAGTCTCTCAAGAAATTTAAAAATAGTCTAAAAAAATCACTTTATTATTTTTCAAAAATGTTCAAATTATTTATTTAGAATGTATTAATTAAACATTTCTTATTATCTATTATTATTTTATATTTGTTAATTCTGAAAAATGACCACCATCACTTTTTTTTATTATAAAAAATAGCTTAATTAATTTTGGTTTTTGTTCAAATAGAGATTTACATCTTAAATCTATATTTAGTAATACTAATAAATTAAAATTACAAAGGCAAATTTCTCTTTAAAGATTAAATTAAAATTAACAAAAAATATAATTAATATTTAAAAATTAATAATAAAAATTTAGTTTAAAAGTTACCAAAAAGTCAGTTTTACCTATCCTATCTAATCACTTATTATAAATTTTATTAAATCAAAAATGGTATTTCAATTCTCAATGAAAACAAAAGGAGTTTTAACTCTATTAGGAGGCTTTATACTTCTTTTAATGAGTGGCTCAATGTTTTTATGGGGTCAGATTAATGTTTATGTTACATCTTATTACAGATAAAAAGATGATGCAAATTTAGATCTTAGTGTTGGCGGTGCCATTTTTCCAGTTATGATGGCATCATTTGGAATAGGCCTTCCTTTAGGTATTAAACTGGTAAAAATATTTGGCCAAGCAAGGATTAGTTTGCTCATCAGTACTATCATTTCTTGCTTAATGATAGTGATTTCAAGCTATACAGCGAGGTTTTACCAGTTCGTGATTGTCTATGGTATTATAAGTGGGTTAGCATAGGGTTCTATTTTTTTTGTACCAATTTATATAGGTTATTTATACTTCCCTAATAATAGAGGTTTAGTTGTTGGAATTAATAGCCTGGGTTATGCTTTAAACTCTTTCTTGTTCGGGTTACTATTCTTTAAGCTAGTAAACCCTAATGGACTTCCTTAAATTAGCAATCCTGATGGATACTCCTATTTTGAAGGAGTTTCTATTAGTGTAGCATAAGCTGTGCCTCAAGCTATAAGATCTATAGGATACATTTTCTTGAGTGTTTCAATTGTTGCTACACAATTAATTATGTATCATCCAAATCAAATAGGCGAGTAAGAAAAAAGACTAAAGAAGGAATTACAAAAAAAAGAAAGCGAAATGAAAGAATTATAGTAAATTTAGCAAAAATTAGAATTAATTGATATCTAATCCACCAAAAATAATAACTTATAAGATTTAGAGTAATTCAAGTAAACAGATATTGCCTAATTAGATTAATTAGAGGTTAATAAAAAGATAGAAATCATTTAATTAGAAGAAGAAATAATCCATTAGAAAATCTAAATTGCACACAAATTAGATTTACAGTAAGAGTATGAATATATCAACCCTTAAATCCTTAAAAAGCTTAAATTTGAAGAAATTTAAAGTAGCGAAAATAAATCAAATGAAATATCTCAAAACCAAAAATTAGTTGAATTAATTGTTCTTGATCACCCAAACAGAAAATAACATAAAAATTCTTTTTTATCAGAAATAAATACAAAACCATTAGATTTAGAAAAGTATTATGATTAAAAGGAAAATTAAATTGAAGCTGATTTATAAGAATTTAAAAAAAGAAATGCTTATATAGAATAATAATTAAATAACCTTGGCCCTCCATCAATTAAAGTTTGCTTCAGACAACCTTAACTTTATGTGTCAATATTGTTAGGATTCTTAGTTATTGGATTAGGACTAATTATTAATGGGAACTACAAATCTATAGCTAAAGATTATGGATTTACAAGTGATAGCTTTTAATCATTAGTAGGGTCTCTTAGTGGTATAGCTAGTGGTTTCTGTAGACCGATGTGGTCTCTTTTGCTTGATAAATACTCTTTCAAAAGAATATTATAAATTTTACTATTGATAGAAATAATAACTTCTTTAACTATTTAATTTACAAATGTTAACAGAATCTTCTACGCTCTTTGGGTATTTATAATTCATACAACTTTAGGGGGTGTTCTTGTAATGTGGCCTGTCTTTTGCTCTTAGATTAATGGTATCAAGATTGGTTCATAGCTATATTGCTTTTACTGGCTTGGATTTACAATTGCAAATCTCTTCTAGTTTATGCTAGTAATGGGATTAAAGACTAAAATAGGTTTCAATAATATTTTATACATTTATTTTGCTTAGGCCTTAATTGGATTACTGTTAATTACTTTCTATAATTTTAAAATAAATTGGGCAAAGTATTATAAGGAAATCCCTAAAAATTTATAATCTTAAGTTTCACTGCAAAAAGATTAAACGCTAGATAACTAACTAAGATCAACTATATCAAGCTGAATAAGACAAAAAAAGAAATATATATATTTATTACTTTAAAGAGTAAAGATATATCTATACATAATAATTTAAATTAAGTAAAATCATTAAATTTATAATTATAATTATAATTATTTAAATTTTATATTTCATGATTTGTTTCTTTAATTTTTTAAATTTTATTAGTAATTAATTATCTATAAAAATTTTAAAATGACTTCTTAACATATCCCTATTCTATCAAAAATTTTAATTTAATGACAATAAAGACAAGAGAATACTTTTATCGAGAAATAAAGATTTTTTTTGATAGTTTTTTCGCTAATTAGTACAAAATTTAAATTTTAACTTTATTTAATAGTTTTTAATTTTATTTATATCTTAAAATTTTATTCTATTTAATATTTTTTATAATGTAATAGTTGTAAAATATAATAAATTTAATAATATTAATTAAAAAAATAAAAATTCTAAATAATTAATATTAGAAAAAAAATGAAATATTTTAAGACTTTTAAATTATTCTTTCTTTATTATTGGATAATTAACTCTTTCCGATGGGGGAGTATTTTTAATAATATGACCCTAAAATTTTATCTAAATTCTTTACTTGAAAACTATGAAAATTAAGGTTATTATCAAATTTTCTTTTTTTCCCCCACCAATTAGAAATAAAACAATTAGCATTACTTCTCTTATTACCCATAGACTAAAATTAAGATTACTTTACTTAATTTGATAATCAGTGAATGGCCTATAAAGTAATTAATTTGATAAAAGAAAAATTTATTTATAACCATCTCTTTTTTATTATGATAAAAAATGCTTAATTAATTTTTGTTTTTGTTCAAATAGGAATTTACATCTTAAATTTATATGTAATGATACTGAAAAATTACAACAACTCTAAGTCGAGTTTCTCATTAAAGATTAAATTCAAAATAGCAAGAAATATAATTTATATATAAAAATTAATAATAATAATTTAGTCTAAAAATCACCAAAAAGTAAGTGTTATCTATTTATCTATCCATCTCATTACTTATTATAAATTTTGATAAATTAAAAATGGTATTTCAACTATCAATGAAAACAAAGGGATTTTTAACTCTAATAGGAGGCTTTATACTTCTTTTAATGAGTGGCTCAATGTTTTTATGGGGTCAGATTAATGTTTATGTTACATCTTATTACAGATAAAAAGATGATGCAAATTTAGATCTTAGTGTTGGTGGTGCCATTTTTCCAGTTATGATGGCGTCATTTGGATTTGGTCTTCCTTTAGGCATTAAACTGGTAAAAATATTTGGCCAAGCAAGAATTAGTTTGCTCATCAGTACTATCATTTCTTGCTTAATGATAGTGATTTCAAGCTATACAGAAAGGTTTTACCAGTTCGTGATTGTCTATGGTATTATAAGTGGGTTAGCATAAGGTTCTATTTTTTTTGTACCAATTTACATAGGTTATTTATACTTTCCTAATAATAGAGGCTTAGTTGCTGGAATTAATAGCCTGGGTTATGCTTTAAACTCTTTCTTATTTGGGTTACTATTCTTTAAATTAGTAAATCCTAATGGACTTCCTTAAATTAGCAATCCTGATGGATACTCCTATTTTGAAGGAGTTTCAATTAGTGTAGCATAAGCTGTGCCTTAAGCTATAAGATCTATAGGATACATTTTCTTGAGTGTTTCTATTTTTGCTACACAATTAATTATGTATCATCCAAATCAAATAGGCGAGTAAGAAAAAAGACTAAAGAAGGAATTACAAAAAAAAGAAAGTGAAATGAAAGAATTATAGTAAATTTAGCAAAAATTAGAATTAATTGATATCTAATCCACCAAAAAAAATAACAAAGAAGATTAAGAGTAATTCAAGCAAACAGATATTGTCTAATTAGATTAATTAGAGGTTAATAAAAAGATAGAAATCATTTAATTAGAAGAAGAATTAATCCAGTAGAAAATCTAAATTGCACACAAATTAGAATTACAGTTAGAGTATGAATATATC